TATATAGTAATAAAGATAATTAATAATCTTTAAAAACTTATTCTTTAACTAAAGGATCCCCTTTTAGTAATAGTACTTTACGTCTTAAACTATATCTCCTCCTAGTTATACCCTACCTATAGGCGTAGGTATTCTAGAGTCTCTCTATAAGAGTTCCTTATATAGGGCTTCCTAGCTACTAGGTAGAAGCTTATATACTAGATTACTAAAGTAAAGAATATATACTCTTTTCTCTAGACTTATATTATCTAGTAGTTATTCTATAGAGAGTAACTAAATTTTATTAGTATTATTTACCTACTATTTAAACTTACCTATTAAGAAGTAGATCTTTAAATCTGCCTCTTATAGCTAAGAGTACCTTAGTATAAGGTTATAACCTATAAAGTTTACTGCTTAAAATATCTAAGGGCCTACTTCTTTAGTAGTTCCTCTTATATTACTATATAAAAGTATAAGTTTATATAGTTTAAAAATATTTAAATAGTTACTATTAATAAAGCTTACTACTAGCTTCTAATAAAATAGACTATAAAGAAGATTCCTCTCCTTAACTATATATTAATTAATAATATTAATCTCTACGCCTAAGTTATATAGTACGTAAAGAAGTATTATAGACCTATTAGACTCTTATAAAATTATAGTAACTTTAATATAGGTTTATTTCCTTTTTAACTCTAGCTCTAGCTATAATTAGAAAAGATTTATAATTAGGGCTTTTCTTTTCCTAGGCCTTTACTCTTTAAGTCTTAGGGTTAGTTAGTATTAGTTTTCTAATTTAGTTTCTGCTAACTCTTCTTCTTATTATCTTAATTATTACTAGTATTTACTGCTTACCTACTACTCTAGTTTTAGGCCTAGGGTAGAGTACTAGTAAATTAGTCCTAGTACTATCTTAAGGGTTTAAAGTTATATCTTTTCTTATAGCTACTTTAAGTTAGGGAGGTAGCTATTTATTTAGGCTTTATAAAGTTTAATAATTTTAACTTTATTTTTATACCTATAGTAGTCTCTATATTATAAAGAGCCTACTTAAACTTTAACTATTTAGTAATAGTCTCTAATACTCTATTATACTAAATCTTTTATTAATAAGCCTTAGGGACCTTTACCTATACTAAGAAGATCTTTAACTTATTATTTATACTACTATTTATAAGCTTAAAGAAGCTTTAATAAAGTAAGAATTCTCTATAGTTTAAGTATAATAAGAATATATTAACTAAGTTATTAGTACGCTACTTAAAGTTTTAAAACTTTAAGTAGTTTTTATACTATATAAGAACTAGGTTTTATACTAGCTTCTACTCCTCTATATAGATATTAGCCTAGATATAGAGTACCCCCTTATTAATCTTTTATTAGATTAATTCTTAGTATACTTTATATTAAATAGTACCTATTACCTAGTAAGTTCTAGTTATAGAGTTCTTTAGTACCTAGGTATACTTAAATACTATATCTATATTCTTAACCTACTAATTTACTTATTAGAGAGTAGGGACGCAGAATTCTATACCTAATTTAGGTTTAAGGTTTACTATATTAAGTACCCTAATTAGCCTTCCTACTATATTAGATACTAACTAGAAAGGCTCTATTAAGGCAGTAAGGTATTCTAGGCCTAAGTACTATAAAGTAACTTAAAGGTATCTTTCTAGAATTATAACACGTTCTAGGCTAGTGCCTTAAAGTTATTCTTCTAGGAGCCTATCTAAAATTAATTAAATATACTACTTACTACTTAGTAGGGCTACTTACGTATAAACCCTTAGGGGTAATTCCTAAGAAGGTTATAAAACACTAAACTAGTAAATTACCCCTAAAACTCTATTAATACTACTTTCTAGTTATATTCTAGAAAGAAGTATATAGCTTATTTCCTTAATTAAGGGTTATCCTAAAGGGCTCTTATATATTTTCTTAAGTAGCTAGTTCTTTATTAGGAAGTAAGTTACTTCTTACTTAAAGATTTCTTTTTCTTTATCTAGGCTCTTTACGTCTTTAATATAAGTAGCTAGGCCTTACTTTAAGGCTAAGTTACTTTTAGTCCTAGATAAGAATACTATTAGGCCTTTCTTAGGTATAATATTTTATTCTCTTTAAGGAGGTATTATTTTTCTATTAAAAAAGATAGCTTCTATTTATCTTAAATTAACTACTCTTTCTAAGAAGAAGTATAAAGGATTTAAATTATAAGAGCACTATAAACAGGTAATTAAGATATAGAATAAATAAGTATTTATTAAGAAATTAGATAAATCCTTAGAGTATAAGCCCTAAGGATTTATAAGTACTATATACTAGAGCTCTAAGGGCCTTATACCCTTAGCCTAGAGGTCTACTAAAGGTAGGCTAACAAAAGCTTAAATAGAAATACCTATAATAATATTACTTATAACTTAGTAGAGCTATTTATAAATAAACTCTTAAAAGTAATTTCTAAGAAGGTTATAAAATACTAAACTAGTAAATTACTTTTAAAACTTTATTAATACTACTTCTTAGCTATATTTTAAAAAAAAGTCTATAGCTTATTTCTTTAATTAAGAGTTATTTTAAGAAGCTTTTATATATTTTCTTAAATAGCTAGTTTTTTATTAGGAAGTAAGTTACTTTTTATTTAAAAATTCCTTTTTTTTTATTTAGACTTTTTATATCTTTAATATAGGTAGCTAAGCCTTACTTTAGAGCTAAGTTACTTTTAGTCCTAAATAAAAATACTATTAGGCTCTTTTTAGGTATAATATTTTATTCTTTTAAAAGAGGTATTATTTTTCTATTAAAGAAAATAGCTTTTATTTATCTTAAATTAACTACTTTTTCTAAGAAAGAGTATAAAGAATTTAAATTATAAAAGTACTATAAATAGGTAATTAAGATATAAAATAAATAAGTATCTATTAAAAAATTAAATAAATTCTTAAAGTATAAGCCTTAGAGATTTATAAGTACTATATACTAGAGCTCTAAGAGCCTTACGCTCTTAGTCTAGAAGTTTACTAAAGGTAGGCTAATAGGAGCTTAGATAGAAATACCTATAATAATATTACTACTATTATTATTAATAGTAATAATAATAAGTATTAATAGTAGTAGATAAATTAAGATAAATTAGTAAGTAAGTATATTACTTATAATACTATAGTTATAAGAGCTATTTATAATACTATAGCTTAAGTACTAAAGTAGCTATTTATATAACTTTATATAAGCTTAATAAAGGCGTTTAGCTATAGGCGTAATAATTAAGGTATATATAAGTAGCTTATTAAGCTTAAGATTAAGTAGATTAATAAGACTACTAAAAATAATAATAAGTAATAATCTTAATATTTTAGTAAGAGATTAATAATAATAATATAAATTTATAATTTAAGAATAACTTAAATAGTTAAGTAGTAAATAATTTATATAAGTTAAGTAGTACTAAATATTCTAATTAAAACTATTATTTATAAAAAAAATAGCTAATCTATATCTAGTATTCTATCTAATCTCTAACTGTACTTTTTAATTGTACTGTCTAGAGACTATCTGGAGAATCTTGGCTGTGGCTGCTGGCTTACATATGCACGCTCTACCTTGGATATACACCCTCTGTACGTTGTACGCATGCTCTAACTTACTAATGCAAACGGGTAACAACGAGCGTATACTCTTAAAAATTAGTGTGCGATGTATCTGTAGTGCAGCCTGCTAGTGCATATCTTACGTAGAACACGAAAGTCGCGGTAGATGTTGTTGAAGTACATATATTCACTACACAATGCAAACTTTGATAATTTAATTGTCTACGTCTACACGCTTAGTAATATTATGCACGTATAAACCTACTACAACAGAACACCCTTGTAGTCGGATATAGCTTTTCCTAAAGAAGACTTATGCTTAGAAATTATTCCTCCTTAGTTGTACACGTAGATACTTTCTATAAGTAGGGCGTATTTGTAAGCACCGACGCGGGGATGGAATCAAGAAAAACGCGGAAGTAAAAGTACCCCAGAATCAAGACCACCTGGACTTACAGGCCTTCCAAACTCATGACAAGCCCAGCAAATCTGAGTAGAATATGAAACTACGACAACAAAGCCTATTTCGTGTAGCAATAACATAATAAAATCGTGTTTGATTCCTGTAAGAAAAAAATTTTTTCTAGTTCGCTATAATTATTGCCAGAAGAAAAATAGGTTAAGCCCTACTATATTGTCTATTTCGAATCTTCAAACAAGCTCCCCTTATAAATCTAGGACATTATTTACACTGCGCAATACTCTGATAACTATACCCAGCCTAAGCCTACAAAGCCACACCCAATCTACACAAGATCCGCCAACCAGCAAGTTAGATTCCAAGCACCACACAACCCTATCCACTTCAACTCCCCAAACACCAACAAACCCCCAACAACACCCAGTCCACGAAAACCCTCACTTCAACAAGCCCACCCGCTATACATACACCCACCCACCTTCCCCAACCCACCCCAGCCCACCAACCCACCGATAAGCCCCCAATCCACCCACCGGCTCCGAACTCCCCCGAACCTCTCCCCCCCTGTTCCCAACTATACACTCAACACCTGCACGATCCCGTATCTGCATATGTACATGCAGGGAAGCGCGTGCTATCTACAAATCTGCGGTACCCGCAGCTCAACGGTCCGGATAGATAGCTGGGGAACGGGTGGGGAGGGATACGCAATGTGATGGGGTGTGATGTGATGTGCGAACCCTGCATCTGCATGCTGTTGTGCTACACTGCGCTTATCAAGCTAATCCGAACGACACGGCTACGTTCTCTGAATCTGAATGGAAATGTTTTATTTGGACTAGCACTACAAGACGCGACGCGACAAGACAAGACAAACAAGCCCAGCTCGCGCGAAGCAACAAAAAGCCCCGCGTAAAGGCGAGGCATACATACATACATACATACATGCATACATAAATCATGACTCCAAGATTTCAGGCGAGCCCCCAAACACCCTGACCTAACCCAGCATATATAGGCTTTTAGCTCTCCGTTCCAGAATATATACCCATTCAAGCCATCATCATAGAAAAACCTCGACTTTCATTTCGCCCCCCTAGGTGACTGGCCTAGAACTGCGCAATAGCGACAGACACGGCTTGTTCGTCTGAATGGCTGATACTGATATTGATTGTCTTGACACCGACGCGCTTGCCTTCTTCTTGGGCGTGGCCGTGAAGCTGGATAGATATTAGTGATTACATCATAGTATTGCATTGAATAGAGAGACATACCTTGACAGTCGGCGCGCCAGTCTCGTCATTGACGATCTCAATATCTTTCAGAGAAGCACCCGCGCCCTCGCCCTTCACACCCAGCGACTTGAAAACAGCTTCCTTGGCGGACCATTTGCCCGTGAAGCTAGCCTGGGGATTGGGAGCTTTCTGGCAGTACGCAATCTCCTGACTTGTGAAGTTGCGCTCGATGAATGTGTCGTTGTCGATGTTGATAGCGGTGATGCTTTCGACGTCGACGCCGACCTTTGTGTTGGCAGAAGTGGTGGCTTGAGTAAGGGACTCAAGCATCTTCGTTGTCTCCTCTGCCTTCTTGTCCTTCTTGGGAGTCGGAGCCGGCTTGTTGGAGTAGGAGTATGTGGCCGTCTTCTTGTCGACAACAACGCGTGCTCGGGGGTTGAGGAAGACCTCTTGCATCTTGTCATCATCATAGGGCGCCTTGTCCTTGGCTCGGAACATGGTGTTGTTGATGAGACCATCGTGGAAGTACCTGTAGGCCTTCTTCTGGCGAGCCTCGACCTTCAGCTTGTAGGAGGCAAACTGGGCAGGGTCAAGCGCAGCGTAAAGGTACTTGGGGTGAATACCGATAGCTTGCGCGCCCTTCTGACCGAAACCAAAAGAGGTGACGGAGAAAGCCTTGATGCCGTCGGTCTGGATAGCTTGAGAGGGGTAGACGATGTAGTCAAACTGCTCCATGATCTTGTCAACGTTGTCGGCGTTGCGGTTACCTGGTACAAGACCAGTGTTCAGCACTTGCAAGCAACCGTTGAACATCCAGGCACCAGCAGCACCCTTGGGGTGACCAGTGAGGTACTTCTGGAAGATACCGAGCAGAGCGTTACCCTTCTTGCGACCGAGATGGCGCATCTGGTGGCAGATGACATCCGACTCGTTCTTGTCGTTGGCGACGGTGGAGGTACCGTGGAACGAAGCTACGTCGAGGTCGTCAATAGTCAGGCCCCATGTAGCGAGGGCACCGCGGAGGGGTGCAATGCGAGGATCCTTCTTCCAGAAGTTGTTTCCAAGACTGTTGAGAGCTTCCTTCTCCTGTCGCTTGGCTTCAAGCTCAATATTGGCGGCACGCTCCTGGAGATAGTCGGCTTCGTTGAAGTCTTCACTAGTAGCTTCCTTCATAGCTGCAAGCTCTTCTTGAAGATACATCACCTCGGACTCCTGCCACTGCTTGATTTGCTTCCGGCGCAGATCCATCTGTCGCCTTCTGTACTTGATGTCCAGCAGAGGCGATGGGAACTTGGAAGGTGTCTCACGCGCAGTTGTCAAGACACCCTTACCCGGAGCAGGCACTGAGCGACCGATCTTGTCGGTAGCCGTGGCGGTGAAACCAAGGATACCGTAGATTGGCAACCCCATATCCAGCGCCAGCTTGGCATCCATGATGACTTGCATACCGCAACCTTGGGATTCCATGAAACCGTTCCTGGTGGTCGTGGTCGGACGAGACATCTCCGCAGGAGTGCGGCCATGCTTGATTTCATCTTCAGCGTTGCTAGTAGCCTTCATGTTGGCAAACTCGTAGGAGCCTTCCTCCTGGAAGTCATCGAAACCACCGACGAAGCAGACGCGAGCCTTGCCTTCGACAATCGTGTCGTAACCGATATCAATCGACTCGACAGCCGTGGCACAAGCACCGACAGGAGTCTTGATGGGACCAGTGGACGACATGAGCAACATGTTTACCCAGGCGCTCATGGTATTGATGAAAGACTCCTGCAGGATATCCTTCTGGACAGGCCTGTCAAGGAAGCGATCCTTGTACATGCCCCGCAACGCAGTAGTACCACCGATACCAGAACCAACGCAGTTACCGACCTCAGAAAGGTGAACATACTGGTAGAACTCATATGGATCGGTGATACCGCTGGAAAGAAGACACTCTGCTGTTGAAACGAGCACGAAAAGAGTGACGGGGTCGACCTGAGAGATGATGTCCTCGGGAATACCGTACTTCTTCGCATCCCAGCCTGTTGGTATCTGACCAGCAACAAGGCGATCGAATCGCAGAGCCTTAGGGATGAGAAGAGTCGCGCCCTTCTTCATTCGAACAGTGAATTCTCCGGAGTCCTCGATGGCGAAGATCTCAACCTTGTCACCATGCTGTCGCTTGAATTCATCTGCAAGCTCCTTGGAGGCCTCAAAGGGATCGAGGTCCTCCTCGATCTGGATCTCCTGCATGAGCTGCTTCTTCTTGGGGTCGTAGCCGTGGAACAACTCCGGCTCGATGAGACGAATGCCGGAATGGTCCAGGATGTACTTCTCGTACTTTGGCTTGATGTCCTTGTCGTCGACTGGCTCGCCGGTCTTGGCATCCACCCAGCCAGAGTAAGTCTTTCCCTTGAGCGGGCCATTGTGATTCTTGATCAAGCCCATAATCCAGGCCATCTCGACGCAGCCTTCTAGCGAGAACTCGCCGTAGGCTTCCATCTCCCAACGTGTCCTGGAGTTACCCCATGGACCTACCTCAGCAAAACCAGTCACAACAACAACCTTTTCGAGGTCCACCATACCCTTGAGATCGTCGTTGAGAGGCTTGACCTCAGTGTCCCAGTCAGGCAGCTTAGGGAAGTCGAACTTCATGTTGGCTCTTGGCTCGATCTTGGCCTTCTGATACAAGGCCTCGCTTGCCTCACCATTGATGATCTTGTTCTCGATGGCGTTCTCCTTAATGACAGCCCTGCGAACGTCACTTGTCTCTGTGAGGTCCTTGCGAAGATCGGTCATGAGGTCCTTGAGGTTAGGGATGTACTGGAAACCACCGTTCAAGTCAGCCCATACAGGCTCAATTTGGCAGAGGTTGACGATTGGTGGAGCCATGAGACCAAGCAAGTTGAAAGCCATCTCTTGCTGAGAGAAAGTGCGCACACCATACTTCTCGATGCCCTCAGCGACAACGTTGTTGGCGCCCATGAGACCTGTGCCACGAGTCCAGCCGATGACAGCACCGCAAATTGTGAGGTAGTTGCTCCAGCTCTCCGAATGCCATCTTGAGAATAGTGTCTCGAGAGACATCTTCGACTCGGAGTACAAGCCATCGTTACCGAAAGTACCGTGGTTGGGAGACAAAGGCAGGATGACCTGGGCCGGGCGAGTTTCATAGCCATGAGTCTGCTTGTGCTTCTTGATAGCACCCAACATGCGAAGAAGATTGGTCAGCATGATGCGGTGGGCAAGTTCGGACTTGGAATCGATGTTGTCGATTTCACGGCCGTTTTCAGGAATGGCAGCGAAGGGAATGACGAGATCCAGATCCCACCCTAGACCCTTCTTCGTGTCGAAGATGTATTCCACCAAAGCCTCGACATCTTGGTTGCTGCCTTGGTTGAAAGGCACGACGATGAGCTGGGAGCCGCGAGCACCGTAACGTGTGTACATGGACTGGTAGTACTCGGTGACCCCACGAGAGAATCGAGAAGTAGTGACGACGACCTTGGCACCACCGCTGATCAGACCCTGGAGGACCTGAGCACCAATTGAACCGGCACCGGCACCAGTCATGAGAGCATGCTTGCCCTGGAATGTGACACCAGACTTGGCAGCGTTCTCAAGACAGTCGAGGTAGACACCTGTCAGCTTCTTGCTGTATTCCCAGCCGTGATCGTCTTTCCTCTTCAAATGGAGGAAGGGAATAGTTTCGACCTTGCCCTCCTTCATTGGAGCAGCTCGGCCGTTACGTCCTTTCTTACCGTTTGGTGTCTTGCTGTTCTCGTTTGGCATGATCTGGCCTTCGTTCATAGACAAAGACCGAATCACGTTGCTGTACAAGCTCTTGATTTGCAGTTGCGATGATTTTGAGAGCTTGTGCTGCTGCTTGATGAGCTTGTAGATGCGCTGGAGGTCGTTCTGAACCTTGGTGCGGTTGCCGTACTCGGAGAGTTTTCCTCCTTCAGCCATCTCACGTACGTAGTGCTCCAGCTTGCGAACGCTCGCTCTGGGGGCCTCTTCGTAGTTCATATTTCCCTTAGCATCGATCTCGAGATGTGGTGCAGTAGGTACAGCAACATCCTTATAGACAGGGGCCTCGTTGAGAACATCCTTGCAGTTGTCGATGAGCTGCTGTCCGAGCTCCTTTGCAAGCTCGTATGTCTCGCCGCGCTCGGTGGGGCAGTGATCCATATGGTACTGCATGAAGTCGAGAAGGAGTGGGTTTGATCGGTTCATGATGGCAATGCAGCGGCTCACGATCTCACGATCCACAGCCTTGAGCTTGCCAAAGATGATGTCGTAGTACATGGTGAGAGCGTCCTGACGTGCCCAATTCCACGACGAATCGTAGACTCGCGCCTTGAGCGGGGTGAACTGCGGTTCAATTCCAGAAGCGTAGAACTCGCCGTGCTCGGTAGTCCACAGGTCCAATTGGGCCTGAAGCGCAGACTGAGCCTTTTGTGAGTCGACAAAGGACTTGTCTCCAGCGCGCAGGTCGATCTTCAGATACCTCGCATAGAGCTCTAGCTGCTGCTTGAAGAGTTGGCGCTGGTCCTTGGTCAGCGCGTCGATGGCAGCGGGGTCCATCATCATGCCGCCGCCAGCACCTGCGTCGCCGCCTGCTGCCACTGGAGCAGACAGGTTGACACCAGCAATCGCAGCATATTTGTTCGCCTGCTCGTCGAGGAACGCCTTTCCGTCGGCCTCTGAACCCAGACGCGCTGCAGGCTCGTTGGTGATGGCGAGCAGCAAGAGTGCGTCTTGGCGTCCTTGTGCGAGGCCCCATCGAGTCTCCAAGTGTTTCCGCACCGCAGTGATGTTGAAGCCACCAGGCATCTTCGAGGAGACCATGCGGGCAATGAGCGAAGAGGATTGCTTTCCAAGCTGACCATTGAAGGTAGCCTGCATCGAAGCACCCAGCTCGTCGAGGGGCGTGTCTTCCGGCTTCTCGGGGGTGGAGCCGAATTCCTTGCCCAGGTCTCCGAGAATCTCGTTTTGGAGCGTAGACTTGCCTGATGGTGTGTTAGTTGGGAAATGCACGCGCTATTGCCAATTGACATACCTCCGACCAAATCTTTGATGGCCTTCGCCAGGGGGATGTCCATGAGTGGCTTTTTCAGCTTCTGGGCCACCAACGCCCGCAGGATGTCGGTTGCTGTGACTGGCGCATCTGGCACCTGGGCTGCTGGTCCTGCGCCAGGCGGAGGAGCTGCGGCAACTGGTGCTGCCGCTGCAGGTGTGGAAGATGCTGCCGGGGCGCCTCCACCACCGCCCGCAGCAGGCTCTGGCTCCTCCTCTACGGGGTCCACATCGTAGTAGATGTCTTTTGCGTCTTTGTTGTAGCACAGAATTTGCCGTTGCACCGAGAGCGCGGCGTCGTGTGCTTCGTACTTGGAGGCCAGTGTCCGCTTTGCCATCACACCCAGCGTGTCTGCAGGGCCAATTTCGACAATGCGCTCGGTGGTCTTTTCGCCGAGCACGACATCTTGCGTCTCAATCCACCTCACAGGCGAGGCGAACTGGTATGCAAGCAGCTCGACGAGCAGCGTGTGGGCGAGCTCCTGCTCGATCTCGGGACGCATGGTGGGGTGTGTCGGCGGGGCAGCAGGTGTAAGAGAGTGTGTAATGAGCCTCAATTGAGCTCAGTGGGTATCTCTATTGCAAACGGGAAGGAGGGTATCTTGGCAGAAAGAAGCGGTGGCTCGGGGAAGAGGAGCGAGGCGCCGCTATTAGGTAGTGTGTCTAAGGACAAGTGATGTGAGGGCTCGGGGAATGGTGAAGATTTCCCCGGGGCGTGAAAGATTATGTCGAAAAGTGCAGGACAGAGGAGCGGGAGTTGGAGGAACACGACACCAACGCATTGACTGTTTATCACTCGCGCGAAGGGAAGAGGGGTCAGAACGGTGTCGACTCTTGCGGCGTTGAGAATGAGCATGGGCACTAAAAACCACCTTGACCCCTGCGCGGCAGCTCGACGATGCTCGGGCCCCGGGTGGGTTCAACAACTATTTCGCGTGGAGCAGCTTGCGAGAGCAGCCGACAATGTCGACACACCAATGCGGTGGGACTTGCGAAGCCTCACTCGCTGCAGCGGGCGTCAACAGCCTGCAACGTCCGGCTCAACAGCAGCGAGGGCGGGGCGCTGCTCAGCGTTATCTCCAACCCTCCCTTCACGCCAGGGCTGTCTATCGTTGCTGCAGGAGACACCCCGCCGCGCAGTGTGTTGAGCGTAACGCACACGGCCCCAACATCTCGAGCATCCCTGTCGGCGTGCCCGCGCTAGTCGACCCTGAGAGCTCCAGTGCAAAAAACCGTCTTGTAGCCGGCGATAATAACCACGCCATTGCGCACATCCCGACTCTTCCCTTTCCCCTCGGCGCCAATTGCACTCTGCCTGTCTCCATCCCCGTCCATATAGTCCCAATTGCCTGCTGCCGTGCCCGCGTTTGCCCACCAGCACACAACACACACGCATAGCAAGGGAGCTGCGAGTATAGCAGTACACATCAAGTCCCAAGCACCACCACCAGGCAGATTAGCTTCTTCCTGAATCATCCCATAGGTACGTTTGCAGTTACTCTTGCGAGGATCTCACCCTCGATTTGTCATGGAACCTTCTCTCCACGCGAGCGGGCCTGGCACGACTGCCACCGCAACTTCCCTGCCAAAATAGCCTAGAGCAGCTCCGCTCACATCTCGCAGACGCACTACTCGTGCTCTTCGTCTCTTCTGGATTTGTAATTGAACTTTGCATTTCTGTCCTTTGAGGTAGGCACCAGCTTTCTTTGTTGTCCAGCAGGCAGGCGCGATTCCTCCCACTCTGCTCTTCCCCGAGCGCTTCTCCGCACTCCAGAGCCCCTCTTCTCAGCCCAAATCTCCACACCGCCGACCAGCAGCTCACACCATCGCTAGGCGCCAATTCCTCCATCATGTACGGATCAGGCCAGCAGACGGGCATTTCCACGCCACGCTCTGCCGCAAATTTGCGCCCGCTCATCCTCACCCACGGCTCGCTCGAGTACACGCTCCTTATTCCAACCGCCCTCCACTTCACCGCCCAGCAATTGAGGGACACCTTCAAGACGACACTTCCCGAGCCCACAGACGAACTTGCCCAAGATGACGAGCCATCGTCAGTCGAGGAGCTGGTCGCGCGATACCTCGGCTTCGTTGCCAAGGAGGTAGAGGAGGGCGAGGACCCCGACTCGTTTGAGGAGGTGCTCAAGCTCGTCCTCACAGAGTTTGAACGCGCATTCCTCCGGGGCAACGAGGTGCATGCCTTGGCTGCTACACTGCCCGGCATCACCGAGAAGAAGCTGGTGGCGGTCCGATCATACTACGCTGCCCGCGCTGCAGTCGAGAGGCCAATCAAGCACCACGAATCTGCGTTGCTGCGCGAGTCCGCCGACGAGAACGCCTTCATATATGCAGTCCTGGGCGGCCAGGGCAACATCGAGGAGTACTTTGATGAACTCCGCGAGATCTACAACACATACGGCTCCTTTGTCGAAGACTTCATCGCCGCCGAAGCACAGCATCTTTTGACTCTGTCGCGAGACCCACGCGCGGAGAAGCTCTACTCCAAGGGACTAGATGTGATGCGCTGGCTCAACAACCGCGAATCGCAGCCTGACACCGACTACTTGGTTTCTGCGCCTGTCAGCTTGCCGCTGATCGGTTTAACACAGCTGGCCCACTACGTCGTCACCTGCAGAGTTCTTGGCAGCCATCCTGGTTATGTCCGAAGTCGCATTGCCGGTGTTACTGGTCATTCACAGGGTGTTGTTACGGCCGCTGCAATCGCAGAAGCAAAGAATTGGGAGACCTTCGAGAAGTCTGCCAAGAAAGCGATTGAGATTCTGTTCTGGGTTGGTACTCGCAGCCAACAAGCTTTCCCCCGAACATCACTCGCGCCATCTGTGCTACAAGACTCCGTCGACAATGGTGAGGGTACACCAACGCCTATGCTTTCGATCCGAGACCTTTCCCGAAAGGCTGTCCAAGATCACATCGATGCGACCAATTCGCATCTGCCGCAAGACAGGCATATTGCCATCTCTCTCGTCAACAGCGCGCGTAATTTCGTAGTAACAGGTCCTCCCATCTCCCTGTACGGGTTGAACCTGCGTCTGCGGAAGAACAAGGCCCCCACTGGTTTGGACCAAACAAGGATACCTTTCACAGAGCGAAAGGTGCGATTTGTTAACCGCTTCCTTCCCATCACCGCCCCATTCCACAGCCCATATCTAGAGGATGCCACAAAGCAGCTCGAGGATGATCTCAAACACATCAAGATCGCAACGAGCGACCTCGGCATTCCCATGTACGATACACACACTGGTCAAGACATCCGCGAGGAGAGCTCCGACAATGTCGTACCCAGGCTTGTAAGCATGATCACCAATGACTCGGTCGAATGGGAGAAAGCGACAATCTTCCCCAAGGCGACCCACATCCTTGACTTTGGCCCGGGCGGTATCTCTGGACTTGGTGTACTCACCCACCGGAACAAGGAAGGAACGGGTGTCCGAGTCATCCTTGCAGGAGCTATCGATGGCCAGAACCCCGAGATTGGTTACAAGCCTGAGATTTTCGACCGCGACTCTGAACACGCCGTCACCTATGCTGCCGACTGGGTCAAGGAGCATGGCCCGAAGCTTGTGAAGACGTCGACTGGCAAGACATACGTTGATACCAAGATGAGCAGAACGCTTGGACTTCCTCCAGTCATGGTCGCCGGTATGACGCCCTGCACTGTTCCCTGGGACTTTGTAGCTGCCACGATGAATGCCGGTTACGAGATTGAGCTTGCTGGTGGTGGCTACTACAACGAAAAGACTATGACTGCTGCTATCAACAAGGTCGAGAAAGCCATCCCTGCTGGTCGTGGTATCTCAATCAATTTGATCTACGTCAGTCCTCGCGCCATGGCCTGGCAGGTCCCCCTTTTGGCCAAGCTGAGAGCTGAGGGTGTGCCTATCGAGGGTCTGACCATCGGTGCCGGCGTGCCTTCCATCGAAGTTGCCAACGAATACATCGAGACTCTCGGCATCAAGCACATGGCTTTCAAGCCTGGTTCAGTTGAGGCTATTCAAGCGACCATGAACATTGCAAAGGCCAACCCAACCTTCCCAATTCTCCTCCAGTGGACTGGAGGCCGTGGTGGTGGCCACCATTCGTTTGAGGATTTCCATCAGCCGATCTTGCAGATGTATGGCCGCATGCGCAAATGCGAAAACTTGATCCTCGTCGCAGGATCTGGCTTTGGTGGCGCGGAAGACACATACCCCTATCTTACCGGTACATGGTCAACCAAATTCGGCTACCCGCCTATGCCCTTCGATGGCTGCTTGTTTGGCAGTCGCGTCATGACTGCTAAAGAAGTACACACTTCCAAGATGGCAAAACAGGCTATTGTTGATGCTCCAGGTCTTGATGACAGCGAATGGGAGAAGACGTACAAGGGCCCAGCCGGCGGTGTCATTACCGTGCGCTCGGAGATGGGTGAGCCAATTCATAAGCTTGCCACGCGCGGTGTCATCTTCTGGCATGAAATGGACCAGAAAATCTTCAGCCTGGACAAGGCTAAACGTGTTCCTGAGCTTAAGAAGATGCGCGAATACATCATCGAGAAGCTGAACAAAGACTTCCAGAAGGTCTGGTTTGGTAAGAACAAGAAGGGAGAATCCGTCGATTTGGAGGACATGACATACACCGAGGTTGTCCAACGAATGGTTGACCTGATGTATGTCAAGCACCAGTCTCGCTGGATCGATCCAAGCTTGAAGAACTTGACCGGGGACTTTATTCGACGAGTCGAGGAACGCTTTAGCAAGACCAGCACTGAGTCGCTCATCCAAAGCTACGAAGAGCTCAATGATCCCTTCCCGATGCTCGAGAAGGTCTTTGAGACTTTCCCCGAGGCCAGCGAGCAGTTGATCAGTGCTCAGGATGTTCAGCACTTCCTCCTGCTCTGTCAGCGAAGGGGACAGAAGCCTGTTCCTTTCGTTCCTGTCCTCGATGACACGTTCGAGTTCTTCTTCAAGAAAGACTCCCTTTGGCAGTCCGAGGACCTCGATGCTGTCGTCGATCAAGATGTTGGCAGGACGTGTATTCTGCAGGGACCCATGGCTGTCAAGTACTGCACCAAGGTTGATGAGCCTATCAAGGAGATTCTGGACGGAGTTCACAACGGCCACATTGAGTATCTGCTTCGTGATGTGTATGAGGGTGACGAGTCCAAAGTGCCTGTTATCGAGTATTTCGGTAGCAAGCTCCTCGCAGTCACGGAAGGAGTGGAGGTCGATGGTCTTACCGTCTCGCAGCTCGAGAACAAGACTATCTACCGTTTGTCCGCCGCCGCCAACGCTACGATGCCTGAAATACAGTCGTGGTTACATCTTCTGGCCGGATCCACTTACTCATGGAGACACGCCTTCTTCACTACCGACGTGTTTGTACAAGGACAGCGCTTCCAGACGAACCCGACTTCCAGGGTCTTTGCCCCTACGCCTGGCATGATAATCGAGATTCTTAATCCTGAGGAGCCTGCCAAAACTTCGATCACGGTGAAGGAGGTTCACCATGGAGCCAAGTACGTCAAGACTGCCGAAGTTAGCCTCGCGGAGAACAACGAGATTGTGCTCAATCTGTACGAGGAGCGCACCGCGCTTAAGCAAACTGTTGCTATGCCTTTCCGCTTCACTTATCGTCCCGACGTCGGCTATGCTCCTATTCACGAAGTCATGGAAGCTCGCAACGACCGAATCAAGGAATTCTACTATAAGATCTGGTTTGGCGATGAGGCGTGCCCCTTCGAGGCCTCGGTTACCTCCCAGTTCGACGGTGGCCGTGCTACTGTCACTAGCGAGGCCATCAACGACTTCGTACATGCTGTTGGTAACACTGGAGAAGCATTCGTTGATCGACCCGGTAAGGAAGTTTTTGCGCCTATGGACTTTGCGATTGTCGTTGGATGGAAAGCCATTACCAAACCCATCTTCCCTCGAGCTATTGATGGTGATCTGCTGAAGCTCGTCCATCTTTCCAACGGGTTCCGCATGATTCCTGGAGCAGAGCCTTTGAAGAAGGGTGATGTGCTCGAAACTACTGCTCAAATCAACGCTGTCATCAACCAAGACGCTGGCAAGATGGTTGAAGTATGCGGTACCATCACTCGGGATGGGGAGTCTGTCATGGAGGTGACGAGCCAGTTCTTGTACCGTGGTGCATACGACGACTTCGAAAACACGTTCCAAAGGAAGATCGAGAAGTTGATGCATCTACACCTGGCTACAAGCAAGGACGTTGCTATCCTACGATCAAAGGAATGGTTCAACTTTGAGGAGCCGGAGATCGACCTATTGAACAAGACTCTGATCTTCAAGCTTGAGACGTTTGTGCGCTACAAGAACAAGACAGCGTTCTCTCAAATCGAGACTATTGGCGAGGTCCAACTCGAACTCCCAACCAAAGAGGTCATCCAGATCGCATCCGTCAACTACCAGTCCGGCACTTCGTATGGCAATCCCGTGCTCGACTACCTTGAGCGTAACGGATCAGTTGTTGATCAACCAGTCCACTTTGAGAACGCGATTCCGCTGCATGGCAAGACACCTCTTACACTGAGGGCCCCTGCCTCCAACGAGAACTATGCTCGTGTCTCGGGCGACTACAACCCTATCCACGTTTCTCGCGTTTTCGCCAGCTACGCCAACTTGCCTGGCACGATCACACACGGCATGTACTCCAGTGCGGCTGTCAGGAGTTTGGTAGAGACGTGGGCTGCCGAGAACAACGTCGGTCGTGTTAGGAGCTACCACGCTAGTCTTGTTGGTATGGTGCTTCCTGACGACATGCTTGATGTCAAGCTCCAGCACGTTGGCATGGTCTCTGGTCGCAAGATCATCAAGATCGAGGTCAGCAACCAAGAGACGGAAGACAAGGTCCTTCTTGGTGAGGCTGAAGTGGAACAACCCACGACGTCGTATGTCTTCACTGGACAGGGTTCCCAGGAGCAAGGCATGGGTATGGAGCTGTACAACAGCAGCGCTGTGGCCAAGGAGGTTTGGGACCGTGCCGACAAGCACTTCATGGACAATTATGGTATGTTACTTTTATTATATGTCGGAAAGTATCAGTCTGCTAACATCGACAAGGATTCGCCATCACCAACATTGTCAAGAACAACCCGAAGGAGCTTACCATCCACTTTGGTGGACCCCGTGGTAAAGCCATCCGCCAGAACTACATGTCGATGACGTTCGAGACTGTCAGTGCCGACGGAACGATCAAGTCGGAGAAGATCTTCAAGGAGGTTGACGAGAACACGACTTCATACACATACCGATCCCCAACCGGTCTGCTGTCTGCCACACAGTTCACGCAGCCTGCCTTGACACTCATGGAGAAGGCTTCTTTCGAGGACATGCGAGCCAAGGGACTGGTCCAGCGCGACAGCACCTTCGCGGGACACTCGCTCGGTGAATACTCTGCTCTTGCTGCGCTAGCCGAAGTGATGCCGATTGAGAGTTTGGTATCGGTCGTGTTCTACCGCGGTCTCACGATGCAGGTGGCAGTGGAGCGTGATGCGGACGGCCGATCCAACTACTCCATGTGCGCTGTCAACCCAAGCAGGATTTCGAAGACATTCAACGAGCAAGCACTTCAGTACGTGGTGGAGAACATTGCGGAGACGACAGGGTGGCTCTTGGAGATTGTCAACTACAACATTGCCAACATGCAGTACGTGGCTGCCGGTGACCTCCGAGCGTTGGACTGCCTCACCAACGTGACCAACTACCTCAAGCAACAGAAGATCGACATCCAGGCGCTCATGCAGAGCTTGTCGATGGAGGATGTCAAGGCCCACTTAGTGGAGATTATCAAGGGCTGCGCCGAGCAGACTGAAGCCAAGCCCAAGCCTCTGGATCTGCAGCGTGGATTCGCGACGATTCCGCTCAAGGGCATCGATGTGCCGTTCCACAGCACCTTTTTGCGATCTGGAGTCAAGCCATTCCGCAGCTTCCTGCTCAAGAAGATTCACAAGACGTCGATCGACCCGTCCAAGCTGGTCGGCAAATATATTCCTAACGTGACGGCCAAGCCGTTTGCCCTTACCAAGGAGTACTTTGAGGATGTGTACAAGCTCACCAACTCCCCAAAGATTGGCAACATCCTGGCCAACTGGGAGAAGTACGAGGAGAAGGAGGGCAGCACAGAAGAGAGCAAGGTGGCAGCTTAGATGGGGGTAATGTAGTTTGTAATGATGCAGGCGTTTCGACGGGTCTGGGTAGATGATTTGATATCCAAAAGGTTATGGTCTTGTTGGGGAGGTTTCAAGATGTTTATAGTTTCAATTCTGACGATTTCATTGACGACTTTATAACTATGCATGCGTGGTGCCTTTCAGTAATGAGTGGGTTGTCTTACCGTACGTGCCATTCACCATTAAGTCTCACTCGATTTGGGGTGTACGTGTATATAGTGGATCGTCGCGTGCAAGTTCAGGTGGGTTGTTGAGGCGGTGCAACTGCCACAGTTCGGAAGTGCCGTAAAGTCCGCAATTGTTTACGTCGACAGCAAACATAGCGACGGGCGAGGCACCCCACACAGCACAACATCATCATCGCCCCTCCACGCCCCCTTGCCAATTTTTTTTCGAAACACAGCAAGCCAGCAGCCATGTCGCGGGGTCACCGGCAGTCGACGACGCCCATGGACTTTGAATGGTCGAACCAGCGCGGGCCCGTCGACCAGCAGTCGCCCTTCATCACCGCAACAGGCGGCTCGCATGCAGCAAAGAAACGTGAGCCCTCGCGTCAGGACGATGCACAGCAGCGGTTAACCCCCCAGCCAGGCCCGCACTCGGTCCTCGACTCGCCGTCCAGAAACGCCTTCGCGACGCCCAACCGCCCGCACCTGCGCGACCCCGACTCGCGCCCCTTCTTCTTCGACCAGAGCAACGTCAAGCCGCTGCCCTCGATACCCTCACACGTACAGAGCGCATGGGAGCCGCGCACGCCCACGAGCAACGTCGACTTCAGCTCCGGCGGCGAGACGCCCAACACGCCGGGCATGGACAGCGACCAGGCGACGCCCGACACACAGCTGGCCAGCAGCATGGGACGGCTGGGGAACGGCGACGCCAGCAGTCCCAAGAAGGGCGCGCGCCGCGAGAGCTGGTTCAGACGCGCCTTCATGCCCAGCCCCAGCCCGTCCAAGGACCCGCCCCGCGACGACCCGCGCAAATACTACTCCACCAAGGCCGAGACGCGCATCGCGAAGCGGCGGTCCCGCGAGCGCAAGAAAGCCTTCATACGCGACGACGACGAGGGCGACTACTCCGACGCCGAGCACCAATCCCCCACCACCCCAAACCCCGCGCCCACACACCCCACCACAGTCCAACAAACATTCGCCATGAGCGTCGGCGGCTTCCTCTCCTGGATCGAAGCCCACCCCCACCTCCCCTCCGTCCTATCCTTCTACATGCAGCTCGCCGTCAACACATTCCTCGGCTGCCTGTTCATCTACCTAATCTACAGCGCCTGGAGCGGCGTCATGACAGACGTCGACATCGAGTCGTCCAAGCACCTCTCCCAAGTCATGGTCGACATCGCCTTCTGCACGAAAGAGTATAACCAAAATCGCTGCAGCCCGGAGGAGCGCGTGCCGCATATGGAGAATGTTTGTGGCGTCTGGCAGACGTGCATGGATCGCGATCCGAGGAAGATTGCGCGCGCGAGTGTGACGGCGAGGACGTTTGCGAGGATTTTTAATAGCTTTACGGAGGAGTTTAGCTATAAGAGTATGGTATGTTGTTGTCTTTTTCGTTCTTGCGTGTCTTTTCATGGTTGTCTCGCTTCAACTATCCCCCCTCCCCTTCTTGCCTACACTAACCCCCAACCCCCCAAAACAGATCTTCACAGCAATAATCATCTTCGGCGGCTTCAACCTCTCCAACTGGGCTTTTGGCATCGTCCGCTCCCAACAAGCACAACAACAGGCCCAAGCCGCCCAACAACATCAACATCAACATCCCCCACCGCAAACACCACACCGCGTCCCCTCGAACAGCTACGCCGACACACCGTACCCCGATACCGCGTACGTGGATAACCAATCCCATTGGCAGACTCAGACTCAGAACCCTGCGCTGCATACGCCGTATGCGGATCGTAGGCCCATGTTGATTGAACATGCGAGGAGTTCGCCGGCTGTGCCTGGTGTGAGGGAGGATGTGGGCATGGGTGCGGGGAGGAAGAGGGGGTTTCGGTGATGGGGGTGCTTTTTTTTCATTTGGGGGTTTTTCTGTCTTGGGGGGTTTGGGGGTTCTGGTTTGGGTGGGGATGGGTAGGCGTAGGGAAAGGGAAAGGGTGGGGGTGATGACTTTGTATGAACACGTCTTTTTTCTTTGTTTCTCTTTTCGATTTTCTTCATCTCATTCTTATTCTTAGGTCCTTTTCCGTTCCGTTCCATCTCTGTTTCGGTTCTTTCATCTCAGTTGGATTCGTCTCACCATACTGTGCCACGCTACGTATAACTGTGCTATACTAGCAGAGCAGAGGATTGAGCAGGGTGTGTTGGACATTCGTATAACATCCCGTCCCGTCCCGTTCTATCCCGTCCCATCCCGACAACATTTCACTTCCAAGCGATCGCTGATCTTCTGAACTACTGACGAGTAATAAGGTATACAAATCGAGCTCCTATCCTAGGGAGGATATGCTTGCTACACCAACTCATTCATCCATCACGGCATCACCATCCAACCCAACCCACCTCCACCCAACAGCAGATCTCACTCCCCCAAATCCCTCACCCCCGCCCCCGCCGCTGCCCGATTCCGCGCATGCATCCGCCTCCTCCCCATCGCCACACTCTCCTCGCGCGCAAACAATTCCGGCACCACGCCCCCACCGCGAATCAGACGCGTATGCGCAATCGTAACCGAGTCGCGATGGCCGCGGAACTTCACATCGCTGTCTTCGAGGTTCGACAGTTTGCGAGATGAAGTGGGGGGCTTTTTTCGACTTACTCCCCCGTGTGCGGACTCGGGATGGGGAGCGAGCAGTGGTGATGTGCCGTTCAGACCTGCGGCCGTGGGACTAAGGCCATCCAGCGATGCAGCGCGGGATGGTGGGCGGGACGGCGTGGCGCTGGTATGCTGGCTGTTTGGCGGGGCGAGGATGGGTGTATGCCCTTCCTCATGCCCATCCTCGTCTTCCTCCTCGCCATCGTCATCGTCGTCGGTTAGTGCGTACCCGTCGTCGTCGGGGAAGACGACGAGCGTCGGCGCGTTCTGCGTGCCCGACCAATCCGCCAGCTTCGAATTGACGCGCTCGAGGCCACGCGTGGCGCTCGATCGCAGGGAGGATGTGCGCCGTCGGCGGGTTGGTGTGGGGGGGATGGCATCCCAGAGGATTTCGTAGCAAGTGGTTTGCGATTCTATGATCTGCTTTGTGGGGGTTGCGGTAGCTGGAGAGGGGGCTGAGGTGGAGGTTGGGTCGCTGGTGAATGCTGTGGCGATTCTAGGGGAGCTGTGTTAGTAGGAGGGGAGATCGTGGGGGGTTGGACTGGACGTACACATGCACATCTGCGCGCGTGACTGCCGTGCCTGCCAGGGCGCTTTTCTTCGTGTTGGGCGTGCTGGGACAGCGTGGTCGGGCGCGGCCTGTTCGCTTCGATACATCGCGCTTCATCTTGTCATCGGTGGCTTTCTTTGCGGTAGCCGGCAGTGGGGATAGGAGGAGTAACGGCTTCGTCGCCTCCTCAAAATCTACAGTCTTGACGCGCCGCAGGATCCTAGGGCCCGTCGACGTATCAGCATCTTCACGTGGCTCACTTGGCGGGCTCGTCGTGGCGCTCTTCGCTTTGTGCTTCAGACAGGTCTTGAGCGGTGCTGTCTTTGGGTAGGGCTCCTTGGATTGCGTGGGACTTTCTGGTAAGTCTGCATCTGAGCTCGAGTGTGTAGATGAATACCACTGGACGTCTGGCCCCGATCTGCGTATACTGGTGTAGCACACTCGTTTGCTCACTGTTCGCATCTGTCCAGAGCGTGTGGGCTGGACGGCATGTCTGGCTGCGTGTTTGGTATGCGTGATGAGCTGCTCCTGGAGGATTGCCGGCGGCGAAGCAGGGTCGTGGTACTGCGAGCGGAGTCTGATCTGCGAGGTACTCGACGAGCGATGGGGTGTTGGACGGGAAGGTCGCAGGGAAGACCTAGACTGAGACGTGGTGGGCTGGTCATCATGAAGACTGGTTCCCTCGTCGAAACGGAGCACGGCCTGTACCTCGTCTGCAGCAGAATCCTGCCTCTTCCCATGGTCTTGCACGGTCAAGTCGCTCATAGTTCGTTTCATCGGCTGGGCGTTCTTTGAAAGGGGATGGTGTTGCGTTGAGTCTTGACTCGATGCTTCGCTCGAGCTCACATCGCTGTCGAGCTCCTTCTCGGAGAAATATGGGTTGTTGCTCGTTGCTCTCGTGGTGTCAAGGGGGTCTGCGCTGGGGTTGTTGGTGATGGTGTAGCTGGAGACGGATGTGACGGTCAAACAGCCAGAGATAGGATCCATCTCCAGCACAAGGGGCGTTCCGTCCGGTGTACGAGGGAGAGGAAGTAGGAAAGAGAAGTGACGGGACGCCCGGCTAGGAATTGCCGTTGCAGAGAGATAGTTAGTGATGGCTTGACGGTATAGTGCTTGAGGTGAGTTCGGAGAGTAGTAGGATGTAGGAATGAATCTAAGGTGAGATATTCCCAGCCTCTGCCGGCCAGGGCGCTGTTTGGAGGTGAGAAGCCATAAATTGGCAAGAGCGATATGGTCATGCCAATTCGTGCCCCATCTCTAACAGCGACCCTCTGCTCTTTCCTCCGGAGTGAGTTGAGACATCATTGCAATTCGTGTGCGCCTTCCAATATAATCATGAGTGTGTCAAATCCTCGACATGGCAGCCTGGGATATACCACCTCAGTCTAGTCAGCAAGGCATATATAGGGGGTAAATTTCACTCTGTTCGGCGGTAGAAGTAACGGGCTTGCACTACCAGCTCGCTTTGTGGAACAATTGATACCTTGACATCCGTGCAATTTTTCTCACGCAATCTAGACAGTTCAAGAGATATCGAATGTTGCAAAGAGGAGAACACAACCTCCGCGGTGTAGTGCTGCGCGGCATGTCGTCATCTCAAGACATGGGTACGATCCGGCATCAACTCCGCACTCATCTACTCCGCTCAACGACTCACAACCCACCATCTGGACAACGTGTGCTACCACCCCTACAGTCCAACATTAGTCATATATATAGGATCTGCACGAGGCTTGGCTGATGGCCTCTCAGAACGCGGTCCTGGGCGCGGGCCGCTTCCTGTACTACCAGATGCTTGTCTGAGGGTGTGATGCAGGAACGGAGACCCATTACCTATCACGGCTTCCTCACAGCCAAACAAAGGACAACGTGTGCTCGTAAGATGACGAAAACGCATACTGCCCTGGGAATGCTGGGGAATAAGGGCGTTTTCAAACATTTATATATAAGATGATCATACCAGCCTGAATTTCCCAAGGCTGATCCTCCGCGATGTTATTCATAGCATATCTCAACTTCCTGGCCCTGGCTCTGCCATCCAGACAAGTCGTCGCCAGCCCAGTTGCAAGCAATGCTTCCACGCCAGTCAATGTCACGACCTGCAATGGGCAGACGTACATGTACGAAGAGCTCGCCGGTTATGGTAAGTTGGCCAGCGACGCACGTGACAAGTTCGGTGACACGATTGGCGGAATTGGAAGTGCCATCGCGGTCGACAAGACGACTTGGAAAAAGGTCGGCACAAAGGCATACCAGGGCATCGTATACGGACTTCCAGACCGTGGTTGGAACACACAGGGCACACAGAACACGCAGAGCAGGATCCACAAGTTCAGCTTCAACTTCACAATTGTAGACAACGCGACAGTAGCAAACCCAGCGGCGCCAAACTTCAAACTCACCTACCTGGACACGCTACTCCTCACGGGTCCAGACGGCACGCCGTTGACAGGCCTTGATCCCACGGGCAATGTGTCGTACCCAGGATTTCCGAGTCTGCCTCTGGCTACATGTAAAACGCCATCGATCTCCCTCAGAAAGCGAAAGGATGCTGACACTCCACCAGACACTGGCAACGGCTTCGGCCAGAATGGCACAGGAGGTTCACGCATCGCCCTCGACACTGAAGGCCTCGTGCTCGGCGCCGGAGGCACATACTGGATCAGCGACGAGTACGCCCCCTACATCTACCAGTTCTCACCTACAGGCCAGATGCTACAAGCAATCCGTACTCCACCAGCACTCATCCCCTTGCGCAACAACACACAAAGCTTCAGCGCCGCCTCGCCGCCAATCTACGACCCGACTCTCACCATCTCGCCCGAAGATCCAGACTCAGGCCGCGCCAACAACCAAGGCTTGGAAGCCCTAACTGCCAGCCCTAACGGCACCTTCCTGTACACGATGCTGCAGAGCGCCACCATACAAGACGGCGGCAGCAAGTCCTCAACCCGCCGCTACACACGCCTTCTGCAATACCGCATCGACGGCCCATCCCCCGTCTACGAAGCCGAATACGTCGTCCCCCTCCCGCTCCTCTCGACAGGAAAAGTCGCTGGCCAGTCCGACATGCACTACATATCCCCCACGCAGTTCCTCGTCCTAGCCCGCGACTCGAATGCCGGACACGGTGCCGCTTCGTCCATGTCGATGTACCGCAACGCAGATATCATCGACATCTCGGCGGCGACGAACGTCAAGGGCGCCGCGGCGGATGCGGCTACTGGACAGATCGCGAGCCGTAAGGGCGTGCTGAACTCTGGCATCGTGCCTGCGACGTACTGCCCTTGGTTGGACTACAACGTCAACGCGCAGTTGAACCGGTTTGGGGTGCACAACGGCGGTGCGCAGGATGCGGCACTGCTGAATGAGAAGTGGGAGAGCTTTGCCTTGTTGCCCATCGAGGGGGACGAGTACTATCTCTTATCATTTTCGGATAACGATTTTATCACGCAGAATGGTATGTTTTTTTATTTCTTCTGTTTCGAGGGTGTCTGGTTAGGAAGGCGTGAGTGGCTAACGATGAGTGATAGGGTATATCAATTTTGGTGCTTTTCAGTACAAAGACGCTTCGGGGTATGATCTGGATTCGCAGGTCTTGGTCTTTAAGGTCAGGTTGCCTGCGGGTGCGACGCCGTCGTGAGTGTGGGTTTTGAATACGGGTTGAGATGGAATGGTTACCTACCACTTACTCGCAGATTGCACGAAGCTATAAAATGTCATTCCAATTGCTGTCGTAAACGTACGTTGCCTGTCGTATCGAATCGAAACTTAGACACAGCCTGGTACCTAGCAGTCATTCCTGACTGAACATTTCGTGTTCAATGTATTTTCAATATGCATCAACTGGCTAATTGACAGTAGAGCTTATATACAATGTCAGAAGAAGGGCCTTAGAGATACATCTTGCGCTTGACATACTAGGGGAGATTTGATGATAACAAATTTCAGACCCGGCTATGACACGCTGCGAAATCTCGATGGTGGTTTGGGTTCGAGCATAGATATTGGGGGACCAGGAGGCTGAGGCTGAGGGGGATGTCGAGCTGAGCCGAGCTAACCATGTCTTTGTATCGGAGGACGCGATATGCACTTGGAAGATCCTTCAGTCGCGGGTAATTCCGTTACAGTTCTTGATCCTATCAACATGTCCTGCTTTCATCTGGCTTGACTAGCGATAATGTGTATAGGTGGAAAGATTGTCAGTAGGCGTTTGAGTATCTGAGCAAAAGGCGGTCAACCGTGTAAAATAGATAGCGAAAAGTCGAGGTGTTGATCAATCTTAGTGACATTGGCTTCTGCAACACCGTTTATGCAAGTGATGATTGGTTGAAGGTGTACAGCAGGGGTCACGGGTCTGTCATCTCAGAACAACGAATGAAGCTGTTTAAAGTGTATGTCAAAATCCAAGCTTGCGTCATCTGGCTTGGCCTTGAAATCCGGACAGTCCGATAGAAAAGTCTCTCCCAAGGCCTACCAAATCAATAATAGGTCTTTCTTCACCCATGTCAGCCAAAAGGTGATGGCGCAATGTTCTGCCCAACACGCGATTACATGCATCCGTGTGGATACCGCACGCACCCTGCAAGATCCCGACTGCACACAAACATTTCAATCGCATGTCAGTTTCTTATATCGTTAACGCCGACCCGCTCGAACACATGTCCTCCGTCTTACTCTCACACGCAGCAATGCTTAGTAGATGTCCAACGGATCGGCTGATAGTAAGCCTCGGTAGCACGGATGCCGCCTAGGCGGCGTGGCCGACATCCACGCGTGCTACGGCTCGCACGCTCCAGGGAGGATGAGTGCAACCTCACACTGGAAGTGTCGACACAATATTGGGCCGGTCGGAGATGAACCCTGTGTCTGTTGTGTAGCTCCGCTACCCACATTGGATCGGTATATAAGTGTCTAGCTGTCCCGGGTGTATCGGCTTTCCGTTGGTCTTCAGGTCTATCCGACGGGGCAAAGAACATCCGTATCACCTTATCAACCCACAGCTTGTGAAAGGCGTCTATAAACACATAAGTAGGAGGTGTACGCCTTTTCGACAAGTAATTAAGGCACAGCTGCGGGCAACTCGTGTGCTATCCACAGAGAACTCCATCCAAGCGGGACCGACCTACGTCACAAAATCGACAACACATTTCCAACATAGCATTTTTGCTTCATTCACTTTTCAACACCATGGCGCAATCACCTCTTCTTTTTGCCGTCGTCGGCGCCTTCTTCTCATACGTTTTGTACTCACGAGTCACGCTCTACCTGGCACGCCGACGCTTCAAGAGGGAAAACGGCTGCCTTCCATGTCCTCATGTTTTCAACCGCGATCCATTTCTTGGCATCGATGTCATCAAGACTCAAGCACAGAACCACAAGAATCATGTGATGCTCAAAGAGAACCAGAAGCGCTTTGCAAGACTTGGAAACACATTTCATACGAGAATGGTCTTGATGCCTAGTAGGTGTCCGCTTACATGAATTACCGAATTATCGAGGCTGATACGATTTCTAGTGATCGCAACATGTGAGCCGCTCAACGTCAAAACACTTCTGAGCCTCAAGTTCAAAGACTACGGATTCGGGAATCGACAAACCAGCTTTGGGCCTCTATTGGGTCACGGCATCTTCAATGCGGATGGTGAGCGATGGGCCAACAGCCGGCATCTCCTCCGGCCCAATTTTGCCAGAGAGCAGGTTGCCGATCTAGAGGCGTTCGAGTGCCACTTCAAGCTCATGCTCAAGCATATTCCCAGAGATGGATCTACTGTCGACCTGCAAGAGCTTTTTTTCCGCCTGACGATTGACACCGCTACCGAGTTTCTTTTCAATCACTCGACAAACTCGCTACGCATGGTCGGTCAGGACGATGCGAACAACGAAGACGCAATCTTCGGCAATGCATTCAACTTCGCACAATACGACGCTACGGTTCGTGCCCGTCTCGGGTTCTTGGACCGCTTCCGCAAGAACACAGAGGGTGAAGAGGCGATCCGCATCTGCCACACGTACATTGACAGGTTCGTGGACGACGCATTGTTGTTCAGGAAGAAGATGGACGAAGAGAAGCAAGCCGGTAGTCAACAAGAAGAGCGCTACATTTTCATCCACGAGCTAGCCAAGCAAACCACAGACAAGAAGAGGATCCGAGACGAGCTCATCAACATCCTGCTTGCAGGCCGCGACACCACAGCCAGTCTGCTTAGCAACATGTTCTTCGAGCTCGCCAAAAACCCCGCCATCTACGCCAAGCTGCGAGAGGAAGTAGCTACCCTGGATGGACGCACACCCACATACGAGGAACTGAAGAACCTAAAGTACCTCAAGTACTGCATAAACGAATGTAATTACCCCCCCTTCCACCCTACCTCCAACTTACATACTAACAACCCCCAGCCCTCCGCCTAACCCCCGTCGTCCCCCAAAACTCCCGCCAAGCAATCGTCGACACAGTCCTCCCCCGCGGCGGCGGCGCAGACGGCCAATCCCCGCTCTTCGTCGCCAAAGGCACGATCGTCGGCTACGCGCCCTACGTCATGCACCGGCGCCAGGACTTCTACGGGCCCGACGCAGACGAGTACAAGCCCGAGCGCTGGGAAACGCTGCGCCCCGGCTGGGAGTATCTGCCCTTCAACGGCGGGCCGCGCATCTGCCTTGGCCAGCAGTACGCTTTGACCGAGGCGGGGTACGTCACGGTGAGGCTAGTGCAGGAGTTTCAGGTCATGGAGAGTAGGGACCCGGGGCCGTGGGAGGAGAGCTTGACGCTTACTTGCTCGTCGCGGAATGGGACGAAGGTTGGGTTTACGCCTGCTTAGTGGGGGTGGAGGTTGTTTGAGGGGCTGTTTTGGAGTTTGTATATCATGGGGAAGGAAGTGATGGAGAATGTAGATGGATTGTTGTGATGATGGATAGCTGTCGGTTCACGTTTTGCTTGTTAGTGTATGAGTTTTGACGTTGATCTCGAAACATGCATCATACCCGCTTAGTTTCGAGGCTCATGAAAATCAGCATCGCTTCGCTTCTATATCGCGCTTTCCTCGGCCTGACTGGCATGTTTTCAGATAAATGAATGGAGTGACGCAACATGTGCTGTGCGGGAGAACAATCCTAGCCGTGTCTTCGCTTTACAGTAGTCTTCTTGAACAAGTGATCATTGATTGTATGATCGCTGCGCAATAGAAACAATACATGCAGGCAACCATATTTCTTTTCAGACTAGAGACAGATATGAAACAGAAAGTGACAAACACTATACCTATGTGAATACAAAAATACACATTCCGCTCATCATGCAGCCATGTACTCAAACAACCCTTTCCCGCAGAAGTAAAAGCATTCACATATTAATGACCCAGGGAATCACATTTTACAACACCTCCCGCAGAACATCACTCGCTGTCCGATCCAGAGCTCGATTCCTCAGCGGAAGAAGAGTCGACGGCTTCCGACTGTACGTCTTCTGCATCGTCTCCCTGGCCATACTCCTCCACGTCGTCTTTTTCATCATCCTTTTCGTCGTCCGTCGTCTCATTGGGATATTTCTCAGGGACGAGTGCCACAGGCCCAGTTCGAGACGAGCGACTATTGCCCGCGCAACCCATCTGGTTACCAGCAGTGTTAGCAGAATCTTTCCTCCCTCTCGTCCCAACGACACGTATATTCTCGCCTTCTCGCTCCTGCTCATGCTCGTACTTCCTCTGCGCATCCTCCTGCTTCGCATCAAGAAACGCATCTGTATCCCTAACCGCGCAACCCAGCGCCTCATCATGCAGCATCCCCGCACCCACAAGCTCAAGGTACTTCTTCGAGCAGATCTGATTATGCGAAGGAGCAGTCGCCTTCTCCCTCTCCCTCGCCTTGCTCTTAGTCAACTTATACGGCTTGCGCGGCTTCCAGTTCGACAAGCCCGGAGCTTCCTGGCGTATAACAACGCCAACAGGCATGTAGAAGTCCATCTCGACATGTCGACCTGCGCCGGCTTTGTTCGACCCGCAGCCGGGGCAGGACCGCTTGTCGCCTGCGAGGTAGTACCGGCCCAGTGCGTGGTTGACGTCGCAGCGCCAGGCGCGTTCTTCGTGGCGGTGGCGCTTGGTGAAGTACGCGCATGCTGGGAGGTCCTGGCCGTGCTCCATGGTTGCGGAGCCGCTGGGATGGGGCCCGAGATCGGGTTCTGGCTCTGGGCTGGGCTCGGGCGTGGGCTCCTTGCGGGGTTTGGGTCGCAGGTGTTGTTCTACGGCGTGTACACCTATCTGGCGAGCACCGGCTTCGTCAGAACCGGCACTTATGGCTGCCCAGTAGGCTTCCTTTGCGATGCTGTTGTGAGACAGGTGGGTTGAGCGCCGGGCTTTGCCTAGAAGCTTGCTTGGTTTCCAGAGCTGTCCCGGCGCCGGCTGGAACATGTGTGTGCGGGATGGCAGATAGAAATCCATCATCTGGAGCTTGGGGTTCTCGCTGATGGAAGTGAAGCAGCCTGCGCAGTTCTTGCGATCTCCGGCATTGTAGTAGTAACCCATGGCATGTTTGATGCCGCAGCGCCATACTGGTTTCTCGTCGTCGACTTTGGGTTCAAAGTACGCATTTGGGGGGAACTGCTGATGAGCTTCAAGTGTCGTTGACCCGCTCGGGTGAGGCTGTAGAAGCGAACGGTCAACAATATTCCTTGGGCGGGGTTGAACGGCAGCTTCCTCTGGAGGGACGACTTGCGTCCCGATTTTGCGTTTCTTCTTCGACGGCTGCACGATCTGCTTCCTCTTGCTAGTCTCTTCCACTGACTTGCGCTTTCCCTTTCGAATCGATGTGTTTGTGGAATTTGATGGAGACGGTGCACTCGAAGCCGACACAGATTGTCCTTGCGGTTGAGGAAGGAAAGAGAGCTGCTGCTGCTCTCGAGCTTCAATGGCTTCGATCCTCTCGTCGATATCGTCTGCAACAGGACGGTAACCTTGCGCGATGGCGGCGGCAACGATCTGCCTGATACCTGGAAGCGCACCTCGAAGGCTCTGCTGTGGAAGCCCCCACTTCTCAATCACCCGACGCTTGTGGTCGTAGATGAGCTGCGTCAACCATGAAGGTACCTCCTCAGGTTGATCGACTCTTCCGGGCTCCTGGAAAGAAATGATACGATCACTGTTGAGGGCGTCGTTCCCATACAGGTTGGCTAGCTCCTCGAGACGCGTAATCTCGTCAATCAGGACAGTGTCATCTGGGGTGGGACCTGGACTGGATCGCGATGCTTGAGTTGTGTCGCTTTGACGTAGATCTCGCAAATCTGATATGATCTGAGGCTCGTTGTTGGCAAACTCAGTCAGCTCCACCTCGTTGCCGATGTTCTGGTCAGTCGAGGTAATTGGCAAAAGGCTGTGACGCTCGTCATCTACGCCTAACTCGGGAAAACTCGACAGCCAGTTGCCGCGAGACGATACGCGTTGCTCATCTCGAATCGCTGCCCCAGACATGCGTTGACTTCTGCGCTTCTTTGTGGTCGGTAGTCTTGTGGCGCGGCCAGTGGGCAAAGAGTTGCCAGAACTTTCGTTCAGCAACAACGTATGAGCCACATCGTCAATGTCCTCGAAGGGGGAATTGTGATGACTTATAGGGTACTCCTTTGGGGTGAACCAGACCATTGCAGGCTGCGCATCAGCACGGTGCCACGATTCATTCATCTTGCTGGCCGCCGGCAATGTGCTTCTAGGACCGAAATAGGCGAAAACACTCTTATCAAAGGTGTTCATGTCGAGAAAAGGCGCACCTTCTTTTCCGTCATTCACAAGTAGGTTGACGGCACGATGGTGAGCATTCCAGATCATCTTGTTGGTGATGTAGTTCACGTTAGCTGCAACTAGTGCCATGTAACTCTCAACCTCCTCTTCAAAGTCCAGAGCTTTGAAGCACTCTTTGATCTTGTCCGGGTGCAGAGCGTGGGCCAGGAAGTTCTTGACGAAGGCCGCTTCATATGCTTTCTGGTTGGCTTGGTAGAGGGCAAAATTGGCGTAGTCTTCTTTCGATGGCTCTCGACGATTGAGATGAACACCGATACGGGCGCGCTGAGCACGCGAGCCAGTGGACTGTACGTGGTCGTGGTTAATCAGAGCTACTTGCTATTAGCAGAAGTTCCATCGTAGGAGTAAACATACATACCTGGCGTCAGAGGTAGTCCACACGGTATGAAAAACTGCTCCATCGCTCCGTATGTCGGAGATCCGTTGTCGTTGTCATCTTGCTTCGCGACAAGGTTATGATGAGTGGAATCTGGAGCAGCGTCAAGGGACTTGGGAGAAGGCGGGTCAAGAGTGCCGTCGCTCCAATCGACCTGGTCCTCATCTTCGAACGCCATTGCTGATGAAACCCAGAGGGGCGGAAAGTATGTGATGTTCGAAAATTATCAAGAAAGCTGATGTACCTCGAGGTGTTAATGCAGCAATTCTGCGAAGCGACAGATCATTTCAAATCCCTGATCGCATGAGCCATGTTCTTAGACTCTGATTCAAACGACGTCCGGCGCGATAAGATGCAAGAGGTCATGCTAAGGCTTTTGTTTGAAGTGGGAGGGCAAAACATTGATCAATGAGAACGCGTGGTGAGCGTTTGCTGCATCTGTGACCTCTGACTGCTGCCCAACATCTCGAACCACTCCTCAGCAAAGCTTGGTTCTCGAGTCATTAGTCAACGCGTCCGATCGATTTGAAATACTACTGGACGTGTGGTCGATGTTGCGGTATGCGTGCGGATGTTGGCTGTTTGTCGCTTCAAAGAATTGTGGATTTTCGTAAGGCTTCATCTTCTGGACGTCAAACGGGAAAGAGCAAGAACCTGGGTGCGACAAAACCAGCATAAAATATATGGAAAAAGGACGTTATCCAGCTTCATGTCTGAGAGTAGTGACGATTGGCGCGTCTCGTTGTCTCATGCTCAAGTCAATATGAGATAATCCCATAGGGTTTGCTGGGGGGTTTTCTCGAAAAGCTGGCACCGCAGATGTAGAATTATTCGATCTCAGCCTACACCCTGTCAATTAAGTTGCAACATGAATATGTATAGTTTGACAGGGGTTTATTGATGGGCTTTTATGGAGTTTCGCAGCAGACATGTTGCTCTGAGAAATGGTTGTCTCCATACTGCACAGCCTTTGATAAGCAAACATGAGGTGTCGCCTCATGTTAATGCATGTCAGAATCTACAAGCACTGTAAAGAACGAGCTCTGTTGAAACGAGCGATAACCCAATTGCTGGTCGTTAGATTTGGACTGTTGAAGTCGATCTCCTAAATCATGTCGTGACGCGGCGATGATACCGATGTGGGATGTGATAGACACGAGATGCCAACGTGCGCACAGGCCTCGTGTTTTGGGAGATCCTCCAAGTGGCATCTTCCAAGCTTCAATTCCCCCAAACACATGAAGATGGGAAGACAACACCTATCCTCGCTTGCATTGCTACTACCAATCCTCGCCAGCACAACAAATGCGGCTTCAGATGCTGCCCGGCCGCGGGGAGTAGGTCCTGAGTGTAGGTCACATCCGCTAGAGCTCCACGCTACCGAAGCATTCCCGCAATACACGACTGACATTGAGGATTGCAGATGCAAAGTACTACAAAGACACGGACACATTCACGTGCATCTCGGACCCCTCGCTCAAAATCCCCTTCGCCCGCGTTAACGACGACTACTGCGATTGCCCCGATGGCTCAGACGAACCAGGAACCTCCGCATGTTCCTACATCTCGCCTCTCTCCCCACCTCAGCTGCAGACTGGGGACAATTTATCCTTGCCTGGCTTCTACTGCAAAAACAAGGGTCACATGCCCAGCTATATCCCCTTCACGCATGTCAACGACGGAAAATGCGACCACGAGCTGTGCTGCGACGGAAGCGACGAGTATGCGGGCATTGGGGGCGTCAAATGCGATGACAGGTGTGCAAAGATTGGCAAGGAGTGGAAAAAGCAGGAGGAAATTCGGCAGAAGAGCATGAATGCTGCGAGACAGCGGAGGAAGGAACTGGTCGCTGAAGCCGCGCGACTGCAGCTGGAGGTCGAGGATCGTATCAAAACACTTCAAACACAGATCGAAGGTCAGACCCAGAAGGTCGAGGGCCTCACAAGGAGCCTTGTGGAGATCGAGAGGGCGGAGAAGGGCAAGATAGTCAGAGGTGCGGGCGGAGGTGGGAAGGTCACTGTGCTGGCTGGCCTGGCCAAGGAAAGAATTCGGGAAATCGTTGAGAATGTGAACAGAGTGCGCAGCGAGAGAGACGCGGCGCAAGGTAGAGTGGAAGAGCTGGAGGCTATGTTGAAGCGCTTCAAGGAGGAATACAACCCCAACTTCAATGATGAGGGTGTGAAACGCGCGGTCAAGGCCTGGGAAGACTATGCCGCACAGGACAGGACCGGACCTGATGTTGCTCGCGACCGCGACCTTGACGAAATCCTCAGAGATGACTCTGAGAGCGCTATCAAGTGGGAAGAGTTTGAGACTGTTGAGGAAACCGACGTCGACCTCCGTAAGTGAAACCTTACTGACTCCCTATCGTCCAACAGAATTGCCATACTAATACGTTCTTCAGTCTTCCAATTTGAAGAATACCTCCCTGCATCCATTCGTACATGGGTCGACGCCAAACTCCGCGACCTGCGCCTCCTCCTAATCGAAAATGGCGTCCTCGCCGACCCAAACAGCGATAGCCCCGAATCCACAGCCGTCACCAGCGCCAAGGCACAGCTCAAATCCGCGACCCGTGAGCTTGATGACGACAAATCAGAACTGAAAAGGCATGAAGAAGACCTGCTCAAGGACTACGGCCCAGACTCGATATTCCGCGCTCTCGCCTCTACATGCGTGAGCCAAGATTCAGGCGAGTACACATACGAGCACTGCTTCCTGGAGAAAGTCACGCAAAAGTCGAAGAAAGGCGGTGGTCACACACGCTTGGGCAGCTTTGTCCGTATTGAGCTTGTGACGGTAGATGATGAGGTTGCGCCTGACGGACGCGGTCTAGGGTCAGGAAACAGAATCGCGCTCAAATATGAAAATGGTCAGCACTGCTGGAACGGACCGAATAGAAGTACACAAGTCATTTTGGCCTGTGCGGAGAAGGATGAGATTTGGAAGGTGGTGGAGGAAGAGAAGTGTGTCTATCGCATGGAGGTTGGTACACCTGCGGTTTGTGGGGTTGAAGTGGGTCCACCGACAACACCTGAGCATAACGAGCTCTAGAGGGGCATGGAGCAAAGAGCTTGAGGGGTCTGCAGTATACTCTAGAACCCTTGTCAGACACCGTTGACGACGTTGACCTTGAACTCGAGCTGTTGCTAGCGGAGTCTAGCGCCTGATGACGAATATAACGATGCAGAAAGGAAATGATTGATAAACGTCGCAATATTGGCCCCTGACACGATCTTCGACAATGAAGATCTTCCATAAGAGTGAGCATTGGCTCTCTGTTCTTGGACCGCAGATCCGGCTTCTCGTGATGTAAAATGCATCGGAAACAAGCCGAGACTTGGCATCGCTGACCCGGAATATCAACACTTGTATAGATTACTTAGTACATGGTATACCTTGCTGCAGGGTTTTCTTTGAGACCATATAACATTAACGAGCAGCGAGGCGTTTCAGAAAACACGCAATCTGTATAGAATTTGCGCGGTCAACAGAGAGTTCCACCTCGTGTGTCGATGTCTCCCAGCTGTGCACAGGCCTTCGGGTTCTTCCATCCCAACCCGAATCATCCACATTGAACAATCGATGCAGATGCTAACGCAGGAGCACAAAACTTGACAGAATCCCATGCGCGCCGAGATACCCCTCGAAAGCGTTCCGCTGAACGACAGCTGGACGGCAAAAAACTTCCGGTACTTCCTCCAGGCGCTGTTATTGAACGCCCCAACTGCCCTCGCCGTTCAGGCAATCTCGGGTAGTAAACATTGCGAAGCTAGCGTGTCGTGGTCGCGTGTCCAACCGCCAATAACACTCCGGCATACGGTAAGGCTGATGATTGTTTCGCAGATCCCGGCGCAATTTTGTTTTCGCGGATTTCCGTGGGGGCGGGACGGATGCAGCAGAGATGATTTCATCTGTCGCAGAGTCTCAACAGAAAACCGAGCGGTACCCACAGGTGAACGAGATGCGAGGTTTAATATGTTGCGCGCCGGCGATGCGTCTGGGGCAGGCAGGTACCTGGGGAATTTGACAATATATCGGCCATCAGCTAGATTATCGAATATATTGTCGACCGGGTGCACGGAGATGAGCACCGCCGCCTATGGCCCTGATCACAGTCTTGCGTAGGGGATGGTATCTCTTGTCAAGTCACTTGTTGGACTCGACCAAGTCGGTTCTGAGCCCTGCCGTAGCGTCGTGATACAGGAAAAGGAGTATGTAGGTACACAGTATGACAGCGTTTAGGCAGGGGAACAGCCCAGGGTATCTACCCTGCGAGTCGTGAGTGATTCGTCCGTATGACTCTTCCTAGCGGTTTCATTTTGTTGCCTCCCCGCACTTGCTTCTCAGCCACGACGATGCGAGCCGAAATAACTGGTGCGCGACATGGCGATTGAGGCTGACGAGCATGACAATGTGCTGATACCTAGTTGTTTGATGGTAGTGGACGGCGGGCCGGCCATAAGCTGCACGTTGAAGATCGCTTGGCCTCGACCAGGCCCTGCAAGGTACCTACGTTGCAGAGGCGTCCAGGGCAGCGTGGGGATTGGCGGGCGCGTGAATCTCTGCACGATGTACTCGCGAGGTACAGGTGGGCTCTGGTCATCGCTGCTGACGCCCACAGGCCACATGAATGATCCTCTCAGAGGAGAGGATCGACGTGGATACTCATGACTGGAGTCGGGCGACGTACGCAGGGAGGGAACTGTTGTCATTGGCTCAGGGGTGGAAAAAGGTACCGTATTAGCTCCCGTTTGGCGCTCTCCTCCCTTTCACAGACCCGCATCCCCTCTGACGGCAGGGCGTCGGGCTCAAAAAGCAGACCTGTGCGGCGTGGAAATGAGTTAGCGGAAATTGAACCTTGTCCCTGGTTTGCTCTCGTGTGTTACTCCTCTTGGCCCAGTGTCTTCCCACTTTGTTCGCTGCTCGCTCCTCTCGTTCGAATCCTGATCGGGAGATCCGCTCTTTGCTTCCTTTCTTCGACTCGCCACCGCAGTGCGTGTGCACTTTCGCTCGTTCAATCGCTATTTCCAACTATATACGCTCCTTAACTCACACTATTCCGCTACTTCGATACTCTTCCGCCCGCCGATGCACCCCGAGAGTCGACTATTGCAACGTCTTTCCCTGTTGAACGCGAATCGCGTTTTTTGTATCTGAGTACATCGCGCACTTGACTGTTTATTGTTCCTGCTTAGCGCGTCCAACATTGTATGGCAGTCGCGTCTGCCCGTTCCTCAACAAAAGCCCCTCTACGAGCTCCGTACGTTGACATTGCCTGCGACTACTTCACGCTCGAAGTGTCTAACGAGTGGTAGGCCAAAATGAACCGCTTTTTCAAGAAAGACAAAGCCCCTACGGAAGAGAATGTTGTTGCAAAGAAGCCGAAGAAGGGAAAGAAGGTGGTAGAGGAGGTCAAGCCCGATTTCGACCTCTCATTCGCATTGCCCAAAGTAGATGACTTCCGAACAAGCTTGATCATGCCTGGCCTGTCTACTCGCTTCAGCATGCTGAGAGAGCAGGACGACCCAAACTCACTATTAGGCAAAGCATGCGATGACAGTGTCCTACAACCGAAACACGAGTCTCGACTCCACGAATTCGGCTTCAACGCTGGGGGACTATCCGACATAGCTGAAGTCTCATCGCTCAGAGGCTCAGTGCGGCCACCCTTTGCTGGCGAGAGGCCCAACTCCTTCGACACCAACAGGTCTGAAGATGATTCTGGTAGCATGATGACACGGGCGAGACCTGGCGAGGGGAACGTCTTATTTGGTGGCCGACAGAAGATCTACATGATCTCGAACAACAGCACCAAAGGTCTTGGACGGACGCTCTATGACGACGACGTGAACATGTCTACATATCAACGGCTGAGACTGGAAGAAAGGGAGAAGGTCAGGCAGCAGCAGGCTGAGGAACACAGTGACCATCAATCTGAACCAACTAGCCCGACTGCTCTCAGTCAAAAGCGGGAAACTTCTTCGTCGACAAATTCAGGTCCTACGAACGCTCGCACATCAACCGCCGCAACATCAATTGCTTCCCAAGGCATCAGCTCAGTCCCTGCATCGTCTTCTGCATTCCCACCTCTCGCGGTTTCTACTCTGACATCAGATCCGGCTCGCTCTACAACAAAGGTCCGACGTCTCTACGATCAGGGCCTTGATCAGCACATCCAAGACCAACAATCCTCTGCGATAAACCGTCTCAACTCCCTGCAAAGAGGCCGCGCGCTAACTGGCCGTTCGACCCCGCCATTACCCATGTCTCAGGCGAAGTCTGCGACGAACTTGAGTGATCGGTTTCAGCGGGGGCCCGCGTCCCGCTCTGACAGCCCGAAGTCACTGGGGCACCCTGATGTGAGCAGGAACAACTCATCTGCCGGAAACAGTCCCGCTGCTTTCCCCATGCACTCACCCCCTCCGGCAAGTCCAGCAAGTGAGAGCGAGGAATCGTTCGCTCTACAAGCGGCTCTTCAACCTTACGATCGAGGCAAGGCCACCGCTATGGGTGCATTTAACAAGCCCAAGGAGGCGTTCAGCGAACATCAGTACGAGGAGCGACTAAAACAGATGCAGCAAGAACGTGAGGTCCGAGAGGTGCCTGTGCCTAATGCGCAAGCATCTCCACCTCGCAAACCCACATTGAGAGAGCGCGCAGTGGAGGAGAAGCGGAGGCGAGCGGATACTGGAGCCTCCGAACGACAGAGGTCTGACTCTTCTGCTGCGCAGGATCACCCAACGGCAGCATTTTCAGTGTTTCAGGCTGCTGCGTCCCAGATGAGGACTACAACTGCTACTCCCTCAAAGCCATCACACGTCTTGTCTCAGGATGACGCGTCCCCAGATCTCCACACGGGATCAAGCTTTTTGAACACAAGAGACTCCAGCGATGATGAAACATCTGCGCCCTCCGTTCCTCGAGCGGACGTCACTCGACGGTTTGAGAACCTCCCCGTTGCGACTGGTCCCGCGCCTTCCATCTTCGAGCATCCTGCTCTGCGAGCTTGCAGCGCGCCTGAGGAGAAGGTGAGTCAGGCGAATGCCACAGCTCCCAGCCACGACGCTTTTCCAGAGTTGTCGACTCAAGTAGATGTTCCTTCAAAGGTCGATAGTGAAGAGATAGACTCGCCTACACTGGGCCCTAACAACAGTGGACTTGGCGGACTCATCCGACAACATTTGCGCAACGATAGCAATCTGTCGTCCAACTACGGCGAAAATGATATGCCTGCACCATCAAGTGCACCTACCGGTCTCGTGGTAGACACTCGCGAGTCTGATATGCTGCGACGTCAACCGGGTTCCGATACGACTACATCAGCTTCCAACCACACCCGTTCCAACCCGTGGGACCTCGACGATATCGACAATGCATATCAACAACAACGCGGCAGTGATAGTTCAGGAGGCATTCACGATGGACACAAGGGGAACCAGCTTACGTCTCATGCACTTAGTGAGGTCAGCTCGTTGAACTCTGAGCACAATGCCAGAAGAAACCATGAACGTATTGCCAGCAACGAGACAGAGGCTGATCATGAGGCCTTCCAACGAGATCTTGCTTACCGACAGCGCCTGATTCAGGAGAACCTACGTGTGAGGGCTGAAGGTCGTTCTACCAGCCCAGCACCTGGACCATCTGGAGGTCTCAGGAATGCCTTGAACCTCCTCCGCGCGAAGTCGAGCCACGAGTCATTTGCCACGGTTGAGAGAGGGCACGAAGCCCCGAATAAGGTCATCAGGAAACTCGCACTAGGTGCCAACTCAGCAAACGTCAGCAGCGCCTCGTTGGCGAGCCTGAACGTAGGTGACCACTCGGGCAACACTCGGTTGGGTCGACACTCTCCTCCTGCCTCCAGCAGAAGCTCGATGCGGGAGCGTTCAAGCTCTGGAGCTTCGTCTGGTCGTTCCCGCGGTCGATCTGGTCACCGCCGTGAAAACGAACACTCTACGACGGAAGATCTCAGGAGTACTGCGTATCCACCAGCGATGCCTGGATACATTGCCTACCCTCCTCCGCCTATCCCTGCGGATATACCTTCGATCGAAGGCGACGGTCGCATGCGATCACGCAGCAACAGTAGGCCTCCTGTCGCAAGTCAACTGAACCCTAAACACCTTCAGCCCATCCAGACCAAGTCTGGCGCGTCCCCGTCGAAGTATTCGCCGATCTCGCCTCGACCCTCCCCTGGTGGTAGCGACAGCCCGTACATGAGTGGGTACCACTCGCAGACGTCTCCCATGCCTCCATTCTCAGCTGGCCCAACTCCTCCTGCTTCCAACCCAGCAACGCCGAATGTTGCAGCCTTCAACGCTAGCAACATGCAGCCTATCAGGCAAAATGTGCTACGCAAGAAGTCGATCGCAAAGTCTGATATCTCAGAGCCAGTCTTCTTATCGACCACCTCTGTCATTGACCTTGTCAATCTGCCACCAGGTGCATCTCTGAAGAACGGGGCTGAGGCTGATACACCACCAGTCCCGCCGATCAACCCAATGAGAAAACGTTTCGGTTTCGGTCGTTCCGACAACCAAAGTCCTCCTCGTGATCAGGCTGGTATCGACTCACGCCCGCCTTTCAATGAGCCGATGCGAACAAACTCGGACTCGCCGGCAAGTCAAGTCCCCCAGTTCAGGAACAGGCTGAGGAAGGCGTCAAGTGAAGGGAAGAGTCTCCATGGCCAGGCTCAGGTACAAATTGGACCCATGCCAGCCATGCCATCAGGAAACTTCGTTGGACGTCACAACGCCTCCCCACACCCCAAACATGACCAGTCCATGGCCCAGCGGCCTATGGACGGTTCTATGTTTTAGATTGTCCCGCACGTAACACTGCTTCTGCTCGACGCGATCCCATTTCTCGCATTCGTACACTGGCATTTTAGCCCCCAACGGGCAAAAAGCGATGAACATATTCAGTCGTCATAACGACTTTCTCGCATACTGATTGTATTATCTCACATGTTTTTGGGCTCTCGTAACTTTTATTCCCTATCTCGTCACCATCTTCGCTTTCTCTCCTTTGGATCAGCAATATACCTCGTGGTTTTCGCAATTTGTCTGTTTCTTGCGTTTTTCTCTTTTCTCAACGACCAGCGATAGGGACTTGGGGGAATTCACTGGCGAAATATGTCGAAACAGTTTGTGGTTTTTGATTTTTGTAATGCTAGATTGCGACCCTGTCACCGGGCTGGACGCGGTGTTTCGAAGGCGCTGGCATCACATGTTCTTTGCGATTTTGGATTCAAAACGCTACCTTCTTTCAGTATTTGGGAGGTATGGCTAGATGTTCGTGGTAGTAGTGGGAGGAGATGTGATAGCCAGCTAGTCTGCTACGGGGGCTCGAGAAATACGTGTGTATCTGACCTTCTCACTGATGAGTCTTGAATGGTAAATCTTTAACTCCCGATATCTATCATATTCAATCCCGTCCTCAATCGTGACATTGCAAAAGAAACCCTTCACACTCTCCGCTTTTATGCCCCGCCGCCGTTTCACCCACCATATTGCTTTTTGCTTTCTATCTGAAAGCCTCCCCTCCACCTACCCACCGTTCAGCGAAAAAGCAACACCTCAACGTCGCGGGTGCTTCCCAAACGGCCAAAACTAAATTATACATTTAGTGGCGTGGCGCTGTTTCAGCACCCGGGAGCGCGGTATGTGGGGTCTTTACACACGAGAAGCGACCCCTGCATTTCGCAAAAAGCAGCCATAAAAAATAGTGACGTCTATCACGCCTCTCCCTTGTCCATAACACTCCTTCTAAACGCACATCGTCGTTTTCATCGCTTCTTTCCAACGTCTCACCACTCCCTATCGATCCGAACGCGAACGCGAGATGCCCTTAGCAACAGGATGAATCTCGAACTTTGGGTCAGTGCTGCTGCAGCGGCGCCGCTCTAATATCGTATCGTGTTGCATCAACGACGGGACCCACTTTTTACCGCTTCTGCGCGTGTAACATGATTCGTGCAGACTTGCTGTGTACCTGGGTTCGATGTATTGAATGTCGCTCGGGGCGCACTCGTGGTACGCTATGCGTAACTGGTGCAGGCACAAAGAGGGCTTGGATAGGGGGAACTTACGATAACCTAAGGCGTGAAGCCAAGGAGTGCCGTTCTAAACCTTCAGCTCGATATCGGTATACAGGGCCGAGCCTTTCTTTGTTCGATGACCTAGTCGGGATTAAATCGATGGATGGGAGGGGCTGAGGGTTACCTAGTGTCAGACGGGCGGGTTATGAGTGAGATCTAGCCAAGATGCGCAGCGGGAGGCCTACGGTCGTGGAACATATCTTACGGGCTTTGTCTTGATTTTTCTGTTCATCATCGCTCATTCATCTCTCTCATTCCTTTGTTGTATTTTCTAGATCATCAACTTCCATTCCCTTCGAAACCGACACTCCTTTGCACAAAGTTACCGCTTCGAAAACTCAGCCAATATGCGTTTCACTCTCTCTGCCATGCTCGCCTTTGCGACGTCCCTCACTCTCGTCGCCGCTCAGGATCTCACTGGTCTCCCAAGCTGCGCTGTACGCACCCACATCCTCTCCACCTCATCTACCCTCCACTAACACGCACCAGCTCCCCTGCTTCGCCACCGCGATCCCCGCGTCCGGTTGCAGCATCACAGACGCCAACTGCCAGTGCACCACGGGCCGCGCCAGCATCCAGAGCTCGTTGCTGTCATGCGCGCCGTCCAGGTGCTCGGCGACTGATCTCGCTGGTACGCTTCTCCGCCTACCTTTTACGCGTGCAATGCTGACGTTGATATAGCTCTTGCTCCTGCTGTCGCAGCCCTCTGTGCCAAGGCAGGCGTTACCATTAGCGACCTTCCTACGGCTGCTGCCTCGGGCTCGGCCTCTGGATCTGCTACGGCGTCGCGGACGGCGAGTGTGTCTGGGTCGCAGTCTGCTACGGGAAGTGCGGCTGTTGCTAGCAGCACTGGTGCTGCGGGTGTCAATGTTGTTGGATGGGGGGCCGTGGCAGTGGGCATTGCTGCTGGTGTCTTCGGTGCTTAAAGTGGTGATGCGGACTGTTGAGGCACAGGAGGTGCGCGGGTCTTCCTTATGGCGGTCGGTCTGATCTTTGGAACGGTGTTTCTGGTGGACATGGTTGGACATGAGATGCGCGCTTTGCGCATCCGTAGTCATGAAGCGAGGCGAAGCTTCATATTCTTTTTTAATTCTTTTCGCCTCACTTCAACGTTGCATGCATTTCAATTCAGGCAGCATATAGTGCTTCGACCCATTTTGCGGACCATGCTGTGAACTCGTCGTCTGTGCCAGTCCAGCTTTGCTTCACAAGCTCAGCCGCACTCTTTGCTTGGCCACGGCACTTGTCCAATGTCTGCCTCGCTTGTTGTTCATCCAGATCGTAGAACGTGCTCGCAAGGTCATCAACAGTCTCCGGTATAGCTCTCAAGAGGGCCATGAGATCATCGAGCTTTTTCGCTGGGTTCGACGCTGCGTCGCCGTTCTCCTTGGTTGCGGAATACGTCTTCAGCCTCCTCTTAGCCAGAGCCTGATACAGCATGCCCACCATCTTCAACTTCTTGACGCTCATGTCCAGCAGCTCTTTCAATTCGGTATCGTCCTTGCCGAGCTTGTTCTCAGCCCCGAATATATCATCGTCCCCATTGTCACTGCCCTCAGCTTCATCGTCGTCATCTTCAACATCCTCTCCCCACTCCTTCAGCTCCTCAATCGCATCCAACAGCACCGCCCTAAGCTCCCCCGCCTTCCTAACTACCAATCCCACAACCCCATCAGCACACAGTTTCAGCAGTGCATCGCAGGCCTCCCACACAACGCCTGTAGCAGACAGCACAGCCTGCTTCTCGCTCTCCGTCGGCCCGTTGTCTTTTGCCTTAGTAGCTGCATATTCCTGCCTGCTTTCGGCCATGCGCAAAATCAACGCGAGCACATCGCCCCACGTGCCCAACAGTCTTCTAACCTGCATCCTGAGTTCAGCGCGCATGAGGTTCCCCAAGTCGTCTCTCTGCCCAGCTTGTGGCGTGTACGAGGCAGCAGCCACCATGCCGCTCAGCGCGCCAGAGCTCACATCCCCAATTTTTGCGATGAGGGCGGACGGTGTGAGGGGCGGGGTGATGAGTAGCAGCGAGAGGGTCGTTGTGTGAGATCGGAGGAGGGTGGTGGTCGCTTTGACGACGTCGATGGGGTTTGGAAAGTCGGTGGCGGTGGTTTGAGGTGAGGGGTTGCTGGTTGCTGTGGGCGCAAGGGAAGACTGGAAGTGCGTGAGGAGTGTTTGGGTCGTCTTTGTCAGCTCGACGAGAGCGCGTAGATCTTTGGGTTTGGCCATTTTAAGACTTATGGGAGAGGCAGGAGACTAGGTGTTTTTCGAGAAGGACTGAAAAAGCAGATGTCGAATGCGACGAGTGTGGACTGGAATTTTTGTTAGGCACAAAAAAGTGGTTTGGTGTTTGGAGGGGCGATGACACTATCGATAAGCAGCAGTTCGCGACTTCCCCATATGCTGATCTAGACATTGTGTAAGAAGAGCAAACTCCACGGACATCAATGCTCTAAACCTAGCAAATCTGACAAAGCTGTTGGAACTGCTGTGATAACAACAACCCACCAGTCTTGAAGTCATTTCGTCCGAACCGTTCCGATCAGCACGTCACCGTCAGCACTAACAGTAAACACACCCCCACATACAGCTTCCCAGCCATCTTGCTGGTAAAACAAACAACTCTTCAACACCCAAATCCCGCCATACTCAACGAAAATGGCACTCGGCACCACACTCCCCATCTGGCCAGCGCTCATCTTCACCTACCTAGAGCCCCGTAAGTTCCCACCCAACACCCATCTCTCCCACAAAACTAACACCACCCAGTCTCCCTCCTTGTAGGCTACTATGTCGCCTCAACCACCCCCTCAACCTTTGTCTCTGACCAAATCCCCTCCACACCTACCACCCTCTTGACCCCGATCCCTTCATCTGCCCTGGTCCTCGCCCACTCAATGGGCAATGTATTCGTCCTGCTCGCCGGTCTCGCTGTTCTTTGTACGGCCGTAACGCGCGACGCCAAGGTGACGAAGTGGTACCTCGCTATAGTTGCCGGCGCCGATGTGGGGCACATATACTCGAGCTATCGCATCATGGGACCAGGTGTGTTCTGGGACTTTGCGGCGTATAATGACACGATGTGGGGGAACATCGGGTTTAGTGCCTTTTTGCATGTTACTCGTGTTGCTACGTTGCTGGGGCTGTTTGGGAGGGTTGGGTGGGCGTGATGGATGAGTATTTTCGGAAGTGGTCAGAGAATGATACATATTGGCAAGATGAATTCTATACCTAACGCCTTGATTAACGCCAATACTATGCACCTTCAACTCCAATACCAACAATCAAAATTCTAAACGCATCTGCCCTCGTGACGCCAAAAGTCAAAATACCTATACTGTGCTCCGACAAACAGCCTCCAATTCCTCCTTAATGCTTTGAATGAGTCTCTCCCCTCCTTCTAAATCCAGCATCTCGACCGGCGCAAAAACACCGACATTCAATGCGCCATTGTGGACTGTGGCCTCGATATCGACAGCATGCTGCAGACGCATTAGCTCTTCCGCTTGGATGTCAACAGAATTGTCGCAACTTACCAAATACACGCCATTAACCTGCTCATCCTTCAACTCATCTGGAACCTCCGTAGTTCCATATTCAATCGTTGAGACCCTGCTGACTGGCTGCTCCCATTCCCCAACCTGGCTGATCGTCACCCTGTCTTCGTTCGAAGAGCCTTCCGCCTCTTGGTCAGCATCAGGAAGTGCCAGAAAATTGACAAAGGTATCAACTCGCATCCCCGTCCATGCATTGATTTCCCATAGACTAGCCAAGGAATTTGTCGACCCACTGATTTCCCGCAGGTCGCGTTGGATCTGCACAGCGACATTCAGGATGTCGGTTTTGAGTGGTGAGGGGATACGCAGTGGGAGAAGGTTCACAGTCGGGATGGCGGCAGACACGAGGTTTTCGATGGCAAGTGAGCGATTCGCCAAGTAGACGCCAACAACGACGTCTTCACCTTCATGAGTACCGGTGAGTGTAGCATAAAGTTTCGCGTAGGTGGCAAGGAGAAGCGATTGTAGCGAGATGCCATGTTTGCGAGCAATCGCCTCTAGCACAGAAGTATGGACCAAACCCGGGTTGAAGATTTGCGTTTTAGCTGTGGGTTGTGTCGATGGCTGGGAGAAGAGATGCTGCTCAACGCCAGCTAAGTATTTCGTCCAGAACGACTTGCGACTCTCGAGCTCTGGTGCGGTAGAGTATTTGGTGATGAGGTTGCCAAGGGTGTCGGTCGGAGAAGGGGCTTCGAAGCCGTTGCAAATGTCTTGGAACTGCTGCATCAGAAGTGGCAGGCTGACACCGTCGTACAGTGCATGGTGAATTTGAAGCCTGAGGTCCCAACCAGTCGAAACTTGCGATACAAAGATATGTGCCCATGGCTGGTTTGAAGCGCGCTGTTTTGTGCAGGCCTGAATTTCCTCGTCGCTGAACCCCGTGAGATTTGTTATGGTGGTGTCTGACACTCGTAGAATCGTCTGTACGTAAGGTAAATGACTGTCCTTGGTCGATACAAAGCATGTTCGCAAGATCGTGTTGGAAGCAACGAGAGCTGTCCATGACTTCTGGAGTGTTTCATAAGTTGCGGATGCGTCAACTCGATACTTGAAGGTTGGATAGAAGTTGCTGCCTTCCGAATTGAGCCACATGGACAACATGTACAGCTGACCACCGGTGACAGGAAGAATGTTTTCTACATCAGTCTCTTCGAAACCAACTAGGTGAGGATTGCGCACTCGATCCAGGTCACCCAACGATCCTTCGATCTTCAGATCTGTGGGGTTGTCTCCATCCGCAGGAGCTGCAGAGCGCGCATCGACTAGCTGAGCCATTTGTCCTATAGTACCAGCTCTGAGCATATCGCCTACACTGAGTACTATAGACTGCTTGCGGAGGAGTGATGATACTTTGATCGCACTGATGGAGTCCAAGCCCACGTGAAATATTGTCATGTCCGTAGTAATCTCCCCCTCAGGGGTTTTGGAGACCGCAGCCAGAACCTCGCGTATCTTACGTGCTGTCTGCGACTGGATTGTCTTGTCGCAGTTCTCTCCGTTCACAGAAGACGCTCCATTAGACATACCCGTGACTTGACTCATGAACGATGGTAGTCCACAGACCGACACTCCTTGCGGTGTAGATTCGATGACGAGATGTTCTGGACACTTGATGATGTGCGTCAGTACCTCATCCAACTTGCTTGCGAGCTCCTTTGCCTCCACTCCAGAAAACACCTCTTCGCTTGCTGCACAGCGCCATATTAACTCGTCCTGCACAACCTCCATCTCCACACAGACCGGATACTCGACATTGCTGTGGCCCTCAACGCTGTGGTACAACCTCTTGCTTGGGTCTTCGTATTCATCCGTACTCTTCTGATAGATGAACAGACCGTCAAACAGTTTGCCGGGCACTCTAGCTGCAGACAACGCTTTGCGCAGCGGGTAGTGTTGCCACTGCTTGATGTTGTTGAAGTTTTCTTGCACGTATTGCAACATCTCTGCGCGTGTTCCATGGAGTATCGTACGGATGGCTACAGTGTTCATCATCGGGAACAACAGCTGTGATTCTCCAACATCGTCACGGCCGGAGAGAACGCAGCCAAATGTGATATCTAGAGATTGAACACAGGATGCCAGTACCATAGCAAAGACTGTTTGACCTAACGTCTGAAGGGAGATCTTGTTCTTTTTCGCAAAAGATTGCATGTCCGGTAAAGGTATGTGGCTGACCTGCTGATGGCGATGGGTTTGTCTCACGTTAGATTCCGAGAGATCTGGTTGTCTGGGTATTGAGCTTGGCTTTGCGCCGAGTAGGTAGTCTCGCCAAAACGTTGTCGCGTCGGAATCGGAAGTGGATAATATCTTGGCCAAAGTAGACACATAATCAGATCGAGGAGTGAGTTGATCGTGATAAGCGCTATGAACATCAGAGTGTAGTAGGCCGAGAGACCAGCCATCGTAGAGAGCATGTGCGATTGACAGGAGCAGATAAGTGTGGCTGGGTGCCTCGACGAGTTGAACGTTGAACAGAGGAGTGAACGACGACGATTTTTTAGCTTCCATGCGAGACAACTCGAAAAGAACAGGGAAGTTAGGCTCTTCGTCGACTTTGGTGCTTGTCCAGAACGCATGAGGCTGCTGATGAATGATTTGTGCCAAAGACTGATCTAGGTTGACATCGTCCACTTCCACGAAGGAGGTACGAAGGATCGGCGAAGCCCGAACCACTTGTTCCCATGCGTCTCGAAGTTTGTCGACATTGACAGTATGCGTGAGCTCCATGATGTCGTAGTTGTAATATCTCGTAAAATCGGAAGCAATCATCTCAGCAGTCATCGCCTCTTGTAGCGGTGTCAGTGGTAGTACTTGCCCAATATCTCCTATGTTAGTGTTGTGTTGCCTGACATAGCGTTCGAGTTTGATTTTGTGTGATTTGAATTCCTTGTCATACGAATGTCGATTTGGATGAGTTCTGTTGTTCGAGATGTTTGCCACCATTTTCGCAATCGTGAGACTGCGCATGATGCCGCTCACTGGTAGATCGATATCGCGTTTCTTAAGCCTTGAAGACAGCTTGATTGCGTCAATGCTGTCAAGACCAAGTTCGAATATCGTCGTCGCTTCGCTAATCTCATCAACTTCGACGCTTGTCAGGCCAGCGATTTCGCCTCTAATCGTAAGGGCTACATCTGTCCAATCGAAGTCTGTTGTACCTTGCTTGTAATTCTTGCCATTGGTACCGTTTGTATTGTTCGTGCCATTCATACCGTTTGTGCCATTCGTACCGTTCGTGCCATTCGTACCATGCAGCGGGTGGTTTTGTCTAGTGCGGCAATCATTCATAATGCCGTTTGTCTCAGTTGAGAACTCTTCAACAGCCATTGGATCTGTCAGAACTTGTCGCAATACATTTTCAAATTGATTGAGAAGCTTGGTTGAAGTTTCCTGGTTTGATGTGTGTCCTTGTGTGACTAGGGTTAGTCTGAGCTCATCCAAACCTATCTGTTCGACTTCGAAAGACAAAGCATAATCTGCCGCCACATCCCCATCCAGGAGCTTCCAAACTTCATTGTTCGTGCAGTCATAATTGTCTGGCGCAACCTGATAAACAAATAAGTTGTCGAAGAGTGGTTGACCAGGGCTTCTCTTGCACCACTTCATGATATCTCTCAGCGGGGTGTGCTGATAAGGATGGGCCGCAACGTTGAAGTCGTGAAGCTTCTTGATTACAGACGACCAGGATTCGTTACGCCCAGAACTGTGTTGGTATGGAATTGTATTGAACATCGGCCCAACAATACGTTCAGCTCCCTCAAGGTCAAGGCTTCGGCCCGAAACGACCAAGCCCACATGGATGGTGGTACCTTTGAGATATTTTTCGAGCACGCTGATCCAGCATGCTTGAGCAATGGCTTGAGCGGTCACGTTCAGTCTCCGCCTGGTTGCTTCGAAGGTCGTGAGAGAATCCAGCACTCGAGTGACAACGATGGATCCATCCTGTGGGGTTTCAACGAGTTTGGGAAACGGATTGAGACGGTTGTCCGAAATGTGTTCTTGCCAGAAAGCTTTTGCGCCTTCGAGAATCCGCAACGGACCATAGGCAAGTGCCATTTGGAATGAAGGCGTGTCGCTGCCCACTGTTCGCCCGTTGTACTCGTTCCAGACAGAATCAAACATAATGTTGATGCTAGTGCCATCATACAGTCCATGGAACAAATGCACTGCTAATAGGTTCCGGTTTGGTGTGGCGACGAACACGACCTCAAAGGGCCGTCCAAGTTCAGTGCGGTTACGCTTCAGCCAGCTTTGCCTTAGTCTTGTCAAACATCCGTCTATCGATTCGTTTTTTATGATGCTATCCATTCCCCAGTAGAGGGGAGCTTGTCGTAGTACTGCCTGGACGTAACCGTCTTCGGTATTTGCAAACACAGTCCGCAAGATCTGAGTCGAGTCGTGTACGCTCTCCCATGCTGCTCGAAGCTTGCCACCATTGACAACGTGACTCAACTCAAAATAGAAAGTATTGAAATACAGACCATCATCGCTGTCCAGATATCTCGCAATCATGCCCTGCTGAAGAGGTGTGCAGGGCGCAAGGGCTTCAATGTCCCCCGGATTGATTGCCAAAGAGTAAGCGACCGTTCGTCGATGCTTGTGCTCAACTGCAGCAATGACTTGTTGTGCTGCGATAAGAGATCCGTAATCATTTGCAGCGGGTTTCGTCGAAAAAAGAGCCTTGGTAATTCGACGAATAGTAGGGTTCCGTAAGATCAGTGATGCAGTAGCGTCTGAGAAGCCAAGTTTCTTCATCGCTTTCGAGACACCGATGACCGAAATTGAATCCATTCCCAGCTCGAAGAAACTAGAATCTTTACCAAAATTGTCTTCGCTCACATGTAGTATGTCCTTGAGCACATCGTGGAGTTGTTGTTCTTGTTTTGACCATACTTCGTCATGTGCACCTGTGATAGCTGCGAGCTTTTGCAAGTCACTGGCCGAAAAAGACCGATACATATCCCTAAGCTTCTTTCCATCCGCTTTGTTGTTGATATTCAATGGCATGGATGCGAGAGGAACAAAATGTGTGGGTACCATGTACGGCGGTAATCGCTCATGGCATGCTTCCTTGGCTCGATCTATAACGCTTGCCTCACTCAGCAGTGCTTTTGAGTCGCTTTTGGATTTAACACCAAGAACAACAAACGCTACCAACTGCTCTTTGTGGTGCTTCTGGTGCTTGAGTACTAATGTTGCGACGTCCGAAATGCTTTGGCTGGACTGCCTGATAGTTGAGTTGATCTCGCCTATCTCGAGGCGTTGTCCTCGTAGTTTGACTTGGTCATCTGCGCGCCCGAGGAAGTCAAAGGTGCCATCGTGAAGTATCCTGACAAGATCTCCGGTGCGGTAAACCCGTTCGCCGAGACGTTCGAGGTACGGAAACCGTTCTTTTGTTAGATCATGGCGATTCAGATATCCTTTTCCAACAAGTTTGCCAGAAACACATAGTTCCCCAACGCCGCCTCGAAGCACAGGTGTGTCTGAATCTGGCTGCAAAACGAAGGATCCGACGTTGTCAAACTGCGAGCCGATGTTCGAAGGCTTGCCGTTGGCAGGCACACGTGGATACATTGTACAACCAATGGTCGCTTCGGTCGGTCCGTAGCCGTTGTAGATTACGCCTTTTGGACCCCAGACATCCAGTATCTCCTGCTTCAAACTCTCGCCTCCCGTGATGAAGACACCCTTGCAAAGACTCGGCACGTCATCCGGATGTAGTATCTGGGCGAGACTGGGTGTCAGATCGATGTGCGTAATACCCAAAGTGTTGATCGAGTTAGCCAAGTCCTCGAATATGAGATCTCGAGGTGCCGATACAACACAGATACCGACAGACCAGCTCCAATACTGCTCAAGCACCGAAACATCGAAGTGAAAAGATGCGAACTGCAGCCAGCGCGATTCTACCTCCCAATGCCCTGCAAACAAGCGTTGGAAAGCGAGAAGCGCTTGTACAGCGTTCTCGTGGGTCAATTCGCAACCTTTGGGCGTGCCAGTGGTGCCGCTAGTATATAGACAATAGCTTCGATCCTGGGGATCGAGTTTTCGCTCCAAGACTGGCTTGGTCTGTGGCAATGAGCTCGTCTCAACTTCATCCAGATTCAGGACTGGTACACTGATGCTCTCCTTGAAGTTGACAGACTGTACTTTCATAGATAGCACCACTCGAGCGTTCGAATCCTCGATGACAAACGTTTGACGTGCAGCGGGCGCTCCGGGGTCGATTGCGACAAACGCACCTCCAGCCTTCAAAATTCCAAGCATCGCGAAGGAAGCTTCTGGGCACTTCTCAAAACAAACACCAACTAGATCGCCCGGATGAACACCATGAGAGATGAGTATATGAGCGATGCGATTTCCTTCACCGTCAAGTTCAGCATAGGTCCAGCTTCTACCCAGATATTCATCATGCCGAATTGTGTGCGCGAATTCCAAGGCGACGCGATTGGGATGTTCAACTGCGGTCAGCTCAACTAGCTCGTGGAGTAGTGTAGCCTCTGATGGAAGTGACATCTGTTTGGGCGGATTGATGGAGTAAATTGATTGATCGGGTAAGGTTTGAGTTGTAGAATGTCCTTTATCAAAGACGAAGCACTCCATCAAGTGGTTGAGCTGATCGAGAATCAGACTGGCTTGCTCCAGTGGTACAATGTGTGGCAGATAGGTGAGTCGATACTCCAAATGACCATATTTCGGTTCCAATTCGAGAGACAATGCATACTCTGTAGTCGCCCTCTCATCGACTACACTCCAGAGATCGTTTTTGAACTCTTTCTCTGGACTTGGCAACTTCTGATAGGCGAAGATCGAATCAAAAAGAGACTCATTCGGGTAACCCATAAAACGTTGTATGTCGTTGAGCGGTGTGAGTTGATGTTGTTGTACCTCTGCATTCAGCGCCATGACTGTCTCTAGTATCTTTGCTCGATCCTCGGTGATCGTACACGTCAAAGGCACCGTATTTATACATGGAAAGACTGCCTTTGCGGCAGCTTCGAAGCTACGACCAGCGAGTACGATCCCACATGTCACGGTGGGTTGGCCAGTGTATGCGGACAAAAGAGTCAACCAACTGGCAATACCAACGGCTTGAAGGCTGACATTGGCTTTGCGGCAACCACCTTCTATGTCGCTAAGCAGTTTCAAAGATTGTTTTGTGAGCACTGCTGGGGTTGTTGGTCCGCATCTCAGGGGGGTCAGATTGGGGAAACGGGATGGACTTGCTGTCCTTCCTAGTCGTGTCCAAAACTTTTCTGCGTACTCTTGCTCATCCTTGCTTGAACAAAGAATTGCATCCAGTACAGGATCTAGGAGCACAATCTCTCCAAGTGACTGACCATTGTAAACATCCATGACTTCCTGTAAGATCATCTGTAAACTTTGCGCGTCGAACAGTGCATGAAATATAGCCAAATCTAGGAACGTCTTCTCATTTTCGTAAACGATCCGGATGTTCCACAGTGGCCAATGCGGCTTTTCTAGTCCTCGTTGCTGCAACCTCCTCAACCAATCATCAGTCGATTTGAGCGAACTATCGTCTGGCGATGAGTCCCATGGTAGGCTTATAGCTTCTGGCCTGTGTTGTACCATAGCAAAGGAATGATGCTCATCTTTGATATGGGCAAATCCGGTTCGGAGGATGCGATTGCGATTCTTGACTGTCGTCCATGCCTCTTTCAGTAGATCAAGGTCGACTTCAGATATCAACTGTAGACGAAGACAGTTCAGGTACACTGTTCCATCTTTGGTCAAGAATTGCGAAACTATACCGTCTTGGAGAGGTGTACAGGGAAGAACAACTTCTACATCTTGATCTTCCAAGTTGCATTCTTCTAGTACCAGAGCTCTGTGCTTCGTATCGAACTCGTTGAAGTCGAATTGTGTAGGTGCCAAGCTCTCCGGCGCGGTGCTTTGACTAAGATACGCCGCAAGGTTGACACAGTTTGTATATCTCATGACATCCGCAGCGCTCGCGTTATGATCTTGTCTTCGCATGGCGGCCGCAATCTGGACTGCGCTGATACTGTCAAGACCAAGCTGGTAAATTGTGGTCGTTGGTGTGATATCATTCAGAGGTGTTCTTGAGAGTTGCGCAAATACCAGTCGAATTTGCGTCTCGAGTTCAGTCCATACGTAATCCGAAGGATATGCTTCAGTTCCATTAGGGAATGGTTCGTCGTCTGCATAGTTGCTAAAGATCGCCGCAAGAGCCTTTTTGTCGACCTTGCCAGCCATAGATCTTGGTAGGCAATCCACAAAAATATAGAATTGAGGTATCATATACGACGGTAGGTACTGAATCGCAGTCTGCTTCATCTTTGTTTGGATGACGGCGCGCTCGGCATCATCAATCGTGTGGCGTGTACTGAGGAAAGTCACTAGCTGTTCTTTCGCATTTGTATTTTTCCTCATAATCAACGTGGTCACCGTTGCGATATCCGAGTGGCTACCTTGAAGGACTTGGTTTATCTCGCCCAGTTCGACTCTTTGACCTCGAATCTTGACCTGGTCATCTGCGCGGCCCAAGAACTCGAAGTTGCCATCAGTTAACATGCGGACTGTGTCTCCACTCTTGTAGAACCTCTGGCCACATTTGAAGACGAATTTCTCCTCCGTCAAATTCGATCTACCGTGGTAACCTCTCGAAAGTTGTGCGCCACCAATATATAGTTCACCAGTACCCAAAAGGGGTAATGGTCGATCGCCTTGAAGAGGAAATACTGCAAACGATGTCGTCGGAAAGGGCTTGCCGATGATAGACGCTTTTGATTTGTCTGATACCGGGTAGATCGTGGTGCAAAATGCAGCTTCCGTCGGACCATAAGAGTTGACACATGCGCCGGCCCACTCCTTTGTGATGTCGAGTGATAACGCTTCGCCGATACAATAAAGCCACTTGACCTTGGGTACTTCAGCTCGAGAGAGAGAAACTGCCACTGATGGTGTAAGATCTAGTAGGTCTACCTCAAGAGTGTTGATGATTTTTGGTAGTTCGTTCAGCATCTCGTGTTGCTCTGCAGCACAGAGAGCGATACCAAATGTCCACGCTACAAAGCAGTCGTAATAGCACATATCGAATGTGGTTGCTGCGTACTGAAGGATTCGGGAGTCCGTTGTCCAAGGTATCAGTGATCTCGAACTCTCAATCGTTTGAACCGGGGCGCGATGTTCCATGCTTACAGCCTTTGGCAAGCCTGTAGAGCCGCTAGTGTAAAGGCAGTAAGCTAGGCTCGACCCACTCAGGCTATGTATCACAGGATTGCTTATGGAACAGCGCCTCACATCTTCAACATTGATCATCTTCGCCTGTTGGCAATCTCTAGGCAGTGAGGATATGTCAGAACACAACACGACCTTAGGACCCAGTTCCATCATCATGAGTCGTTTTCGCTCGTCGGGAAGATCGGGATGGATGGGAGCAAACGCTGCACCTGCTTTGAGCACTCCCAATATGCTCGTATAGAATTGTGGACTTTTTGGAAGATGTATGGGGATGATGTCCTCGGGTAAGATTCCTTCGTCTAGTAAAGCATGGGCCATCCTATTTGCCTCTTCGTTGAGAGTTTTATATGACCAAGTCGTCCTTTCACCGTCTGCATGCAGGAAGTCGAGTGCAATGGTATCAGGTTGTAACGATGCGACTTGTTCAAATGCCGAATGCAATAGAGAGTTTTGGGGGCTGGGGTGTTCCAAAGTCGCATCGGATTCAGCCCGAAGCTTTGCTCGAAAGCCGATTGTGTCATTAGCAGACGCTCGTGGGTACCTGGTCAAACTTGTGAGGGCGTCGTCGAAGGTTTCTGCAACGATGGTGGCATCCATCTCAGATAAGACAGTGCTGTGATAATGGAGAATCAACTCCAAAGCATCGTGCGCTTGATCTTGCAGTATCTCGCAGACTACAGGCAGGTCCATAGCTCCGACGTCTTGTTCTAGCGTCCATATCGAATCATCCAATGGAGTTCCCGGCTGTTGAAGAATCACAAGAGTATCGAACAGACGACCTCCTTCTTTGAGTGTTGTACTTTGAATTCGACGCAGGGGTGTTAACTGGAATGCTAGTGACTCCACATTGAATGAGTGGAGTTTTTCCCATAACGTAATGTTTCCTCTGCAGAAGTCAAACTTGACACGTACAGGTAGAGTGTTAAAACATGGTGCGACAAGATGTTCGAAGTCGTTTCCGGATAGGGTTCGTCCACTCACAACATTACCAAAGCATATGTCGTTCTCTCCGGTGTAAAAATGTAGCAGTTTTGCCCAAGCAGCCTGAATCCCCGAGAGCATTGACAGAGATACACTTTGACAAGCTTTTCGTAACTCGCTTAGTGGCATCTGTAATCGACGTATAACAGAGCCCGAAGTATGCTGGGACGTGAGAGCCCTACCCGTGAGGTCGGGGAACACGGAGGGTTCGAAATCCGCGAGAGATGTTGCCCAAAACTGATCAGCACTTGAGAGGTTCTGAGACAGCATGTGCTCAAGATACAGACCATAAGGAATTGGCGGTGGTAAATCGTGGCCGGAGTAAGCATGTTGTATTTCTTCGATGAGAGTTGAGATGGCAACCCCATCATAAAGCGCGTGGTGGCAACAGAACAACAACTTGGTCGTTTTTTCCGTCTTGTTGAGTGCAAGCCAGAGAGGGGGCATGTGGGCTTCTAGGAGATCGGAAAGAGCACTATAAATGTACCCGAAGGAGTCCGATTGTGCGTCAGTTTGTTTCCATTGCAACTGACTTTCCTCCAAGACCACCTGTGCAAAAGCATGTGATGGATCGTCCGTCGGGATAAAAGAAGTACGAAGAATCTCATGACGACGAATCATGAGCGCCCAGCTATCTTGTAAGCGCGAGACATTGCCTTTGATGTCGAAGATCATTATGTTGGAGTACGCGGAGTCGGACAGCGATTGCCTGCCTGATAACATCGCCTCTTGGAGTGGTGTACAGGGCAGAATCTTTGCCACTTGCAAACCTCGCTGCTCATACTGAGAACGTATTTGGTGGACCTGGTCTGGGTTGAAAACGCTGTCAAGGGCCACCTTCGGAGTTTCAGAAAGTTGGCGCGAAGACGACTGCCTAGATTTCGAAGACGCAAGGTGTGCTATCGTAGGATTTTTAAGGATCAAAGGTACGGTGAAGTCCCCTAGACCTAGATTGTTGAGCTCTCTATTGAAACGAATGGCTGATACTGAATCAAGCCCTAGATTGAAGAACGACGAGTTTCGCTCAATATCGCTCGAGGGTAGGTCTAAGATCTTGGCCAAGAGGTCTGCGACCTTCTTTTCCCATTCGCAAAATTCTTTCGGTCCGCTGTTGAGAACGTTGGGCTGACCAGCAAACGTTAGATAATCTTGTGGTAGAGCATTGAAAGTCGCTTGCAGGAGTCGCTTATCGATCTTAGCTTGAGCAGTCATCGGGAGCCTGGAGATGGGTACGACGTGAGAGGGTATCATGTATGATGGCAGCCGGTGTAATAATGATTCAAAGATTTCAAGAATTCCTGACCGGTATATCTCAGGACTCAGTAGCTCAAAATAATCGCCAGACGCTGTTGTTGGAACCCAGAAGATAGCCAGTCTTTTGGTCCCGTTGTCAGTTGACAGAAGCAAGGTGGCGCAATCTTTGACGATAGCTAAATCAAGAACGGTAGATGTAATCTCGCCGAGCTCTACACGCTGACCGCGAATCTTAACTTGGTCGTCCGAGCGACCAGTGGATAAAATACAGTCGTCTGGAAGTAGAACGCCCATGTCGCCTGATCGGTAGACGCGCCCGTAAATCGGTAAATTCAAAATTCTGGTTGCGTTGAGGTCGGGTCTATTGAGATATCCTCGGAACACTTGCATGCCTCCAAAGCAAAGCTCACCCACAGCTCCTCGAGGGAGTATGGTTTCGCTGTCTGGATCTAACACAAAAGCCGAGGTATTATCGAATGGAGGCCCAATGTTGTTAATTAAGTCTAGAAGTCCTACTGAGGGGCGGACAGTGCAGATGTTCGTCGTTTCCGAAGGTCCATAGCCTACGATTTGATTAGACTAGATAACACTGAGAGAGTGACTTTCTTACCCTGAAACAAGCCATTACCAGCCCATTCACGTCGAACATGTTCGGTCAGCGCCTCCCCGGCAGTCACAAGGAACTCAACGCGCGGTACGTTCTTGGGGTTGATCAAAGATGCAACGGTCGGTGTGAGGCTGAGGTGAGTGATGCCTAGGCGATTGATGCTACCTTCGAAGTTGTGGAATAGGTCTTCCTTGGTCGCTGTGCACAAACATATTCCAGCGTACCATGAGAAGAAAATCTCGAAGACTGAGACATCGAAAGCCTGCGAGCACGACTGAAGCAATCTAGAGGTAGATGTATAGGGGTATACGTTCGAAAGATACTTGAGGTTGCTCATTAGATTATCTTGAGTAACGAGCACGCCTTTCGGTGTGCCAGTGCTACCGCTTGTAAAAATGGCATAGGCGAGGTGTGACCCGTTATATGGTATGTCCAGATTCCCATCAGAGTAAGTTGAAAGATCCGATGTGTCGAGATCAATGATCGCACTAGATATATAGTTGCGGAACTGTTGAGAATCTTTGCTATTGCTGATGCATACTGCAGCTTTGGCATCGTCCATGACAGCTTTGATTCTCTGAGCTGGTGTGTCAGGAGTGAGTGGTAGATAGCCTGAGCGAATTTTCAACACCGCAAGGACTGAAATATAGAGGTCAATAGATTTCTCCATGATTATGCAAACCAATTGGTCCTTGCCGACACCATGCTCTATGAGGAGACGGGCAAGCTGGTTTGCACGAGAGTTCAGGGTCGCGTAATTTATCGTTTTCTTGATTTTGATCATGTTATCGATGATGTGGCCGAAGACGACTGCTTCCTTCTCGGGTGACTCCCTAGCCCACTTCTCCACTGCATATGATGGGCCATTTTGGAAAGTTTCCTGTTCGGGTGTAGGATTCGCGATGGAACGCAAGGTGTCGGTAAAACATTTTCCAATGTTGGCCACCGTGCAGTCCGGATCCTTGAGGAACAGCTGGACCACATCATCAATCTGTTGGGACATGTATTTAGTTTGCTTTTCTGGTATCGTTGACGGATCGAATGTGGCACGGAATGATATGCTATCTTTGCAAGGTTCAAACTCAAGGGTAATCTTGAACTCGAGGTCGTCTGCACTGTCTACCATCTTCGCATTGAGAGATGAGTTCGAGTCGGAGCTTAAAGACTGTTGCCAGACGAACAAGGCATCGAACAATCGTGTTCCAGGTTGTATGTGGGCCGTTTTTGCTATCTCGCGCAATGGCAGACTGGAGTGGTGCATGCCGGCGCGATTCAGACTATGGGCTGCGACTAGGACGTCTTGAACTCGAGACAGCGGATCGAATTGTAGGCGAAATGGTAACGAAGCTACGCAAGGGCCGATCATCTCCTCTACCTCGGTGACAGGTACCGTTCTGCCCGAAGTGACGTTGCCAAGAATAACATCTGATGAGCCAGTGTAAAGCCCTAGCACGTAAGCGGTCGCCACTTGGAAGAAAACCTGAGGGTTGACCAAAAGCTTGTGAGCACGTTCGAAAAGGATACCCGGGTTCACCGATGAGCGCCCGGACAGAGATTGAAGTCTCGTCTTGTGAACGACCTTTCCATTGAAGTTTGGCAGAGTAGATGGAATGTATCCTTCGAGTAATTCGGCCCAATACGCATTATCAATTGCATGTGAAGCGCCTTGGTCTTGGACACAATAACGAACCATGTCTCGAAACTGCGGTCGGCGTCTCGTGTCCAATCCAAGAAGGAGTCTGTCGAGATCGTGAAGTAGAAGATCGAATGACCACCCATCGTACAAGGCATGATGAATTTGGAACAGAAGTCGTGGCTTTTGCAAACCTGATATTATTTGAATTGCGAGGGGCTGCAGTAGGGATTCGTCGGATCCTAAGGAATACACCTTTGAAAAGCTAGCCACTTCCTGAATTTGGAGTGTCGATAGTGTTTTCCACACGATCTGCATGAAGTTTCCTGCACTCGTGGAAGTCGGAATGAATCCAGTGCGTAAAGACTCGTTTGCTTGAGCTAGCGTGAGGACCATAGCTCGTATCTCGTGGAATGTGCGCGACACTGACAACTCAACCTCGATCCAGTTGCAGTATGCGCTTGGCCTCAGCATTGTCTCGACCAACATAGCTTCCTGCAATGGGGTACACGGTAAAACATGGGCTATGTCCGCCCGTCGCTCTTTGAGATTAGTGTGCGCATCCAAGACGACGTCTATAGGCGGTGGTTGTGTTCGATCGTATCCATTCGTGAAACTTTTGTCTATGCAAGTTTGGACAAGATCTTCTACTGTATTTGCAGATAGCACGTCAATCCCGCTGAGATTGTAACCATTCCGACGTAACTCTGAAGCTATGCGGATTGATTGGAGGGAGTTCAACCCAGCAACGGCCAGGTCGGAGCCTGGAGAAATGGCATGCTTCAAATGATTTTGGACGGTACGAACGACAGTGACATCTACGCCATTGCCGGAGAGTGTCGTAGAAGTGCTGGTAGAATGTTTGGTACGGAGGTATTGCGATTCAAGAGCATTCTTGTCAACTTTTCCAGATGGAAGCTGTGGCATGCTAGAGAGAAAGCTTACGTCCGATGGTACCATGTGTTCAGGTAGCCAGTGCTGGCAGGTGTGTATAATTTCGGCGCGAGATACTTTGCGTGAAGCAACGGCACAAAAGGCGACCAAAGTGTCCTCAATAATCATTACCGCAGTTGCACGACAAGCATCGACTTTCGCAATGATGTGTTCGATCTCGCCAAGCTCTACTCTTTGACCTCGGAGTTTGACCTGACCTCCCACAATGCGGCCGAAACATTCCAGGGTACCGTCTTGGCGAAGCTTCGCTCGATCTCCAGTCCGATACAGGTAACCGTACTTCGGGTGGTTAACAAAGGAGGTGGTAGTAAGCTCTGGGCGATTGAGATATCCTTCCGCTACTTGAGCGCCACCCACAGCGAGTTCACCCACTTCGCCAAGAGGCAGAATTGTGATAGTGCCAGATACATCTCCTTCATTGACAGGGGCGATGATCAAGGCCGAGACGGTGTCTAACGGAACCCCTATAATGCCAATCGAGGACGATGCGGAGAATTTTGGTTGCAAAGTGCAATGAATGGCAGCTTCTGTGGGTCCGTACATTCCCCAAAGGATGCTATTCTTGATATCTGTACTACCAAATTCTTCAACGACATGCTGAGTGAGCATCTCGCCTATGGTGAGTAGAAGCTTCAGTCCAGGAACACTCGAACGACCTTGAAGGAGGTTGCTTGCGACGGTAGGAGTCAGCTCAGCAGCATCCACTTCAAGCATCCGAATGGTTTTAGGAAGATCGTCAAGCATCTGCGCGCGTGTGCAGCCGACCAAGGTGCTTCCTCTGTACCATGGGAAGAAGATTTCGAAGATGGACACATCAAAAGTCGGGGCAGCAAACTGAAGAAAACGAGCGAATTCGGGGAGATGTCGATGATGAGCAAGAAGACTCTGGGTAACAGCGCGGTGAGAAACGCTCACAGCCTTTGGTAAGCCTGTGGAGCCACTGGTGTATAAAACATAAGCCAGGTCGGTGGTGGTTATGGAAGGTAATCTCAGAGTATGGAAGCCGTTGCGCTTAGGCAATTCTGAGTCCACCAGAAACGTTCGAGCCCCAGTAGCAGAGGATGCCTTGGCTTCGTATGAGGCGTTTGTTATTATTACATTGGCTGATATGTCCTTCATTATAAATTTCAGCCGCTCCTCAGGGATGTCTAGATTCAGTGGGCAAAAGGCTTTGCCCGCCTTCAAGATAGCCAGCAAAGCCACATAAAGCTCTGGACTTTGAGGCAATAGAACAGGAATGACTGCAGAAGCATTTTCCAGCCTTGACAACGATTCAGTTATCTTCATAGCCAGACTGTCGCTCATGGCGTGGAGCGTCTTGTAAGACATCATCCGCCTTTTCGATCCATTTTCCAGGAAATCGATAGCGATCGCTTCGGAGGGCGTTCGCACAAGGTTGTGGAGTAGAGTCGGACCTTGGAGTATTGCGGGATGTATGTTGAGTATAGACAACTCGCGCTGGTGTTCGTGGTCATGTACCATGTTGGGCAATAGTAGCCAAACGCTGAAGATGACTGCACGCTCACACGTCCACAACAAGACGCAGGAAATTCTGCAAAAAGGTCAATAATGATGCTATGACGGTCTCCAGGCCGCCTTAAGGTACTGTGGAAAAAGCGACCTTCTCCAGCATAGATCAGTGATGAGAAACTGCAGCACGCTGATTGGTTGACTGGGTGTACGGTAGGGCTGCAAGCACGTGAAGTGATGACAGGACCTCGAGTTGTAGCGTGCATAGATGGCTCGTGAAATGCTAAAAACAGTGCACAAATCGTCGACGCGATCAAGGCAGATAGCAGATTAGCAGAGCTCAGCGGGCGTTGCAGCATCAGCCAGTGCTGGATCGGCAAATCTTGAGAGGCGAGATGTCGACGTAAGAATAAGAAGACTTTCTCTGGGGATGGAGTTGCTGGTTGATGTTCTCACTGTGAAGCTCTGCGCGTTTGGTTGCAAGTGCTGCGTCATACATTTTACTCGTCGCCCACGTAGTCGAAAGCGAAGAAGCAGCTGCAAAGACAGGGTTTTCCCGGTGGAGCGCGCCAAACAGCAGGTGCGATCGAGTAGATGGCCTGAGAACAGTCCCACGTCGCCATCACTGTCTCTTGCGTTCACTACAACCCTGTCATCCCACGCATTGTGTCACGGTCGGGTTACCTACCTTTAATCTGACCTCGTGTGCCTATTACGGCATGCGCTTAGTGGCGCTCGCATGCGAAATTGAGATATATATCTGTACTACAACAAAGCATTTTCACTTGATAGAATCGATGGATCTTTGACATGTCGCCTCTCGCTCTGATGATCGCAGGATCGTGCCGAGGCGCATACTTAGTCATGATCTCCGAAGTCTTGCCTTGCCATGTCGCGTCGCGACTCGAACGCGAAACGTCATGACGGAGACCTTCGTGGCTTCTGCTGCTCTCGGTTCATCGCACCTGTGCTGTCACTCCCTTTTTCTTATTCATTTGCGAATCAAAGACTGGTGATTCCGCTATGCAGTCGTCCAAACCGCACGTGTTGGCTCGCAGGCCGCTTCCTGATGCGGATGAACCCGAAGCTCAAGAACTTCTCGATTCCGACGACAATGATATAGACGATCAGAATTCTATTCGCCCCAGTTCACAATGGAACAGACATATCGAGCCTTCTCTCGCTACTGTTCAACCTCAGGCTTGGCAAGGCACAACGGCCATCCGTCAAAACTTCATCAGACAAATCCTAGGTCTCAATCCGTTCAAAACGTCGTACTTCGCACTTTACAGGCCTTTGGATGATGTCGGATCGAGAACTATCTTGGTGTTGGGCATCCTCCTAGCCATGTACGTAGGACCTATACAAAAAGCATAAGCGGGCACAGATCTATCACTGACTCCGCGTGTATCTTTTCAGGGCCGCAGGTATTCCAATCCCAATGATAGGCCTGATTTTGGGCAGAATCATCAACAATTTCCCGCCACCTCAGGACGAGCTTAGGACCTTGCTTGGATACTTGATGACAGTGGCAGCCTTTTATTTTGTCGTGACTTGGGGCTGGGCTGTGTGTTGGGCTGTGATAGGTGAACGAGTGTCCCGAAAAACGCGAGAAAACCTTCTTCATCGCGCTCTAGGCATGGATATGGCCTATTTTGACACCGTCTCGCCCGACATGACCAGTATTCTCACGGAAAAAACACAGACAATACAACTTGGGACTTCTGAAAAGGCAGGCATCTTCATCACCAGCATCTCTTATTTCATTGCTGCATTTACAGTGGGGTTCAGTTTGAATGTCAATCTCACACTTGTAATGTATGTTTTCATCGTCTTGATTCGATGACAGCTACTAATACAATCAGGCTCGTCACTGTCATACCATCAATGGCTTGCATTTCAATCTACGGAAACAAAATGATCTCACAGCTATCACGGCAGGCCGCGGTATATACTGAGAAAGCTGCTTCTGTGAGTGAGAGTGCAATCAGAGCTGTACAGATCGTTCAAGCTTTTGGACTGTCAGATCAACTCGGCGAAGAGCATGTCAACCATCTTCGAAGCGCTTTGAGGATTGGGATAAAGAAAGGCACAGCCGGAGCTCTTATGCTTGGCGCTGTGTATTTTGTAGCCTATGCGGCGAATGCTTTGGCCTTTTGGTACGGCGATCGTTTACGCAGTGGAAGTGCAGAAGCAGGTACTATATACGCCACTGTTTTTCTGATCCTAGACGCAGCGTTTGTCATGGGCTCTTTCGGGCCACACATACAGACGTTCGCTCTGGCTGCGGCCGCTGGACAATCCGTTACCGGGATCCTAGATCATCCACGCTCTGACATTGACGTTTATTCTGCGAAAGGGAAGCAGGTCAGTGGACGGCTTTTTGAAGAAGACATTGTGTTTTCTTCAGTGTCTTTTGTCTATCCAGCACGACCGGCCGCCAGGATTCTTGACAGCATCAATCTGCGATTTGCGCCTGGAAAGGTCACTGGATTGGTGGGTCCATCTGGATCTGGGAAGTCCACAGTCACTTCATTGCTTTTGCGACTCTACGATCCATCCTTTGGAACCATCAAGCTTGGCCAAAGTGACCTAAAGGCCTTCAATATTTCCAGTCTACGTTCCCACGTGGCCCTAGTCACGCAAAATCCGGTGCTCTTCACGGGAACCATTCTTGAAAACATTAGGCATGGATTACCACAGGACGAAGTTCTATCTGAGGATGAAGTGTTTGAAAGATGTGTTGCCGCCGCTTCTGAAGCTCACTGTGATTTTTTGGACCGTCTGCCCGATGGTTTGCATACTCAAATTGGCTCTGGTCCCCATTCTCGACTTTCAGGGGGACAAAAGCAACGCATTACACTTGCGCGGGCATTAGTAGGAAACCCTTCGCTGCTCTTGCTAGATGAATTCACTTCAGCTCTAGATCCTACGTCTGAGTCTATCATACTGGAGAACTTGAAGCGTTCTTCAGCAGCATTCGGCCGGATGACAATCATCATTGCGCATCGACTCGCAACAGTCAGGTTTGCTGACCACATTATTGTGATGAAAGATGGTGCTGTCGCAGAAGAGGGACAACATGATATCCTTATAAGAGCCAACGGTGTCTACGCTGAGTTGACACGAGCTCAGCAATTCGACAAAAGCCAACGTCCAACTGCTATATCCACCAAGTCCAGTGCTTTGTCTTTATACAAAGAGAATACCATTTCTCAAGAGGTTTCGAGTTCCGAAGTATCTCTGCTCCCGAAAGAGACGCGCGACATGGGCGCTCCTGAGTTGATTGCAAGGTGTCTTGCATTGAGTCGAGACGAAGCCCCGGCTATAGCCGTTGGCCTTGTTTCTTCAGTGTTTAGTGGAGCACTCATCATCGGGGAGGTATGCTTTTGTTTTTTTCTTTTTTCTTCTCCAGATTGACGTCAGCTGGCTTCTCGCATCTATGCATTATTGGACAGTAGCACAGGACTAACAGCATGCTAGGCGCTCATCTTTGGCAATCTAGTCGAACTCCTCAACGACACCTCGAGATCTGACGGATTGACCTCCAACATCTCATTCTACTGCCTTATGTTCTTTGTACTATCCATCATCGCCTTCGTCTCGCACTCGTGCGGCAAGACAGCTTTCGGCATTGTTTCTGAACGGTTAGTATTGAGAATTCGAGACATATCGTTCCGTACGATTCTCAAACAGGATATTGCTTGGTTTTCCAAACCTGGTCATTCTCACCATGCTCTCATGGCCAAGATCAACATGGACTCTGGCAGTATCAGTGGACTTTCTGGTGTTATACTGGGCACAATTCTCTCCATCACCACCTCAGTCGTCGGTGGAATCATTTTGGCTCACATCGTAGCCTGGAGGATTGCCATCGTTTTGCTCGCAGCCGTACCAGTCATGGTCCTTGCTGGCTTCCTACGTCTCCGCATCTTAGCGATGGCCGAGGAACATCACCAAACTGCATACAACGATGCAGCCTCGCTAGCTTCTGAAGCGACATCTTCTATGCATATTGTTGCTGCCTTCGGCCTAGAACAACGTATCCTCGAAAAGTATCAAGAGGCTATTCGCAAGCCTTATGAAGAGCACCTGCGGTCCAGCATACTCGGAAACATCATGTTCGCATTCTCACTTTCAGTAACGTATCTGGTTTACTCGCTAGCATATTGGTGGTAAGTAATGTACCCTTGATATGTGTCTACCACCATATCTGAGTAGACTGATGTTGTCGTGTCTTCTGAGGTTGGTGTCATAGAAGTTGCCGAAGTGGCACAAGTCCTCGGGATGACTAACGTGGCTTCCCTTAGAAGACAATGTTGGATTGTACTAACTCTCTATCCAGGGGCTCTAAACAAGTGCGTAACGGGAACTACACTCAGCGAGATTTCTTCATCGTTCTTCCTGCGCTTCTCTTCTCAGCTCAAGCTGCTGGTCAGCTTTTCAGTCTGGCGCCAGAAATAACAAGAGCAAAGGCAGCTGCGCAGAGCGTCTTCTCCTTACATGATGAGCGACCGAGTATCATTGTGGAATCAATATCGCTTGACTATTCCATTAGTGAACCAGCGGCGGACACAGACGCCCTGCTTACAAGCTCATCTGCTACTTATGGTACTTTCAATGGACTGGCAAGTTCTTCAGCCATTCAGGACAGTCCCAGCATTAGGGGAGAGCTTGAGTTTCGTGGAGTCAGCCTCCACTACGAGTCTCGTCCAAATGTTCCTGCTCTGAATAATGTCTCTTTTCTCATCAGACAGGGTGAATATGTTGCTTTTGTTGGGCGTTCGGGCGCAGGCAAATCAAGCACGGTCCACTTGATTGAAAGGTTCTTCGATCCGTCGTATGGACAAGTCTTCTTAGATGGCCGAGACATACGTGGAGAAGCCGTACAGAATCATCGGGCTCGTCTAGCGCTTGTGGTACGTCAACTTCGAGCAGCGGTAACAGCATCTGTTCGGGTCGTTGCTCGTCATGTTTTGAAACATTTGGTATTCTTAAATATCGGTAGCCAAATGCTAACTTCTATCCCAGGAACAAGAACCGGATCTCTTTCCTGGAACCGTCAAGTTCAACATCGGTCTTGGCAAACGGCCAGGCACGGAAGTGAGCGGCGAGGATATTGTACGAGTCGCGAAAGAGTGTGAACTGCACGAGTTTATAATGAGTCTCCCTGAGGGCTACAACACACAAGTTGGAGCGCACGGATCGAAACTTTCAGGCGGTCAACGACAAAGGCTCGCCATAGCAAGGGCACTAATACGTGATCCAGAGATACTGCTCCTTGACGAGGCGACATCTCAGTTGGATGCAAACACTGAAAAAGAGATCCGCAAAGCTATTGCTGCCGCTTCCAAGGGCCGGACCACTATCATGATTGCTCATCGATTGGCCAGCGTCCAGCATGCAGACCGTATATTTGTTTTTGATGCTGGTCGCATTGTCGAGCAAGGGAGACACGATGAACTCGTCTCGATGGGTGGTGTATATGCCGCTATGGTCGGCGCACAAGAGTTGGACTGATCGCCTTCTAATATTTCCAACCCAGCGTACTTATGGTTGATTTCCTGGTTTATATTTTGTACTTGTACACATCTGTTCTTCTGTTTGTTTGTTAGACTCTAGATCATCGCCTGTTTACTCCTGCTTGAAAGTTTCCCTTTTATGTTGCTAGAAAAAGATTCGTCGATGGCTTCTTTCATTTGGTTTAGCAATAATGTATGTACTAATAATAGTCTCTTGGGCTCAGTTGTCAACTTTGTGTCAAAAGCGTTCGATGTAAACCAGCTCTAGCCACCTCGCTGTCTTCAAACCCTCCCACGCTCAGAGCATAATGCCAAGTCTTCACATTACTGCAGACGCGTCCCTGCATAACGACATAAAATTGAACTCGTACTCTGACTCCACCTGTCGCAGCAACGAGCCGCATTCAACCGAAAATGTGTTGACATGTAACGTTGTCTTCCATCCGACAGTTGAATTCGTATCCACTACGTCTTGGATCCGATTTCCGCTCGTGCGAAGGGTCGAAATCAAGGATTGCTTGAGAATGCTCTACTACTGTGTCCGTCACGACCGCAGTACGGCCGAGGAAACTTCGGCCCAAATTTACAAAGGATCAACGGTCACATTGCATGCATGGAGCAGTAAGGTTGGGCTGCGAACCGAGCGCCAGCCGAGAATCGCAAATTTTATCTAATCAGATCATCCATCTGATAACCTGTCCCCCACTGCCAAGCTGCTAACCATCCCACGCGGAGCTTAGTTGCAGTTTCTGACGCAATTTCAGGCCAAGCGTTGCGGGGCGGCTCAGAAAATTCTTCCTGCACAATGACCAACATACTGTACTGTCATCTTCTGCCGCGTTGGCGACGGGCATACCTCCGATTATCGTTATCTGATCCGGCGATTAGATGGAAAGACCCTGAGTGGGGATCGGGATGCTGGCGTCTCGTTGGTGGGCCGTGGCTGCGCACACCCTCGTGGAACACCCAGGCCCGCCCGGGGTCGCGTTACGATGAAATGTCGAACCATTCTCTGGCCAGCGTTGCAGCGAGGTCGTAGACATGGGTGTTCATGGACCACCAAGACGCGAATCGGCAGTGCGTCTTCGGTTCAGGTACAGAAATAGTGGATGCTGTCAACTTTTTTCCTAGTGACAGAAAGCATCGCAAGTGCCGATTCATCTATTACTACTTTTATCCTCCCTTACCTTGTTAGCAGATATACGTGTGTGAGTCTACTTTCACAAGGTTTCGTGAGCTTATTTCTACTAGAACGCGGTGTAGACGTCATTTCACTTTATAAGCCTCTGACGGTTTGGCATCAGAACAACAGCTTCATCGACTCAGTGGTGTCTTCACTTCACACTTTTCAATACCCTCAGCAAACAATAGTACCATCGTGACAAGCAATAAGTGTCAGAGTGCGTACTTGTGCTACCGCATCATCAGTGAGCAAACATAACATAGTGATGTCTATTAGTATGGATTTGCTAATACCCCCACAGAAACACTTGTGTTTTACTTCAACCATGAGTCCTCACGCCGAGATCTCATCGGGCTCGTCGGAAAGCCCTGCGCCGGCTGTACATAAAGCCTTCAATGGCTTCGTTCCCAATGCTCTGGAGGAGAGCCACTTCCCCGCATTCGAGAACCGCTCCCATCTTCGCTACACTCCCCAGGAAGAGTTGCACGATTTGATATGCGTGGGCTTTGGCCCGGCGTCTCTCGCTATCGGCGTCGCTATACATGATGCTCTGGATGGAACAGATGCTTCGCTGATGGATGTGCCTGGTCTTCAGGGCAGGCCGCCAAAGGTCGCGTTTCTCGAGAAACAAACTCGCTTTGCATGGCATGCGGGTATGCTACTTCCCGGGGCAAAGATGCAAATCACTTTCATGAAGGACATGGCTACGATGAGGAATCCGCGCAGCGAGTTTACCTTCATCAACTACCTGCACCAGAAGGATAGGCTCGTGGAGTTCGCCAACCTGAATACTTTCCTGCCTGCGCGTGTCGAGTACGAAGACTACATGAAGTGGTGCGCGAGCTGGTTTGAGGAGGTTGTCTCGTACGATCAGGAAGTTGTCAATGTCATGCCTGAGAAGTCGGCCAATGGTGAAATCAATGCCTTCACTGTTACGTCGCGCAACAACCAGACGGGCCAGATTGAGCAGCGGAGAACAAGGCACGTCGTTATTGCTGCAGGTGGCAGACCTAACATCCCCAAGCCGTTTCCCTCGAACCATCCCAAGGTGGTCCATTCGTCCAAGTTCAAGTACATCTCCAAGGCGCTCCTGAAGGACCACCAGGCGCCGTATAACATTGCAGTCGTAGGCAACGGCCAAAGTGCTGCGGAAATTTTCGACTTTCTGCACTCAAACTACCCTAATTGCCGGACACGACTGTTGATCAAGGGCAGTGCTCTACGGCCCAGCGACGACTCCCCGTTGTAAGTGTGAGAACATGGCACTTGCAGCTTTTTCTAACCACCTCCAGCGTAAATGAGATCTTCAACCCGTCTCGCACTGACTGCACATACAACCGCGCGCCTAAGCTGCGCAGCACAACACTCCTCGAAGACAAAGGCACAAACTACGGCGTTGTGCGCTTGAACCTCCTCGAACACATCTACGAAACATTGTATATGCAACGCATCCGCTACGGTAATACGGCAGAAGCTGAAGCGCAGTGGCCCCACCGTATCCTACCCTATCGCTACGTCGTCGAGTGTGAAGAGTCTCCTGTGCTGAAAGACGGTATCCGTCTGCTCGCGCGGGATCAGAGCCCGTTGTACTTCTCCGACGTGCCAGATGCGATGGAGAGGAAGGAGGTCTTGGATGTGGATGCAGTGTTTGTAGCGACAGGCTACTACCGCGATCTGCACGAGACATTGCTGAAGGATGCAAGACACCTTATGCCCGGTGGGGATCTAGAGGCGGCCAAGTGGACAGTGCAGAGGGATTACCGCGTCAACTTTGAGAACAAGAGTGTCAGTGAAGACGCGGGTGTGTGGCTGCAGGGCTGCTGTGAGACGACGCATGGGGTGAGTGGTTCTTTCTCTTGTGCTGGATGGACTGTGCATGGTGCTAACGTGTTTGACAGTTGAGCGACACGCTGCTTTCTGTGCTTGCGTCGAGAGGCGGAGAGATGGTCAGGGCTATCTTCGAGAAGGGGCCCAAGTGAGATAGTGCGGATGTGTTGGGCGGCTATGAGGAGCGGGTGTAAGATGTGTGTGTAATTCTATTCAAGGGAGGGACTTTTGCACGGCTTGCGAAGACGAGGCAGGGATCACCAGGACCAGAGTCAATTTTATTGTTCATGCAGTCACATCAAGTTCCCAAGCTGTCTCACGTGAAGTGTGTGTCGACCATGTGGGTGAGGCACTGACATGCACGGGAATGACGATTGTGAGGGAGAGTAATGGTCCAGCACGGGCCAGCCAACCGAAGAGCAGCAGCCCAAGGGTCAAAGCAAGATGCATGGCTGACCCGAGCGAGCCATCGTCCTTGACCTGACCTGGACCTGTTTTGCCTGAAGACGTCCCTGCCTGCCCTCTGTTGTCCTTGTCCAGCGTAGCGTGGCCTGTGAAGCAGCAGACAAGCGCCGTTCGCACGTCGCACGTCAACAACCCCCGCCCGCACAGTCGCCAAAGGCTCGTGTCCCCACGACGACGGCGCATTCACTGTGCTGCACCCGCCCACGTCCTGCCCTCCACTCGATCCTCCGCCCTCCCCTCACACCACGGCCCACCACACGGCGGCCCTTGCGCGAGTGCCCCTCTCGACGGCTGCGTGCTGCGTCTGCCTGTCTCGTCCAGCGGCGCAACGGGCATGCGTCACAGCTGAAGTGGGCTAGCTACCGCGACGTCGCTCCTCGAACCTCGCTCCCGACCCTCGCTCCTCGACGCTCCCCCGACGCCTCCCACTCCGACCATGGACCAGCAGTGGCCCGCCTACCCCGAAGCGCCCGACGCGGCTCGCCAGGCGCGCTACGCTCCGCAGAACAACATGACGACGCCGCAGCACGCGCAGCGAGACGCGGGCGTGTCGCAGCAGCCCAAGCAGGACTACGCCTCGCCCACGCAGCCCTCGCGCGCAAACTCAATGGCCCGCCACTCGCCCGCCGGCTCGGCCTCGCGCGCCCAGGACTTCGGCGAAGGTGACGGCGACGTGGCCATGGAGGACGCCGACCCGTACAAGCCCAAGTACAGCTCCTCGCGCGCCAGCCACCAGGCCCGCCACTCGCAGCACTTCCTGCAGCAGGAGGAGAGCGCCGCCGCCCGCCGCTACTCGCCCATGAACCTGTCGCCCACGTCGCCCTACCCCGGCGGCACCCAGCCCGCCGCCCAGCCCTACACGAGCTTCACGCCGCAGCAGCCGCAGGGCAACCGCCAGAGCCCGACGCGGAACAATCCGTACATGTCGCCGCCGAACAACTACTACTCCCCGCCCTGTACGTCCCGCACGCTCGGTCGTGACTGCCTTCCTGCTAACAACCACGATAGCCACGCGGCCCAATGCGCCCCAGCTGCCGCCCATCCAGTCCAACATCAACCCCGAGAGCTTCTACCCGCAGTCGGCCACGGCCCAGCTCAACGCCGTCTACAACCGGGAGGCACGGTCGCCGCGCACGTCCTCGAACCCCAATCCCCCACAGCTCCCGCCCATCGGGCGCGGGCCCGTGCCCAAGTTCGACAAGTGCACCAACACGGCCGACCTGCAGCCCAAGATCAATGCCCAGCCCCCGTTCCGGCGCGCCAACCCTGAGGGCGGCTTCATCAGCGTGAGTATACGCCAAGACAGCGAGGGACCATGCTGACAAGACTGTATACAGCCCCTCCAGGCCCTGACAGCCCACCTGCCCACCACGTACAAGCTGTGCAACACGCAGTTCAACTACCAGTCGTCACGCAATCCGCGGCGAGTGCTCACCAAGCCGAGCAAGGGCGTCAAGAACGACGGCTACGACAACGAGGACAGCGACTACATTCTCTACGTCAACGACATCCTGGGGTCCGAGGAGTCGGGCCACAAGAACAGGTACCTCATATTGGACGTCTTGGGCCAGGGCACGTTCGGCCAGGTCGTGAAATGCCAGAACTTGAAGACGCAGGAGGTGGTTGCCGTCAAGGTCATCAAGAACCGGACCGCGTACTTCAACCAGAGTATGATGGAGGTGTCGGTGCTCGATCTGGTGGGTGCACTTGGCAGAGTAGCAGTGTGGACTTGACTAACGACACGACAGTTGAACAAGCAGATGGACAAGAACGACGACCACCATTTGCTGCGGCTGAAAGACACCTTCATCCACAGGCAGCACTTGTGTCTGGTCTTCGAACTGCTGAGTGTCAATCTCTACGAGCTCATCAAACAGAACCAGTTCCGCGGACTGTCGACAACGCTTGTGCGCGTCTTTGCACAGCAGCTGATAAACGGGCTCGCGTTGCTGGGGAAAGCGAAGCTGATACACTGCGACTTGAAACCGGAGAACATTCTGTTGAAGAATCTCGAAAGCCCCATCATCAAGATTATCGACTTTGGCTCCGCGTGTGATGAACGCCAGACAGTGTACACGTACATTCAGTCGCGATTCTATCGCTCTCCCGAGGTTCTGCTGGGTCTGCCGTAAGTGACTTCCCTGCCAGCTCCTGTCTGCGAAACTAAAGTGTGTAGGTATTCTGCGGCGATCGATATGTGGTCGTTGGGCTGCATCGTCGTAGAACTGTTCCTCGGTCTTCCATTGTTCCCAGGATCGTCCGAGTACAACCAAGTGTCGAGAATTACGGAGATGCTCGGACTGGCGCCACACTGGATGCTGGAGATGGGCAAGCAGTCAGGCGAGTTCTTTGAGAAGTCGCAGGATGAATACGGCCGAAAGAACTACCGATTGAAGTCGATGAACCAGTACTCCAGCGAGCATGGGACCAAGGAACAGCCCAGCAAGAAGTACTTCTCGGCCACCACGCTCCCGGACATTATCAAAAACTACCCCATGCCCAGGAAGAACATGAAGCAAAGCGAGATTGAGCGAGGCAAGTCTCGCGGACTACACAGTGTCGAAAACATGACTGACGTTTTGCAGAAATGGCCAACCGAGCCGCTTTCATTGACTTTGCGCAAGGGTTACTCAACCTCAACCCTCTCGAACGATGGACACCGGCTCAGGCGAAGTTGCATCCCTTCATTACCCAGGCCAAATTCACCGGTCCTTTTGTGCCGCCAATGACGATGAAGGCAAGCTCGAGCAGATCTCCGGCGCCTGGTGTACAAGAGCAACAGCGATTCGAGGGCATGAGCAGGCAGCGTCAGCAGGCTCAGCAGCAAGCCGTTGCTGCACAACAGGCCCAAGCCGCCCAAACTGCTGCGTATGCCAATATGCAAATGAACCAATACGCTGCTCAGCCCCCGCTTGCCCAGCCCAACATGTACAACAACATGTACGCCCCGAATCACCAGGGTGCACCTCCACCGTACCCAGCACAGGTGGCAACTTACGGCCAGCAAATGCCAGTCATGCAGCCACAACAGCCTCGACAATACAACCAGCCTCAAAATCTGTACGCCCAAGCCACAACACGCGCAGGGAGACAACGTGCAACTACGATGGATCAACAGCAGTCTGGTATCCCGCCGGCACTGCAAAGGGTGATCAGCCATCTGGATCCAAATGCGCCAATCCGGTTACAACCATCGCCTGCATACTACCCGCCTCCTCCAGACGGTGCGCCGGAAAGTGCCAGCAGCGCCAGGAGACGAGGTTCCCGAGCAGGCAACTCTGCGAGGAGTCACAATTTTGTTCGCAATCTTGAAGACCGGACGCTTGAGGAAGGCTTCATGAATCAGCCACATTGGCAATGATTGGGGCAGTGTGTAGTTGGTATTTTCTGCTTTGGCCGACTGCAGCCTACGAGGGCAGCAGCGTGTACCGCGAAAGGAGCTGGCAGTCGGTCGATGATGGTGTTTTGAGTTCTCCTTGACGCCGTTTTGTTCCTCGTCGCAGAGCAGATTGGGACATGATCCGATGTATGACATGGCTGGGCAGCAAACGTATGACTGTGTTGAGTATGATGAGTGGAATTTCCCATGCATGTGCCACGCGCTTGCTGCATTTCGTGGGACGCCGTGGCCAGGGTGAGGCGTGGTCTGGACAGATTCCGCCTTGGGTCATTGTGATTGGTCGGGGCGGGATGAGTCAAAGGAGCATGTGAAGGCAAGGGAGGGTGCAGACGAGGGTTTGTTGGATTGGGCGAGGCAGTACGGTGTTTTTGATGTGCGTTCGCAGATGTCGTAGACGTCTTCTTCCCTTTGCCCCAAGCGCAGGTAGTTGGGGGGTGGAAAGTGTATTTTAGCAGCATTTATTCCTATACAATGACACATGACTGTCCAGGTGAGCGGCGAGTGGACGCTGCAGGGATGCCATGATGCAAGTCCCGGTGAAATGCCCCGCACGTGAAGTCCGTGCACGCAGGCGCGAGCATCCCACCATGAATTTCGTTCATGCCAAGACTTTGAGACGCAACCTGGGACTCCTCATCACCCGTGCCTGTCTTCTACCCACCAGGCGCCCGCCACCCACAAGCTACCCTCCGGCACCCACGACCGCTCCCACACGAGAGACCAGCCGCCATGTCGCGATTCTTTGCCGCCAGCGACAGCTCCTCGGACGAGTCCAGCGAGGAGGAGCTCTACTCCAACGGGGAGGAGTCTGAGCAGGACGACTCGGACAAGGACTCGGATGCCGACGACTCAGATGACAGCGACTCGTCGTCGGGGTCTGAGACGGGCGGCGCCAACCGCTTCCTGAAGGATGTCAGCAGCGACAGCGAGAGCGACGAGGGCGACGACAACAAAGTGCTCAAGAGCGCCAAGGACAAGCGCTTTGACGAGCTGGAGGCGACGGTCCGCCAGATTGAGAATGCGCAGAAGATCAACGACTGGGCCGTCATCTCGGACCGTACGTTGCTGCTCCCCTGGCCGCCGCCTGCCCGGTGGCGCGGGGTGAAGACGCAGACGCAGAGTGCTAACACGGCGACGCAGAATTCGACAAGCTCAACCGCCAGGTGCCCACGCTGGTCAAGCAAAACGACGGCAAGGTGCCCAAGTTCTACATCCAGGCCATCGCCGACCTCGAGACGATTGTGCTCGAGACGCACGAGAAGCAAAAGGTCACGCCCAAGAAGATGAACGCCGTCAACACGCGCGGCTTCAACGCCGTCCGCCAGAAGGTCAAGAAGCACAACCGCGACTACCAGCGCGACATCGACACCTACAGAGAGAACAAGGAGGACTTCATGCGCGAGGTCGAGGAGGTCGAGCAGGCGCCCAAGGAGAAGAAGAAGAAGGTCAAGATTGCCCAGCTCGGCGCTGATACCGTCGAGGAGGGCAACGACGACGGCTTCGTCACCGTCGGCGCCGGCGGCAAGGCGGTCCTGTACACGCCCGAGGGCATCCTCAAGCACCTGCGCTCCATCGTCGAGCAGCGTGGACGCAAGAACACGGACCGCCTCGAGCACATCCGCACGCTGGAGAAGCTGTTCGACGTTGCAGTCAACGACTACCAGCGTGTCCGCGTGCTCCTCACCCTCATCTCGACACGCTTCGACCTGACCTCTGGCACTGCCAGCCACATGACCCAGGAGCAGTGGAAGTTGTACGTCGGCCAATTCCATGTTGCTGAACAATCACTGACTTGTGTTCCAGGGCCGACCAAGAGTTTGGCAAGCTTCTGCAGATCCTCGAGGGCACCAAGGAGATTGTCGTCGTCGAGAACGCCGAGGAGTGGGAGGACGACGAGAAGCTGCCCAACATCACACCCGAGGACATCTTCCGCATTCCCGGGAGCGTCGTGTCTTTCGTCGAGAGGCTTGATGACGAGCTGACCCGCTCCCTCCAGCACATCGACCCACACACGGCCGAGTACGTCGAGCGTCTGGGCGACGAGGGCCTGCTGTACTCGCAGCTTGTCCGCACCTTGATCTACGTCGAGAGCTTGAAGAAGATTGCCAGCCTCGAATTCCCACAAGACCCGATCAACCGCATCGTTATGCGGAGATTGGAGCACGTCTACTTCAAGGTATGCAATATATCTCGATATATACTTTTTCTCTTGCTAACTGTTGCAGCCCTCGCAAGTCGTCACCATCCTCGAATCCAACACCTGGAAGTCGATGCCGGAGAACCTCGACTCGGAGATCACCCCCCGCGCCGTTGCCAACGACACTGCGTCCCTTGTCCAGACCCTGTGCACATACCTCTTCCAACACAGCGAAGGTATCATCCGTGCCAGGGCCATGCTGTGCCAGATCTACTTCCTGGCCCTGCACGACCAATACTACCAGGCCCGTGACATGATGCTCATGTCCCACTTGCAGGAGACCATCAGCAACTTCGACGTCAACACCCAGATCCTCTTCAACCGATCGCTCGTCCAAGTCGGTCTCTGCGCCTTCCGCGCCGGGCTGGTCTACGAGGCCCAAACCTCGCTACAGGAGATCTGTGGCAGCAACAGACAGAAGGAGCTTCTCGCACAGGGTCTACAAATGCAGCGATACTCGCAAATCTCCCCCGAACAGGAGCGTCTCGAGCGCCAGCGACAACTTCCCTTCCATCTTCACATCAACCTTGAGCTGCTCGAGTGTGTCTACCTGACCTGCTCCATGTTGCTCGAGATTCCCCTTCTTGCACAGCTCGGCTCGTCGCCTGATCTCAGGAAGCGCGTCATCAGCAAGACATACCGCCGTCTCTTGGAATACCATGAACGACAAATCTTCACCGGCCCGCCAGAGAACACTCGCGACCACGTCATGCAGGCCTCCAAGGCGCTGTCTGCTGGCGAGTGGAAGAAGGCTGCCGAATTCATCAACTCGATCAAGATCTGGGAGCTCATGGCCGACTCGGAGAAGATCCAGGCGATGCTTTCCGCTCAGATCCAGGAGGAGGGTCTACGAACATACCTCTTCACGTACGCTCCCTACTACGACACACTGGCTGTCTCGACACTAGCGGGCATGTTTGAGCTTCCCGAACGCAAGGTTTCTGCGGTCGTATCTAAGATGATCTCACACGAGGAGCTTGGCGCCGCTCTGGACCAGGTCAACTCTGCCATCATCTTCAGGAAGGGCGTTGAGCTATCGAGACTCCAGACACTCGCGCTCAGCTTGTCGGACAAGGCATCAGGGCTGATTGAGTCGAACGAGAAGACGCTCGAGCAACGCACACAAGGCACAGCAAACGCATTTGAGAGGCAAGGTGGTCGAGGCGGCCGCGGTGGCGGACGAGGTGGACGCGGCGGGCGAGGAGGAGGCCGCGGAGGAGGTGACGGTGGCCCAAGGGGTGGCAGGAATCAACAGTTTACGGGCGGTGCTCTGGGACGGGCTATTCAGGCTTAGATGTAGAGTGTGTGTTCTTCCTGGCACGGGACTGGGTCAGTGTGGGGTCATGGGCGGCGAATATGGTTTGACAATGAGACGACTTTTTTGGTCTCATGGGAATTCGATTTGATCATGATTACGAGTAGAGTGCATGAATGGAAAAGTATATGGTCGATTACAGGGTTATGATTGATATGAGTTTGTGGTTGACAAAGATATGGTTGAACAAGTATATGATATATACATGTGTATGAACTGTTGTGCGTTGACATGTATACGTGTCGAGTATAATGCTTCATTTCTTCGTTGTATTCATAGAATGGCGTAAATGCCGGGTATCATAGTAATTCTTCTCGTGGTTCATAACAAATCGACCATCAAGTGCCACCCCCCGCCGCACTGATAAAAGCAGGACTCCAGTACTCATTCTCCCCAGCCTGCACATCGACCCACACCAGACTATCCGCCATGAGATCCTCAACAACGGCATGTGCTCTCGGCCTCTCCCACGCCAAATTCAACTGCAACATGGACACGGTGACATAGCCCAGGACCTGTATCGCCTCCAGCACGGTACTCTGATCGGTATTCAGCTCCTTGGGCACACTGCGTATCAAGCTGCGATGCCCAATCTTCATAATACTAAAACACGACCCCAGAGGCGCGAGCGACGATACCGCACGCGTCACGTCGTCGTCGCTAACCTCCATGCTGCCGCCTATGCGCTGTGACTTTGCGATGCGCAGACGCAGATCTGCGAGGGAAATCAAACCCCCATTTTCCGCGCGCGTGGCCCGACATTCCTCAACAATCAAAACCCCCAGGTTGAAGTAGAAATCATTCACCGACCCCCCGAGCAACTGCGCCCATATACTCTCCCCGCCCGCACCTGCCGCTGCTGCCGCCCCGGTGCTCCCCTTCGCAGACCCATCCTTGTGGTACGACGACGCGAGGAAATCGATATTGAGCGCCGTGCACATGCGCGCGAATTCTGCGCGGAAGGCGGGGTTCGCGCGGATGTCTTTGGAGTGGGTGAGGGCGAAGTTGTGGAGGAGGGATTGGAAGACGGAGAGTTGGGTTTCGAGGGATTGGGCGGAGCGGGCGCGCAGGGTGGCGCCGTGTGTGGTGTAGTGGTGCGATTGTAGGCGTGAGGTGGAGAGGGAGGAGAGGCCGGGGGTGCGGCGGCGGTCCATTGTGGGGGGTGGATGGAGTGGTCGTGGATAGGATTGAGTGATGGGTGGGTGGAGGTGGAGGTGACTATGTGGGATGCGTGCGTGTGTGAAGAGGGATGGGTGAGATGGTGGGCTATCTGTGATAGTGGTGTGTGGATATGTGGTTGTGAAGTCGTCTCGTCATGTACTAGAAACAACCGTCTGCAGCGTGAACGCGAATGCATCGAGAGCGTGGATCGGCAACTAGCGTCACCATGCTGGCAGCATGTACTTTGCGTATCTTGCCGACTGTATAATCCTGGCCTAAACTACCATATCTGGGAAGGATGGCACTCCCTCTTCCTTTCTGCCATTCTTCTCCCACCTCACAGACGCGAAGGGTGTCTCCAACAACCGTAAACTTGCCAGGCCTTCGCTGCACGTGCTCACAACAGCTCGCACCTTACCACTTTTGGACTCTGATATCCATCTTCGTAAACTGCTCAATTTGAGCTTTTTGGAAAATGCTTTTCAACATTCTGCGGAACACGATTTTTGAGGAGTTGTTTTACGGCTCCAAAATGGCCCCTGCCATGATGAATAACTGCATTCTACTGCTGAACTTGCCACCAGGCGCACTCGCTGGCATCGACTTGCTCTCATTCACTACATCACCGCGCTTTCATGGCGTTAAAAATTTACCTGTGGGACTCCATTTTGTCTTTGCGGCGAGCAATAGTGCGTTGTCAGTCAGGCAGGGCGCCTGGTTTTATGTCACGCCTGGAGCTGGAGCGCCTCAAATTTTGATGAAGAGATGGGAAGCGGAGACTGAGGACCTGATCGCCGAGACTTCACAGACGGAACTATTGAGGTGGAAGGCCAATCTGGGGAGCATCTGGAAAGATGGCCTGACGCCATATCGACAAACGGTGCAGGAAGGTGACTCTGGAAACGAAGAGGGTTGGGCGGAGGAGTCTACAGACTGGAGTGAACTCACATCACATATTTCACAAACTCTTCTATCACGCATTTGTGGACTCAATCCAGATCATTGGAGTCTCACATCCGCATCATCCGCCACACAGGATCTGGAATCAATACCAGGCTTGGACTTGGGCAACAGCACACTACATCCCGAGAAGGAGCTTAGATTCCTTCCCATCGACCTGAAGCGGACGTGGAGAGAAGGCGCAACAGGAAGAGAGCGAACAGAAGCAGCACAAGACCGATCTTGGTTTTTAGGGGATCTCATCGAAAACCACTGCCAGGCGACACAGAAGCGGGAACGAGAGTTTGAGGTACTGGGCGAGCTGCAGTTTGCATTTCTGATGGTCTTGACGCTGAATAATAATTCTTGCCTTGAGCAGTGGAAGCGACTACTACGCTTGCTGTTTACGTGTAGGCACGCGGTTAAAGACCGCTGTTTTCTGTTCGTCGAACTCTTGAAGATCCTGCGCGTACAACTCAGTCACTGCGCGGATGTCGAGGCTGAGCTATTCGACATGAACGAAGTAGGTGGAGGTTTCTTAAAGCCTCTATTCAAGACATTTCGAACTGGTCTGGATGAATTTGACGGCAAATGGAAAGCCGATCTCGTGGATGAGTTCGAGGACCTGCAAGACTACCTACAGAGAGAGTTCGGTTGGGACCTGGACGAGTCGTATGTGAAGCGTGGGATGCTGGAACTTGAGGATGGCGAGCAGGTGGAAATGGACATGAACGGAGCAGACGAAGACGACGAATTGGGCGAATATGCACCGGCTGTTGTCGAGTTGACACTTGAGCAGATGAAGCAGTTGGATGGAAGCGATGTTGATCACACCACCGAGGACTCGGAAGAAGAGGCTGATCTGGAGGAAATGGATGCGCGATACTGACCATTCAATACGCTATGCATGTTACCGGTCAATCAAATCGGGTGTATGTAACTCACGCGTTCGGACCTTTCTTCTGCACTAGACACATTGGGGATATGATCACCTCAAAAACATTGTGGCCTCAGCCTCGTGGCCTGGGGAAAGCGCGCAGTTCGATAACTCCAACGTTGAGACACTCATCTCCCACTCGCTTCGTGTAACCGCTACCCAACCCTGGAAGCGCCACCATGTCTCGAAAACGGCAAGGCAGAAACGCCCGCATTTCCTTTTCCTCCTGGCGAACGGCACATCCCGCGAGCATGTAGTTTTGATATATCCGTAAACCGTACTGGCGATTAACACAGCATGGTAATCATTTCAAACAGTGTCTTGATTTCCATGTACTTTTCGTGATCAGACGTGGTGTTTGGCAGCGAGGCCATGATCGACGCCCACAAACCCGTATTTCGTGACAGGGCGCCCTGCCATTTAATTTAAATATTGTGCACCACGTCTTCAGCTGAACGTTTTCGGCCCCCAAAACAGGCCTGCTCTGAACCGATTCTAGCAATCACAGCCTTGTCCTCTCGCTTCGCCCTGCTACACTTACCGCGACCCTCTCCGCACCCGCATCGCTTTTGATTGAGGCTGAAGCGCTTCGCCTTGTGAAAATAGTGCAGTCTGGAAAGAACTGGAGATTTCGATTGGTTGATGATCATGGGCTGACTGTGTGTGGAGAGAAGGCTGTGCTTGAGAGGCGCGCTTGAGCCCCCTCGGCTTTGCTGGGCGGTGCGCCTGAAGCCTTCAATAAAGTCTGGCTTGTTGTACCTTTTCATGGCTTTTTGTCTGGCTCATATTCAGCTGTAATTTCCCCTCATCCACACATTAGTTGATACTCGAGTTATCGTTTCTCGTTACCATAGAATAAGTGCATTTTACAAATCACCATCTTTAATACTCGGAATGGAGAAACCAGGTGGTAAGTGATAGCTCTCCCCACGAGTGCACGCGTATATCGCACGCGCTTTCTCCCCAAGTTTCAATGTGGATTGAGCAACGAACAATGACAAGGCCTCTCACTAACGCCTCGAAAGTCCCTATGCAGCCATACGCCCAATCGCCCGAACCTACCGGCATGCAGCAACAACCACCCGTCTATCATCAAGACCCCAACCAGGCCGCGCTATACCAGCAACAACAAGCGATGTACGGTCAACAGCAACCTCAGCAACACCCTGGGTCCCCGCCGCCCCAGGGCGGATACGCGCAGCCTCCGTACGCAGGTACGCCCGTTCAACACCAGCAGCCCGGTATGCCGCCACAGCAGCAGGGCGGGACTGTCTACCAAAACGCGACGCCGATTGCGAGCCTAGGCCGCGGGCCGGCGCCGGCAGATTGCCCTGCGTGTGGGCAGAGGGCTATGACAAACGTACAATTTTCAACCGGCGGGTTTACACAGTAAGGCATATCCCTGGCCGTTGAATGATCAAACCTAACGAAAACCAGTGCCGTGGCAGCAGGTCTTTGTTGTTTCCTCTGCTTGGGCTGCATTCCGTACATGATGAACTCGCTCAAGGATGTCGAGCACAAGTGTGGACGATGTGGAGTGCTCCTCGCGACTTGGCACCGCAGCGGTACCACAGAGGTTCATATCCACTCCTAGACGACGAGCGGGCGTGCGCATCCTAGTATACATGGAGAGATTGAGGACCAGGGCGCGAAGGTCGAGACTTATACCCCTGGGAACGGGCGTCGAGAGGATTGGCTGGCGCCGCCACGGTCAAGCGTTTCTTCAGAGCGCTTAGACCCATTCTTGTATTGAACTGCACGTACCATCTGCCCTTCGTATCATACCCCAACGTGTTTGTCATTTCTCCTTTTGTAATTTCGGGCTGGGTTCAGATAGAAATCCCAGCAATCACCATGAAACTACTCTCCTGAACCTCTGCCATGACATGACTTTGCTGTGCTGATGAATGTGGTTGTGAAGCACTGCAACAGTCATCATCTTTCCGCGTCCTTGGCAGTTGGCTGTCGTTCATGGAGCATTTGGGGACGTGTAGCTGGGGAGACCAGCAGGCGAACGAAGTCTGGCGCTTAGACCCGTGACGTCACATCACCAACCCTCTGCATTGACCAAATTAAACAAAATACACTGCCCCAATGCCGTCACCCAGCCACAGCAAATTGCTTGTCATGGTCAAGGAAAAACAAGCTTTGTGCGCCACGACCAAGCTTTCTGCTGCCGTTTTGCCAGCACGCGTATGCTATCCACTTGATTCAGCCACGATCTTCGTCCTTTGCACATCATCGCCCCATCATTAGTCTCATCGTGACATGGCAACGGCCGTTGTTGCCGTGGATTGAGGTTTCAGCTTGGTAGTGGCTAAGATTAACTGGTCTAATTGGCTGCGTCGCGAGAAATGATGTCGTTTTGCGTTTTGCGTGCGACCGTGTAATGACGGACGGAAAGTAACATTAGTCGATTGGGTAAAGACTGGAGCGGTGTATATATAGTAAGTAGTGCGAAGCATGTTTCTATCGTCAAACTCTTTCCCCTCCTCTTCTCTTTTTGCTTTGTTGGCGAATCGACAGAGAGTGCTGCTTTGTTGGCGCGCTGCGATTCGACTCCCCCTTTGAAGCACTTCACCCTCCAACAACACCACCCACCGCCAAACATCCACCCCATCAAATACAAGAATCATGGGTCTCTTCGGTAAACGCAAGGCGCCCGTCGCTGCGGATAACACCATGCCTACGACGCATCGGGAGAAAAAGTCGACTTCTCACAAGACTGGCGGATCACGTGCCTGGAATAGCAAGCCAACTTTTGGTCAATGGATTAAGGCAACCTGGGTAGATCTTCTTACCATGGCTGTCCTTGGTGCCATCGGTCTTGGCGTCTACTTCGCCGATCCTGCGCCCAGTCGGTCGTTCCCAGGTATGTTCAAAGCCATTTTCCGCTCCACCAAGACTTCACACTGACCCAATTCAGTCATATTTAAAGACGGAGAGATCGTATACCCTCAATTCGCTTATCCTTTACGCAATGAGATTATGTAAGCTCGTTCTATATCGTTTTGTGATCTATTTACTAACTTTTAAATAGTCCCAGTAAGTCACATGACCCTCCGGACGTTGACCTTCTCTGGCCGCAGCCTATGGAAACGTTCATCTCTCTCAGTAGCTAACCTTTGCACTAGTCTGGGCCGCTGCTCTTATGGCCTTCTTTATTCCCTTCGCAGTGTTCCTCATCGTTCAAATCAGGGCCCGTTCATTCTGGGATATCAACAACGCCACGATCGGGCTCTTGTACGGGCTCATCACAGCTGCAGTATTTCAGGTTTTTGTCAAGTGGCTCATCGGAGGTAAGTCTCCTTTCCCTGTCGGCCAGAAGGCTGGCCATGTGGAGTAGTGTCAAAGACGGTAACTAACACGTGACTTTAGGATTCCGCCCCCATTTCCTCGCCGTCTGCAAGCCTGTCATTCCATCGACAATCAACTTCGATTCAGATGATAATGGCGTCGAGACTGGCACAACCGGTAATGTCGGAAATGGTTTCCGTCAAATCATGTTCGACCGCAGCATTTGCACTGGTGACCGAAAAGAGATCAACGACAGCCTCGAATCTATGCCTTCCGGCCACACCACCGCTGCCTTTGCCGGCTTTGTTTTCTTGTACCTTTACCTGAATGCCAAGCTCAAGGTTTACGCCAACTACCATCCCGCCATGTGGAAATTAATCGCCCTCTACGCACCCATCCTCGGAGCCTGCTTGATCGGTGGCGCCCTAACCATCGACGAGTACCACAACTGGTATGACGTACTCGGTGGCGCGTGCATCGGCACGGCCTGTGCAATCTCTGCCTTTCGTATGGTGTATGCGTCGATCTGGGACTTCCGTTTTAATCATATCCCATTGCTCCGACACTCCCCGTTCACTTACGGCACCGGTGCTAGCACTGACGGATTCCATGACGCCATCTTCACACGTAAGGCTGGCTGGGGCTCGCACGAGGGCCATAGCTTGGGCGGTGCACCAGGCGATGCCATGGATGGACCTCATGGCACCATGGCGCCCACCCCGGAGGGACCTTTTGCTGCACACGGTAGCTCGACTGGTCGCCACAGCGTTCCAAGGAGGCCCGTGGGTGGAGATGGTTATGGAGAGCAGATGGTATAAAGCCATATACCAAGTAATGTCGTCATCGAGGGTACGCATGTTGGAACAGTGGTGTGGTCAATGCCACTGCTGGCGTCGACATATGCCTCACAAGGGTGTGAGATAGAATGAGACAGGTCTGATGACGTGTCAGATTTCATGGTTATTACGATGCCTTTCATATTCAGAGATACCAGTCCAAATTTCATAATGTTTAATCAATTTGTCTGGAAGCATACCTCACCTTTTGTTGATCTTTGACATGATTTTGTTTTGTAATACAGCTCTATCTACGTATCCAAATGTTTAATTCTCATCGAGTTTAGATTACACACAATCCAATGCTGGGCACCACAAACACGCCGTGTCGATCTGATAGGATGAGCCTGGGCAAGGCCGAGGGCTTCATGATGTTGTATGAACCATTGTAGCTTGAATACAGGTTGCTCGCGAGTGTTGCTACATTCATGGAGGCCTTGCACTTCTCATTCACAAAAGTCTTGGCAACAGTGACCGTTCCAACTAGCCAATAACCTTGCACATAGTGCTTTAGCTATATTACGCCGTGGTATATACTACTTGCTTCGCCGTATTTGCCGGACTCGAAGTGGAAATGAAGTGGTGGTATATTCCGAAGTCAGTGTATGCATTAATTATCTTATTATCAAGACTCTGAGTCGATATATTCGGTTCAACAGACATCGAGTCATTCTTCGATTCTACAGAATTCAACACCAGGATTCCAGGAGGATTTCTCAGTTAGAAGGTCCTGTATATATGCTGCGGATCAATTGGATATAATACCAACCTCTGGATCATATCGATGTTTGCGAGATCAGGACGTGAAGATGCGAATTGAGACAGTATCTTGGCTATGTCGTACCTTCGTTGTCATCAGGCTGACAGTGTCCATGAAGGCTCACGCGTTAGAACCACTGAACACCCTTAATTCTAGGTCAGTGTCGGTTCGGTTTCAATCATCGACATGGAGCTCCATAGGTGCCCTGTTCATCACGTCCACTTTCACCTTCCACGGATCTATCACCTTGTCGCGATTTGACGCGCGATGAACAGTATCGTAGAAGGTTAGTTTCACTTTCTCATTGAAAGCTCGTTCTTGATACGCACGGCGACACTCTGCCTCCTTTGACATATGTCGTGCACATTGGGGATGCCCCGTTACATCTCCCCGTTATCTGGTAAGCATCTAACCACGAAAAAAAAGTTAGATCTTTGTGAGGGCTTGAAGACTACAACTCTTAGCACGTAGTACTCAAAGCCATTTTGAACGTGACGGAGGCTTTCAAAACTGATATCGAAGATTTTGGTGGTTGCATACGTAGGCAATGGCAACTACGGTGAGTACGACATTGGATGCAAGAGTACATTGTTTCAGTGATTGGGAGATCGAGAGGCTGGGGATACGGTGAGATTGATGGAAAGTGTTTGGAGTTTGTGCAACCGTTTGCTGTGGTTTTAGCCCGGGACGTGACGTCTTTCACCGTTTGAGAATGTTGCTTTCTGTTTGTTTCCGGCTCTTTCCCTTTCTGCCTCTTTCTACCTTCTCTTCTCTTGGCGTCACGTCGCATCACATTGCAAAATCTCATCTTCCTCAACGGCCATTCCACCATCTCACTCCATTACCACTTTTCAATCATCCACGCACTGTGCTCAGCTACAACTAGTCGCAACATGGCGACCGAAAGCCAGATCGACAAGCGGTTTACAGAGGGGTTCAATGAAGCCAATGATCACTACCGTGACGACCGGCTGGAGGAATGCGTCGCTAAAGCTCGCGAGCTCCTCAACGACCCTGCCATCCCACGATACTATCGTATGAGAACGCTTGTGCTACTTGGCTCAACACTCGGCGAATGGGGCGAGGCCAACGACTGTCGTCTTGAAGCTGAGGCAATGTGGCGCATAGTACGGCGTTGGCACCCACTTGGGGAAGATGTTGAGGTTGACCGTCTCATGGCCATCATACGCGAGTCGCTCGATGACTTGGATCGCGCGCTAAGGGAAGAGGACCTGTTGGATTCCCATTATGAGGATGAGGAACAAGAAGCTGTGGATTCAGTCGACGACGAATTTGCTAATGCAGGAGAGTCGATGGAGGGGCTTCATATGGACGAAGGGACATATATCCCCACGAAAGCATCGGCTGAGGAATCAGATAACCAGGAGACGGAGACGGAAACGGAGCAGAAACTGGAAAGCGAATAGATACATAGTGCTTACATGTATTCGCCAAGACACTACAAGAGGTTTTTCTAACCGATCAGTGCCAGATCTAAATATAATCTAGTCTCTGCACTCTCTCACTTATCTTGCATTGAAAACCGAAGTCCAAGAGCATCTCTTATTTGGCATTCTAGTTGCGAATCTGGAGGTTGTGCACAATCGGAGTCGACAATCTCCTCCAAGTTCTGTGACTATGATGTCCGTAGATTGTAATCAACTGATCCACATTTGCAGTATGAATTAGGCTTCACCATGACTGCGATCGATGAGATTTTTTGTATGTTTTTGGCAAAGCATTGTATCAGGTACTTCTGAGCTGTCAGTGTCAGGTCTCAACATCTACTATAATCAGGTGGCAAATGACTTCCACTCAGGCGGGGCATAGCGGTGGCATTCTCCAAACATACTCGCTGATCGTTAAGTGAGGGTATTTCACTGCGCGTCCCACAGGCCTAATATCACTGCAACTACATTCACCTATCTTGTCCACATATCCTAAGCTTTGGTATTATGTACACTTCCCCTTTTGTTCATGCGTACTCACCCTGTTCGTTGAGCGGCCCATGTCAAACGACGATCAGCTGAGAGAGGCAGTACCCCAGCTCAAGAAACTTTGTCAAGTATATGGAGAGAGCCAATCTGGTCTTTCTTTATCCCGTTGGTGATCTTGCCATCAGAAACCACCGTGTTGCACACTGTACTCTTAGAGTTTTATAAAAGTGGAAAGTGAGCCGACTATGTAAAATGTCATCTACTCATAAAAGTTGTGAATAAAACTGTTTTCTCGAGGCAAAGATGGTTCATCTATCTTGTGTATCTATCATTTGCTACAATATGTAGATTCTGTCATATTGGGGTGGCATTGCGTGCTGTACTTACTCTCGACTTGCCAATAGATCGAGAGGCGCAATGTGTGTATCGTCCAGAAGAGTTGGCATAACTCGGTCTGAAATTACTGATAGGTCAGACAAAGTAACTTCTGAACCAAACCTCGGTACCCTCATCTTCCAATGATATCAACACCCTCTCGCTTCTTCTATCCGCAAATCTCTATTTGCATAAAAGCTTGTTCAATTTGAACACACTGTTTCTTACATAGATGTACCAAGTGCTCTCTCCAGAGTGAGAAAAACTGAACGTAGAAGTCTAGCAACCATCGTTTACAAAAAGGATGACGATGTGGTCACTAGTGATGATTGCAAGGTTGTAGGGATACTATGATCCATTCTTGATGACTGTTGAGGTGCTCTTGGTATGTATTTAATCTAAATCCATTTCACAGTAATGCAAACGTAACACTTAAGGACTGTTACTCTCTTCTAAAGTTATGTCATAAATGGTATTGAACACTTCCGTCTTGTATTGCACCTAGTCTAACTCACATTTTCTCCGTTCAATTCATCACCATAGAAATTCACAATTACACATCTGCTCCCCCTCCGCGTCTCTCCACGCAACCTTGCCATTCCTCCCGACCAACTCCGGCAGTACCTTCCTATGCCACATGACCGCAAACCGTCTCGCCGCGTCCTCTTCAGCAAAGTTCACTATCCACCGGTTGTACACGCGATTCATGACCACCTGGTTGATCTCGCGGGCACTGTTTTCATCTTCCGGGCTCGTCATCAAGCTGTTGATGCTTGGGTCGTCGAACTCCACGCGTGGGGATTGCAGAGACTGGTTGAATGCACGCGGATTCGCAGACGAGACGGGGAGCAGTCTTGTTTTGAGGTTTACCACTTCACGCAGTCGGTGGATCGCGGCGGAAGATTCGGGGTGGAATGGCCATATGATGCCGTGGTCGTGAGCGTGACGCATAAAAATCTGCCAAAGATCCCATTGACTTGGCTCGTAGCCTTCAATATGGACGAGAACTTTGTAGATGCGTTTGCCGTTTGCGTCGAGGTTGGGGACAATGGGTCGGTAGCCGCCTTGCGCAATAATACCACGGAGGGCGGGGTTGTAGGGCTGCATGACGGTGTGGAGTCTGAGCTCGTGGGTAGTAGATTTGAGGAAGTAGGAGGACATGGCAGTAGCGAGGTCCTCACCGTCTTCCAGAAAGCCTCTCGGAGGAGGAATTGCAGAGAAGATATCAGATGACCTGTGAAGGGCGCTGAGCTTGTGAAGACGGGAAACGTTTTTCTGGTACGCCAGGGCGGACTCGGGGGACTTGAAAAGTAGGTAGTAGAAAGGGAGGCGTTCCAGACTCAGTGGGTCGCGCCCGGGGATGACCTTGTAGAATTCGCCGTCTCTGATCCACGACTCGATGTGCTTGCCCTTTGGGATCAAGCGACGGAAGTCAGATTCAGCAAGCTCGATGCTGCAGTGGATGAGTTGCAGTACAGTGATCTGCTCTCCACCCCTTTGAAACGATGTGAGCATTTGCTCTTTCAAGTTCTGCGGACGGTCCACTAGATCTCGGCGGACGAGCGGAGTCGAGTCGGGAAGATCGAGCTTGGGATACTGAGTTCTCTTCTCCGGGTAATGGGGCTGAATGTAACCACTAGCCTCCGGGAAAAGCTCATCCAATAGAGACGGCTCGTTAGCTTCGTGCGGTTGAGCGGATGTTGATTTCGATAATGTTCCACCCGTGGACTTGACTGACTCTTTCGCATCCAATACAGGCTTCTGTAGTGTCTTTGTTGTAGGCGAGGGTGGGTTTTGTGTATCGAATGTAACTCTGAAACTGGTTGGCCTTTTTGTCTCGGGTTGATCGGACGTCTTCGTCAACTGTGATTGCGTATGGATTTGTCGTACAAGCTTCTGGCTGTCGTTGTTCTGATCCCTCGATATGTGTGTTGTCCTGCTGTTTTCCACCTCGTTGGCCGCTGCTTTCTCATGGGCGTTTGCGTCGTGTTGCTCAACTGCTATTAGTCGAGAATATTCAGTGTCCGCTGACTCCTTGTTCGGGCGTGCGTCATCGTGATACGATTCCAGTCCCAGAAACTTGTACGTCGAATGGTTGAAAGATGCGGCTTCTGTGGCTCGGCCAGAGGACCCGTTGTTTGAAACGATTGTGTCTGACTTCATCGCTTTGATTGGATGCAAACTCGTGTCCGCAACCGATGTTACTGAAGACAGACGATCTGAATCCTTGTAGTCTTTCAGGATGATACTCATTTTGTAGTCATCCTCTAAGAACGGGTCTCTTGCCATTTCACGAAGTCGACTTTGTATCACAGACGCAATCGGCTTTACTTTGGACGATGAGATCTTGCGCAGCGATGCAAGGACATCTTTGACAAGCCTCGTCGACGCCCGATATCGTCTGATAGCCGCCCAGATGGCGTGTTCAGGAGGAGAGAAGCTCGGGCGTATCCTGCCATGGTACCTACGCCAACTGGTCGAAGACGTTGAAACCGACAAGGGATATGGACGTTGACGCTCCTCGACATGTCCGGCGGGTCCCGTCTTCAGGGGCGCTTCGTGTTTTGCGAACGAGGCAGCGGTAGGAGGGGTGGTTGCCGAAGGAGAAGTGTCAGATGAAAGCTTTCCGTCGAGTCTCTCCTGCAACAGCTTGACTTGCTCTAACAGCTGCTGAAGTTGTTGCTGCACAGGGATGTCTTCTTGGGTCTGTGGATTCCGAGTGCTCTCGTTTGGCGGGACGTCACGTTGCTCTATATTGTTCGATATTGAGCTCGTCACAGATGTTGGGTCTTGCTTGACGGTATCCTCATGCGCAGTTTTCTTGACCGCTCCATTCGTAGGTTGTGTATCCTTGTCGTGTGCCTGGCCCCAATTCGTGTGGGTCAACACCAGATGTCGTACCGTTTCATCTACTCGTGTCTGTGGAGATTGCAGGCCCTGACGCAGCGACGCTGCTTGCCGCTCTGCGAGTTGCGACCGCCGCCTCGTAGCTCCCTCGTACTCGTTGTTTGTGCGGCTTTCAGACCTGAACTCCGGAGCACCTGGCCCATATGGCTTTGCGTCTTCCCTGACTTTCGAAACCGGGTCTGCGGGCGGTGGTGTGGTGTGGAAGCTGAGGGTTCGTTCTGTACTTTTCAGGCGTGCTCCTTTCTGGGTGACGTGCTTGGTTATTGTGAGCCCTGGTAAGGCTTCGCCTGGCTCATCCTTGGGTTGCGCTCTTTCCTCATGCTCAGACGTTGGTGTTGGCGAGGAAGGTGCGATTGACGTGGAAGGTGCGCTGGCATCCTCAAAACCCGACGAGGCTGTTCTGTTGACTACCGAATTCCACCAGCTGGTCGCGGGCTGCGCGGGGGATCTCAAGCTCTGCGTAGGGCTACCGTGGGCGATCGAAGACTTGTCGCGGGCCGTGTTCGGGGCGCAACGGGCCTGGTGGGCGCTCCATGGGGGATGACATGGCCGCAGATGTCGAGAAAGGCGCGGCGGTGGCATCAATTGCAGAATCCCGTTACATTGCACGCATCGGACGCTCACTGCTCGACGCGACTCGTAGAAAAAGCTGCGTGACCAATTCTACGCTAAGGCTGGCGGGGTTAGGTTGGTCTCGCTGAGTCACTCCAACACTGCGTCTTCCGCACGCGACAGAATATTGCCGTGACGAAGAAGCATCACTCCAAAAGAGGCATCGACCAGATTCTCAATGAGTACAGCGACGGCGTTCGCGCTTCGGCCCTTGGAGCGGAATCCGCCCAATACTCCGGGCAATGCGCTCGAGGGTGCTTTTCGAGTCCACCTGTCTCAAAAAGAGCAGAAGAATCTTGGCCTCACGAACGGCGATCTAGTTCGCCTGAAGACGTCCGCTGGGTTCAAGGGCTACGCTGTGGCCTGGCTCGCTTCTCAAACTAACCCTGGAAACAAGCCCATCGCAAAGGTCACGGACCTTCTACGAGAGCAACACGAACTATCACTAAACGAACCTATCTTTCTTGAGAAAGCTAGTGACTCCTGGAAGCCTCTCAAGTCAGTGGAGATTGACGTTGCAGAGTCTTCAGAGCAAGTAGCCAAGTTTGCTTCTACCGAGGAGCTTTTGTACTGGGTTCGGCATGCTTTAGGTAGGGTAAGCCACAACCAGTCTTCAAGTGATTTGCTTAAACTAACATCACACAGTGGATATCGACATGGTCCTTCCTGGATATAGCTTCTCGATACAACAGAAGGGACCAAAAGCTCAGCTAAGGGGACTCAAACTCCGCGTAACCGTGAGAAGCATCGAGCCCCAACCTGACGGGAAGCACGCACTGTACTTCGATCCCGTCAAGACTAAAATCACCACTACGACTGAGCTTCCTGCTCAGCAGTCCGGACAGACTCCATCAACTATCCTGCAAGTCGAGAGCTTTGGTATTGGAGGGCTGTCGGATCACATTGCTACAATCAATAAGAATCTGTTCTTCCTCACAAACGCCGCATGCACACTTCCTGACCCACATCTCCTTGGGCCCACTGCATTTCTTCTGCATGGACCAGAGGGTACTGGTAAAAGCCTAATCCTTGAGCGATTAGCCGACTGTCCGTGGCAGGAGGTGTATCGAATCAATCCAGATGTCAACTCCAAAGGTCAGGCCAAGGCAATCTCTGACACATTCGAGGATGCTCTCGAGAACCAACCCAGTTTGATTCTGATGGACAACCTGGACAAGTTTCTCGAAAAAGCAGAGTCACTAGTGACCAGACTAAGGACGGAGATATCAAAGTTGGAAGGCACTCAGGTGGTGGTCGCTGCGTCAGCTCGCAGCGTATACGATGTTGACACAAGTCTGCGCACAACCTCAGCATTCAAGGTCGAACTGGAGGTCTTTCCGCCCAATGCGGAACAGAGAGAAGACATCTTTCGTCAAATACTTGGACCAGATCGAACACTCAATAGCGTCAATTTCGTTACTTTGGCAGAGCGCTCACACGGGTTTGTTGGGCGCGACATTCACAAACTATGTGGCCTCGCAAGAAATCGACGAGTGCAGACGGTGTACGAGTCTCTGGACGATAATAAGAAGACAACTTTCGGGAGTGTTGTTGAGCATATGGACTTCGTTACACAGGAAGACTTTGACCATGTTATTGACCAAGTTCAACCGACTGTGATGAAAGAAAGCATCCTTGAAGTCCCGAAGGTTAGATGGACAGATATCGCTGGCTTAGACCATGTCCGCGCCCTACTTGAGGCCATTACAATCCGTCCATTCAAGGTAAGTTTTGCACAGAACATCATGATTATCAGTGCTGACCATCTCTAGTATCCTGATCTTGACGCCAAGTTTGGCGGTCCTCAATCGCGCAAAGGCGTACTCCTTTATGGTCCTCCAGGTTGCGCAAAAACGTTGATCGCCCAAGCAGTGGCAACTGAATCCAACCAAAACTTTCTCGCGGTCAAAGGCTCTGAACTCATAAAGATGTATGTAGGAGAATCCGAGCGAGCAATCCGCGACGTATTCCGTCGCGCGCGCGCAGCAAAACCGTGCATCATTTTCTTCGACGAGATTGATTCGATTGGCAAATCACGCGAGAAGTCGCAAGACAGCGGTCTCAACGTTGTCGCGACGCTACTCAACGAGATGGACGGTATTGAAGCACTCAAAGACGTCTTTATCATCGGCGCAACAAATCGCCCTGACATCCTCGACTCGGCACTCATTCGCACAGGTCGCTTCGACGCACACATCCACATCGGCCTCCCTACCCATGAAGCTCGCCAACAGATCTTGCAAATCCACACTAGGAAGCGACCACTTGCTGCGGACGTCGACCTCAGTGTTGTCGCCGCAAAGACTGAGGGGAGCAGTGGAGCCGATATCAGCGGTCTATGTTCTGTTGCTGTGGAATTTGCAATCTCGGATTACGAGAGAGCACCTGAGAGCGAGCCGTTGGTAAGAATGTGCCATTTTCAACAGGCTCTGGATAAACATGTCCCACATACGGTCGCGGAGGAGGCGGAGCGGTATAAGAATTGGAGGCCGGGCAAGTCGCTCTCAGAAGATTGAGAGTCAGAACACATAGTGTAGAATGTCGAGGGTTGCGACAAGCTTATCGGCGCTTTCCCGCGGTAATAATCTTCTTCCATCCTCCAACGAGCTGTGCACGATAACGGAATGACTGCAATCTTGCTGCGTGTTCGCGACTCGGTTGTTGAAACTTGAGACGGTGCCAGAATTCTGCTTACACAACGAGAGATCTTGTCAGTCACCAGCATTCGAAGAGGCACACTTGAGTTCCTTTGGTCGTGTTGTGCCGCGATCCCAAGGCGCTGTGGAAGGTTGCCGTCTTCTGTGTGCCGTCGCGGGTCGAGGCTCAACGTGCGCCGTCGTCCGATGGTGAGGACCCGCTTGGCAGCATAACGAAATTAACGGCGTCCCAGATCTCACCGTCCCTGCATCCCTGCTGAAACTCGAATTGCATCGTCAAACGGCACGACTCTCAATACAAGCAATGCCTTGATCGAATGATTCTGACCACTACCGCAACAAGTACTGACATGGATGTCACAGTCGTAAGTTGTAGTGTAATTAACAACATGAAGCATTATAGACCTCCAATCGATACTAGTAGACGTTTATCAAACGCAGGGCCCTCCCTCCCGCACGTTGTGCGGATCACCCTCACCCCAGTCCATCGACGTGTTCGTAATTTCGCGCAATTTGTCCCTTACGCCCAGTCACAGTCAAGATGACTTGGATGCCGCGGGCTTGGAGACGAGCAATGTGGAGGCGGTCAAGCTGGTTGCCCAGGCGCATCGTTGATCATTATGCATATCGTTCATCTCTGTCTCTCTTCCTTCTTCCACCTCCCACAACAGCCTGGTCGCTTGTGCAGTCATAGGTTCTCTGGAGCCGTCCACTCTTTTGATAAGGTGTCATCGTTTTTCTTCTTCTAGTCACTCCTTTAGCTCATATTTCATCAATTCATTCTCCAAAACGTTCGTGAAACAAACATCATGCCTGGCTTACTCACAAGATCAAAGTCGTTGCGACTGCTGAGGGGTAGCCGTAAGGATGTTCGTCAAGAGGAAACGCCGCATCCCCTACCGCTACCGAACAATTCCAAAGCCGAAATCGACATGCACAAGTTAGCCGTACCCATCTCGACACCCTTGAGGAAGCCGGAGATTCCCAACATGACAACACGGCCGAGAACGGCCAATGGGCCTGGAGATCGACCACCGTTGTTCCACAAGAAGACGAATCCGGTACCTTCACTCTACTCCCAGGACCACATCCAGAGTTTGCCTGCGCTCTCGAGCTCGACAGTTGTTTTATCTAGTGCAGAAGGTAGAGGGGGGCTGGACGATCACACTGGAGTTATTGGTATTGCGTTGGGAAGCCCGACTAGAGGATCGCATTGGAATATTGCAACACCTCAGACTCCGGAATACAATACTGAGTCTTCAGACGAAAATACTGACACGGGGAATCGTCGCGCAGTAATCACTTCGTCTGACAACGCCCGCCAGAATCCACCCAAGTCAAAACTCAGCCGGTGGAAATCCTTGTTCAAGAGAACCGCGCGGCCTCCTACCCAGCAGGACAAGCAATCGTTTTATCAGGTGGTATCGACTGTCGCTACAGATCGCGCGGACAGCCACCATACCAATGAATCGCTGGACACACAAATACCAGAAGAGCCAAACAAAGAAATCAATGCATTGTCGCCTCCCGCCTACAAGCCAGACAGTCGTAAATCTCGCAGCGCGGAAGACGAGCCTGCTGCGTTTCCACAACCACCCCAACCCAGACAGCGCGCATGGACAGTTGAAGTCAATCCGACTGAGCATCGACGAACGAGGATAAAGAGAGCCTCTACGGCCCCTAGTATTCATACGAATGGCCTTGCTCTAAAACCGTTGCAAGTCGCGCAGACCGAGACCGTTAAAGCGCCATTACGAAGCCTTTTCAAGCGCTCTCCAACTGTTCCCCAAGTAGAAGTCATGTCGAGCCCACAAATTATGACTGTTGGTACACCGCAGGAGATACCCCTGTTAGATATCAGCATTCCCGACGAGAAGCTGGAGAGATATAGTGTGATGTTTGGCACTGTTCTCCAGCAACCACCGAGCCAAAATGTGTCATTATTGGAACGAAGGCAAGCCAATGCTGAGAAGATCCGACCACCAAGTGGGTTGTCGATCAAGGTACGCAACGAAATTGTGCTCGAAATGTTGTAAGATTACTGACGCCTAAATAGGGGTTGGAAGAGGGGAATCTATTGGACCATCCGCCAAAGCGAAGGGCAACATCACCAATGCTCCCGTCCCCCCAGCTCAAACTTTCCCTGTTTCCTCCTACAAATGCCGGACGACCACCATCTCCGCGTCCAGCGTCTAGGAACCGGAACAGGTCTCGAACCACGCCTGCAAACTCGCCTCTCAGTCAGACGTTATCGCCCACCTCTGGCGAAGGCAACAGTACACCTAGCATTCCCAAACCTGAACCAACGGCAACTATGAAAGTGAAGCCGCGACGGCCGGCACTCACATCAGGTTCGGTACGCGGCTACGATTCTGATTCTGAGTTGATCACTGTCATCGTAGACAACACAGCTGGTGGGGACAGCCAAGGGTGGAATATCAGTCGAGAGGACAAGCAGTCAAAGCAAGAAAATCTTCCGCGACTGCTCACGATTACAAAGCGGGATGTAGATGTCCAAATTGCAGAGCCCATGGAGGCCCCAAAAAGCGAGCCGACGCCTGTCTCAACCCCGAGATCATTGCATGACGAAGAACCTTCTGTAATTCAGACTCTCACACGTCTCGCGTCGCAAAGACAACCTCGCGTCACCAAACTCTCTGCCCTCTCGTCTCACCCTTCCTCAGCACCGTTGGACATTCCTTCCCCGCTAGAGAATCTCGAAGCACTACTCTCACCCCCGTTGACGCCTGATGAGATCCATGACCAGCCGCAAGATCGCGCAACTCTTGGTATTGCGCGTTCTGTATCCGTGAGCCGCAAGGCGGAGAACAAAGCGACGGTGGGCATTGCGCGCTCTGTTTCCGTCTCTCGAGCAAAGAGTCCCAGGCCTTCATTGAGAACCGGGGCAACATCCGATGTTGGGAGTCCGCAGCGGTTTGTGGAGAGACGTACGCTCACGCCGACTATTGTTGAGGTCGGTAACCGTAGGAGTCAGAGGGTGATGCTGGTGGATGCTTGATCCAACGGTACTCTCTTTAAACGTCTCAATTTCATGTTTCATTTGTCTATCCACTTGGCGTTATTTTTGTTTAGTTACTTTTCGGTCTTGAAGCATTCTGGAGGCGTATGATTTAGTCTGGCGACAGTGTAGGTGACGGCATCTCGAAATTCCATGTTTTTCTTTGTACCGCTTGGAATGGAGCTTTGAGGCTCACTCACCGCTGCGCGGCATCTCGGGAAGATGAAAGATATCGAGATAGGATGGAGGGTAGCACAAAGGTCCCCGCAGACTATCTAGTAGTGCTCAAATAAGCTTTTATCCGATCGCGTCTTGGTGTGTTACATTTGACGGCAGTGAGTAAATTGGCGCGTGAACTACCTACTCTCTAAACTCCGCCCAGAAGGCTCGATAGTACTCGGCCTTGTGATTCAATAGGTCAGCGAGCAGTGAGCAGTGATTGGTCCTATGAACGGCCCCTTGCGTACGAAGAGTCGTGAGAGATCAGTCGAGCCCAAGCGAGATACCGGTGACTTGGGCCAGTGCCGTCCGGTGAGGTTCGGCAGCGTCTTGCACCAACTCAGCTGCTCGTCACGACATCGTATGAGCTGTTGGCAGTTGCATAAGGATGTCGCAAAAGCATGGATATTGGTAGGTGGGTTTGCGGTGTTGTGGCTTGTGGCTGTGTGAAACCCCTACCCCGCTATCGAATTTCGTCCACTTTTCTCCCGCATGGAACCGTGCTCCGATAACGTTGACTAGCTTCGCCTTTGCAAACGAGGTCCAGCTGACTTGGATTGATAATGAGCTCTGGTCGCCACTAAGTCTGACGGAAACGTGGGCGTGCGGACCCAGCCGCCGACAACGCCGAGCTTCCATGGCTGCTACCTGGATGAACAAGTCCAGTTCACGGGACAACAGCGCCTCTACAGCTCGCCGGCCGTGGCCCCGCTAGCTGCGCTTGCAATGGCACCAAATCGATAAGAGCCATTGGCCCGCCCTCAAGTAGGTGGCCCCCATTCTGCACATGGCCCGTCTAGTCCACCGCCACGGACCGCTATCATTGGAAGAGCAGTTGACGATACCAGGCGGGCGCACTTCAATCAAGCATGCCTGTAGCCTGCTGGGCCTTGGGGGAGGGGAATAAGGCGTGAGGCTGAGCTGCCATTGCTAGGCATCTCCTGGCCTGCTTGGTGCTCTCTCTTCCTTCTCCACCTCCGTCACCTGCCTTCGTTTTCCTGGCTGCTTGCTTCCTTTCGAACACGCGTTTCTTGATCCGTCTCCGCGTCAGTTGGACGATCGTCAGTCGGGGCTATCGGGTTGCACCTGCCAAACTACCAAGCGACCTTGTACCCAGTAACTCGATACACAAGGTGGAAATCCCAAAGTCGTCGAAGCCGTCCTTGCTCTGTTATCCCTGCTTGGAGGATCCTCAATTCCGTCGTCGTTTGCCGGCACAGCGAATGTCACTGCAGCTGATAGGTCGCCTTCAGCCTAGCCAAATCGCGTCGCATAGAAACAGCACACGGGGCGTGCAGTTGCCGTAATGTCTGGTCTTGAGGTACCTTGACCGAAGTGTTTCCTACGTCTTCCCAGTTTGGACATGATTTTCACCACTCGGTCATACCTTGACAGGAAATAGCCATGCATCATCACAAACACCTACCGTCGAGACATATAGATATACTGACGCTGTTGGTATCGTACAGGTTGTCGCTGCCGTCTCGGCAGTGATTTCAGCATTCCATGGCGGATCAGAGCTTCTCAAGCATCTGAAGCAGAAGCGTCGCAACGCGCGAACTCAGGCGCAACAAGAGTTTGAAGAGCGACAGCTGCAGGATTCGCTCGAAACCGGTGAACACCAAATCGGGTTTCGCTATGCGCAAGATATGAAAGAACTTGGCGACCATATACGGGTCGGCGATGGTAAGCTCTACTCAATGATTAGCCCAACTCGAAACTAAGCTTATATGGTCAATTGTCTTTGTAGCTGTCGCTCGAGATCGTCTCTTACACATTGCTGTCATCATGCAGGCAGAGATAATCAAAAGTCTACAGATGGCAGTGAAGTACGAGGTACGACTATGATTATAAGCCCTTACACCATACAGCACAGAACGCACTGACAACGTCTCAGAACGCCGTACTAAACCTCAAGATCCTACATGAGGCTTCGATCATGAATCGCAAGGACACATTCGTGACTTTGGACGAGCTGAAACAAAGGATCCTGGTCACACGACCTCTGACACGGCAGCTGCAGCAAATGCCTAGAGGCCCGACGAACCGCTTCTCTGAGACGTCGGTGCATACAATGCAGGCGAACAACTATTCCCCGACGAGTCCGATACCAGATAACTATATCCCAACAGCTGTGACTATCTCTACGCGGGCGAACTCGAAGGAAGAAAAACGCGGTTTAGCGCATTATTTCCAGATGAAACGCAGGAATAGCATGTCTACTTCATCTGCCGCTGGTCCTTCCAACACGTCTGTACAGGCTGCAAACATCAACTTCAGTGCTGCGCTTGAACAATTGGTCGATGCGAGGGGGACGGAAGATCGTGCAACCATTATGGAAGATATTGATGAAATCATATCCTCGTACAAGAGTCTACAGGTCAATCACGGGCCAAGTGACCCGTGGAGTGGGCATCAAAATCTTGCGAGGCGGGATACCCTGGCTACACTCAACGCAAACGAATCAAACCAAAGAAATTCAACGGGGTTAAATGGAGACGCGATGCAAATGCTCCAAAATTCACCCCAGACCTCGGAGGAGAACAGGGCGGATGGACCACTGCTACATCCAGCGTTCAACCAAAACTTCTTCGGTGCACAGCACGATCAAGGGTTTTGCAATCAACAGTACATGGCCAAAAGTCCATTTCGCCACATACAACAGCAGTCGGACCAGCACCGTTGGTCAACTACATCTGCTTCGAGTTCGACACACTCCGAGGCCCAATCACTCGATCGTAACAGCTCAAGCTCGTCGAAGAGATCACTCACACAAACCCCACCACATTCCCCACAGCCCGACCACTCTTGTCATTCGCCCTTGTCAATGCCATCCCATACGCAATACCAACAAGTCAACGCAAATGGTAGTATTCATTCGCCACCTCTCACTCCTTATACGTCTGCGGATCTGACATTTACGACACCCATTGCGCCATTATCACCCCAACAACCAAGACGTGCATCGAGTACATCTACAAACACACCACTGTGGATGGAAACATCACCCCATGCACCAAACGCATCTCGTATGAACATGAGTCCAGTATCACAAACGCAATTTACCACACCTCATCAACCTCACTCACCTTCTCCTACCTCCTTCACATCGTCACGTCAACTTTCAACACCCTGCATACAAGAAGAAGACAAGAACACCAAGCCGCCACGGCCGCGCTACCACCTAACCCCATCTGTCGTACGTGATACGGCGAGTACGCATAGCGACGCCAGTGAATGTACCATAACGGCATCCGTGTTTGCAACAGCTGCAGCAACGGCCACCGCGACAGCGACAGCCCCTGCCGCCGCCGGTTTGCGACATGACAGCGCTTCGGCGCCGTCGAGAACATCCACTGACAGTAGTCTCTCAGCAACGATGGGCATCCTTCCTGGCCGTAGTGGTCTCCGCGGTTCTATACGCTCCGACACTATCCAAGGTGGACCTGCCGATAAACAAAACATGATGGATGGCCGACCCTGTAAGGACAACAACTACTGGGGCTTCTGCAAGGGCGCATGGGCGGTCCGAGAAGATGTCAAGAAGGGCCTTGCAATGCGCACACTACCTCAAGGAATGTACAACACGAAAACAATTTGGGAATGCCAGACATGCAGCTTCAAAGGTGACACATTCTCCGCGCCACACCCTACCAAGAAGAATAAGAGGGAAATGGTCGTCGACCCTCAGATTTACAAATCAAAAGCTGGCGTACGGTATCGCTGGATATTTCTCGCAAAGAGCCACGTAAAGAAGAAAACATCAGAGGGATCGTATGACGATGGAAATTATGGTTGTGTGTTTTGCTCAGTTGAGGGTAATGTCACTGGGATCTATGGATCTGTGGAAACCTTGATGAACCATGTTTGGAGTCAGCATGTAGCGGGTATGTCTGAGAAGACGAGGTTGAAGACAAGGTGCATATTGGGTAGGGTGGCCGGAGCGGATGAAACGTTTGATATCAACATTCCTATCTTCACACAAGTACAGGAGATGGAGAGTTGAAGGGGTTAGCACTTTTTGCTAACAAGTATCGGAAGATCCGGACTCTTAGCGCTTGATAGTAGGTTATAGTTCGTTTGGATAGGATCCTTGAGCAGACAAGGACTGCCAGAGGTCGTAGCCTCTTGAGGGTAATTTCACAATAGGTATCAGTTATAAGGAGTGTTTGAAATGACCTTAGCCTCTGTAAGAACAAGCAATGCAAGGAATCTTTCGTTCGTGACTGATTGATACATGCGTCGGATCTAAAGACTATTCTTAGTCACGTAAATATATGAGTAGATATGTGCATGACCTATATGGAAACGGGTGGTTCAGACGCATATGCCATCCACATTTAATCCTAATCTAAAAGACTTATCTGGTTGCCCGATGGATGAATCATGACCACTCGTGTTTGATTGATGAAAAGTACTGCACAAATACGAGCGCTCTTTGTGAGTGATCTTACAGGTGCATTGTCGTCATTTTTTTTCAGTATAAGTTAATGACCAAGTGGAGTATCACAACAACAAAGTCACAGTTTGGTTATTGTCACGGTAAAAACAACTTATTGATAACAATGAACATTGGCCGGAGAGGAATCTAGGCATACCCTGTTTGTACACTCTTCTGTTCATCTTCTGTGTTTAACTGAGATCTGATCGCTATGCAAGTATATCATTCTACCGATATAGTCTTCCCTTCTGGACCCGCCGCCTTTGACAGTCTCTCTCCCCTTCTATACTCCTCAACGCGATATAGCCTTCCTTTGCATCTGCATCAACATCGCCTAATTGGACTGGCAGATTTCGAAGCAGACGCGCGCGATCTCCCCCATCAAGCGATGATCCTCCTTGCAGCCCAATGATATGGGGGTTATCTCTCGTAAACGATGATACGTAATCGAATATATCTGGTGCTGTTGTTGTGAGCGATAGGAAGAAGCTGAAGGTACCGAGAAGAAAAAGGATAGTCGAGCACACAACGGAAGCCGCAACCCATAAGAAGTGGGCTTCATAGATGAGGATCTGATGGCTGATTTGGGCGTTTGTTATGTTCATGTTCAAGTTTGTGTAACCCCAAGTTTCGTCTTCTGAACTGGTGGAATTCAAAAAAGTGGGTTTTGTAAAGAAGTCGTTTCGAGTGACTGCATTGCTCCAACGCGAGGTGTCCCAGTATGTGTTCAATACTCGTGTCAGTCGATTTGATATGTCGATAGTAGATACATTATCCCATTCATGTGGAGAAGCAACGTGCCTAAACCCGCCCTCACCCCACGGAGTAGCGCCGTAGACATAGCTGTCGATGGGATGAGGATTGCTGTTGACCGGTGCGATGGTAGTGAAGTACTGGAAAAACCTGGCATTGGTAATATTATCGTGCATCACATCGTATGGCGTACCATTGTATTCGTTGTTCCAGCCAGTGCCTCGTTTGTTTCGAGGTTTGTCCAGGCGGCGTACGCGCTCGACTACGCAGTCGTCTGACAGACACACCACGTTAATCTCTGTCAACACGCTCTTCATAGAGCATTCGTAGAGAAAAACGCGGGTGTCTATATTTATGGTACCGTACAAAAGTCTGTCAGGCACTGCGTAGGTTCTGTTGTTGTTTTCGCTCCTGGTCCCGTAGAGGAAAAAGCTGCTGCTATAGTCTTCGAACCCGCCTGCACTAGCCGTAAATAGATCAACGAAACTCGTGGAGTTGTTTTCGACGAGGGTATTGAGATTGGGACCGTAAAGGTTTGGTACCAGGCTACGCAAATAAGTCGGCACATCATGCTGTTCGTCGTCGGGTGATTCATCCATCTTCTTGCTGCAGTCGAAGTACATGTACTCATATGGAATTGTCAGATTCGTGAGAACATTGACTTCCAAATTCAAGATAGGAACACCAGTGAGTGATGCATAGTTGGCGGGTGTAGATCTGTCGATAATGTACCACGGGCGTTCGTTTTGATTCTCGGCCTCATCGCGCTCAAGATCTTCAATGCGAGGTACCTTAGGATGAGACCACACATCGAACGATGAGTTGTCCCAGGTCTTAGAAGTCAACAGACTCATCGAAACAGTAGCACTCACAGAATTCGCAGTGTTTACGTTGTCAGGCCAAGCAGCGGTCACGACCATGTAGCCACTCCACGCATCGACATTTGCGTAATACACAGGACCGTTTACTGATATCGTACGGTTTGTCTCCGACACCAATCGTAAAGCACTTTGGCCTCCCAAGGGCGAAAGTGTCCAAAGAATAAGTATGCCGAAAGCAAGAAGACTAGGCGAACGAAGATTGATCGCGTGGCCTACTGCGGCCACAAAACTTCGACTACCAACAAGGAGCTCGAGAACCTAGACAGTATTCAGTAAAACCCTCCAAGTGGGAGCGACAGCAACTTACTCCAAGCGTTGTACCTCTTTCGGCATTCCATAACGCAATGTTCTTGAGACTCCGGCCACCCAACGCTGCGAAAGCGAGAGGAAATATGGTTGGACCGAGAAGAGACGCATTTTGTATGTCTTTTCCCAATCGAGAAGTGGGTTGCCCGTCCAGCCCAGAAGCCAGAATTGCGAGTACTGCTTTGGTAAGGCTGACTTCTATCAAAAATTAGAAATGTGATTTACCTATGAATGCTATGGGGAGCGTGAGTAGAGCGAAATCGGCAAAGATCCAAAGCAATGTGCGCTCTATGCGTCGCGGCTCAGAAGGCCAGTCTGGAATTTGAGCATGTTTGCCTGAGATTTTCCCGGTACGTATGCCCGCCTCTACTACGTGGTAGGCCACTTCGGATTTTTTGCGCAAACCTGGGATGTGCATGCTGAGAGGCATATTGTTATCTTGTAGTTAAAGCGAAGACGATTGTGAACAAATATCGGGAACGAGGTTTTAAATAATTGGAAACCTGGGCAACAGAGAAAAGAGATAACATATCTATGTAAGGCCGCCACGACTAAGCATTGTGCTACACAAAGCAGGCTGTGCTGTTGAATTTTAGCGAAAAGCCATCTCATGATCCGCTACATATAACGCGCGGATTTCGATTTCGACCCGGCTATTAGCTAATAAGATCGCGTCAGCAAGTCAATGTTGTCACTAAGGTACAAAATCAGGTAATTTACCCCGGAGCTTTATTAGGTAAAAAACACAGAAGAAAGACTACATTTTACACTACATTACAGTATAAAACGTAGAGTAAGTATATATATAATAGTATATATATTAAAATTTCTTTTTTAGTTTTATAGATAATTTATATAAATAATAAATTCTTTCTATATATTTCTATCTAAGTTACTTATTAGCTTAATTATAAGCTTAAATCTAAGTTTAATTATAAATTAAAATCTAGCTTAATTATAAGTTAAAATCTAGCCTAGTTATTAGCTTAATTTATAGCTTAATTATAAGCTTAAATCAAAGCTTAATTATAAGTAGGCTTATAGGTAGACTTATAGGTAGGCTTATAGATAGGCTTATAGGTAGGCTTATAGGTAGGCTTAATTATAAACTCTATATTAGTTAGAATCTATTATAAGTAGGCTCCTAGGTAGGCTTAATTATAAGCTCTATTATAGGTAGGCTCTATTATAAGCTCTATTATAGGTAGACTCTATTATAAGCAGGCTTATAGGTATACTCTATTATAAGTATATAAATAAGATAGTATTAATAAGTAAGTTTTTAGCTTATATATAGTAGGCTAGAGGAATATTATTATAGTTAATAGTAGTACTAGTAATAAGAAATTTAAGAAAATTACTAAGTATATATATATATAGTATAAATTTACCTATATATAGTATAGAGTTTATATTTACCTAATTTTATTCTATAGAATACTTAGTACTAGTGTAAATTATACTAACACAGTACCTTAGTATAATATCTATATTAAAGGGAATTTTAATATTAAAGATCTCTAGACTTATACTATATAATTCTATTATTATATTATTTAAAACACCTACTTCTTATATAACTCTAGTTAGCCCTAGAGAATAGAGATTAATGTATAATCTTATTATTATATTTTTATATACGCGTTTTAATTTTTATTAGGTTTTATTATTTATACTAACTATAGTAGCTAAAGTTTAACCTAGTAATAAGTTATTAGCTCTCTACTTTCTATTACTATTACTATTACTATTACTAATACTATTACTACTACTTCTAGCTTTATCCTTATTCTATATTAATTATATAGCTCTGTAGTAAGGTATTATACCTTCTAGATTACTACTATAATTCTTTTATTTTAGGCAGTATACCTAGAATCTATAAAAGCTTACTTAAAGTAGCTCTTATTTTTAATTAGAGTAGTATTATTATACTACTTAGTAGTAAGCTTATTAAGTTAAAAGAGCTAAGTATTAAAAAAAGCTTTATTAGTCTTATAGACTTATATAAGAAGAAGCTAAACTCTAATCCTATAATACTATACTTTAAGTTTTTTATTAAGCTTAAAGTATTATAAAATATCTTTATTTCTTAGGTAGTGTAAGGGGCTAACCCTAAGAGTAGTTACTAGTATAAATTAGATAAATTTACTAAGAATCTATAGTACTAGTTTTTCTCTACTTATAGTCCTTCTAGTAGTATACTAGCTATTTCTAGTAGGTGTTAGTAGTTAGGGTAGCTAAGCTTTAAGGCTTTACTTACTAAAGTTCTACTAGGCCTAGCCTATTATATAAGCTCCTTTCTAGTAAAAAATTTTATATTTTAACCTTACTATAATATAATATATTAACCTACCTTTATATATAATTTTTTACTATAGCTATACTAACTTTACCTACCTTAACTTCTATTTTACTTACTACTATAATAATAGGTTTACCTAAGAAGCCTATATTATTTTCTAAGTTCTTTTTTATAGCTACTAGCTCTTTAAAGAAGTTTTTAGTAAAAAAGTAAACTTATTCTACTACTAAAAGTAATAAGAAGGCCTTACTTTTACTTATAAGTTTATTTAGTTTATTAAATTTACTTTTTTCTTTACTAACTTCTTATTTTATTAGTTTTATACTTTACTACTTACTTATCTATTACTACTAGTATTATTTCTACTTCTACTTTTACCTTTATTACTAAAAGCTACTAGCCTCTTTAGCTACCTATTTACTTAGGTTATACCTACTATCTTTTAAAAGATAGAAAGACCTATATCTTTAAAAAAAGTAAGTAGTTTTATAATTACTACTCTTAAAAGTAGTATACTACTTATTATAAAGTAAGTAATATTTATCTTTACTTAGGTACTACTAATTAATTTTTAAGTAGGTTTTTAATTAGTTTAAAGCTAAAGTTATCTTTCTTTATAGTCTCTTTACTATTCTTTTTAGTAATATATTTATAAAGTCTATTACTTTATACTTTAATAAGTTAGGTCCTAAGCTTATTAAGGCTTAGTAAAAGACTAAAAAGAAGTCTATTAGTTAACTTAGGTATTAAAATAATAACCTTAGTAATACTATTACTAAGTTACTTCTTTATACTATTATAGTTAAGCTTAGTAATATTTAGGCTATACTTAATTATTAAAGTAAAGCTATTTTAGTTTTAGTAAGTTTCTTTCTTAGTTTTACTACTTTTTTAGCTAATTTTTATACTTTTCTAGGCTAAAACTACTAAAGGTTAGACTAAGTATTTTATTAATATTATTACTAAGCTTATTTCTTTTTCTTTTAAGCCTTAAGAGCTACCTATTTATAAGAATAATAGTAGTACTAGTAATTAAGATACTTTTAAGGATAATACTACTATTAGTAGTAAAGATAAGGTAATATAATAGTAGTTCTTTAGGTTTTTTCTTTAGTATTCTAGTAAATACCTAATATAGTATTGTATTTTAGGCTTATAGTACTCTATTAGTAATACTTTAGCTACTTATAGGTAGTTAATTTTATACTTATTAACTAATTTTCTCTTCTTTTTCTTTTAGTAATATTTTAATTTTCTTAACTATTTATATTTTTAGCTTTAGTAAGAGTATCTATTAGTAAACTGCTTATAGTTTCTTATAGTACTTATTACTAAAAATATTACTTTCTCTACCTCTACTCTATTATTACTAGAAGCCTTAGCTTTATTATAGTTTATTAGAAGAACCCTTTTAAAAATCCTTTAGTAATTTACTAATATTATTTTATTTTTTTTTAAAAAAGGCTAACTAGCTATCTAGTACTTTAGCTTCTTTAAGGTTTTCTACTAGCTTTTATAAAGTTATAGTATAGTTTTTCTATTTAACTAGGTATTATTTCTTATGCCTTCTACTATATTATTTCTACCTTTTACTTATAATTTCTTTAATTTTCTAGTAGTTTTCTAGTTCTTTATTAATATTTTCTAATATACTTTTAGGTTAGTAATTATTAGTATCTTATTCTACTAGAGAGTTTTTAAAGTATAGCTATAGCTTATTTATATAAAATACTAAGTAAATACCTAAAGAAGTATTTAATCTTATAGTATAAAGAAAGATTACTTCTTTTACTTAAAACTTTATATTTTTTTAGTTTAGTTTCTTACTTAGCCTACTATTAAAGAAGTATTTTTTATACTATAGCTATACTTAGTCCCTCTCTTATAGTTATAATACTTTTTATTAATAGTAATTAGCCTAGATTTCTTAAAGTTATTAGGCTTTTACTATTTTTACTTATATATAAACTAGTATTTCTATAAATTTTATAGTAAGTATTTTAGCTAACTTCTTTAGATTATTAAGCCTCTAATATTATTACTAGATTACCTATTCTATATCTTCTTATACTATATCTATATTATATCTATATTATAGAAAGAATAAGCTAATATTAGTAAATACTATATTCTTTCCTTTAATAGTAATTTAAGTAGTAGAATATATTAGTACCTAGTTATCTTATTTTTATTTAATATAGGCCTATAAGTAGGATTTTATAGTACTATTTATTCTTTTAGTAGTATTATTAGTTTCTAGATAGTAGCTAGTAAATACCTAATAGGTAATACTTAATTTTTTATAAAGGGTTTTTTAAAAATCTCTAATAAACTAGCTACTATAGTTAGATATAATAGTATCTAAAAACTAATAGTAGGCTACTACTTTTTTTATAAAAGCTCTTATTACTATTTAGGTATTTAGATCTTTTAATAAAATAAGTATTATATCTTTACTTAGCCTATTTATAACTACTATAAAGTACTAGTACTTATTACTTATAAGTAAATTAATAATAAAGTCTATTAAGATTTTCTTCTATACTTTATTTAGAAAGAAGAGTAGTCTTAGTAGTTTTCTTTTTAGTTCTCTTTAAGCCTTAGTTCTTTTATATATATTATAGTTTTAAATAAATTACCTTATTATAAATAATATTTTTAGAAAGAAGTAGTTATAAGCTAGAATTATATAGGTATTTTTATAGCCTAAATAGCTTATAGCTAAGAATTTATAGGTTTTTAAAATAATTTTAGTATATAGTTCTTTTAAATCTAGTACTTATTTTTACTTTTAGTAGTATAAAAACTCTTTTTTATTAATAGTATACTTTACTAATAAAACTTTTAAGTTTAAGTTTAAAAGAAACTTTTTTTAACTTATTTCTATAGCCTTCTTTACTCTCTTATATATTAGGTTATTTTTAGCTATAACTTCTTATATTTTCTTAAGCTTTTCTAAGCTGTTATAGGCTAAGGTAAAGTTAGTAGTAATTTTTATAAGTATACTATTAGGTTTTAGTAAAAGGTTATAATTTACTAGAGGTATATTATTAGGTTTCTAAAGCTATAGACTTTATATTTAGTAGTAGAATAAAATATCTACCTTTTTCTTTTTTTTAAGTTAGAGTTAGCTTTTTATATATAGCTATAAAAGCTAGAATTTTCTTATCTTTATATACTTATTATTTTAGCTTATTAGTAGATTCTTTTTTTTTTAAAAGAGTATATTAGCCCTTCTATTAACCTTTTTTAGGTAGTATATAAAGGTTAAAT